GCCGCAGGCTCTTGTCTTAATGACATAGATATTTTGCTTTAGAAATGAGTAAAATTCTCATATAAAATATATTATTATGTAGTATTTTTTTACAAGATTTCCAATGTTGCATCTCATATTTGTTTTGCAAAACATTATCAATATTGAAGTAGAAATAATGATATTGTCAAATGTTCTAAATGACATCGGTCATTTTTCATCCACACAATACGAAATTCACTTGAAAAGTGAAATATTTATATGATTACAAGTAACACTCGCCTGTGGACTCGCTCAGCTCTTTCTCGTAGAGATAGTGCATTCTGAATCTTAGCTTTTGCAGAATTTTGTTGCTTCAATAATCTCAAGTATTTTCTGGAATCTTTGACATCCATCAATTTGATTTTTTAGCGCTAGCTTTTTTAGTATAATAAGTCGTGAATAGAGTATATCTATGCGATGAAAGTCTCGTCTTACTTCCTCGCTCATTTTCGCTCATAGGATACTTATGAAAAGAAGAGTGAAACGGTATTATGAGCGAGATTAACACATAATTTTCAATACAGTCAAAAAAACCTGTTTTCACGGAAATCTGTGTTGTAAAGAGTCGCTCTCTCACTCATCTACTTGAATTTAAACTAGAAAGTTTTCTCATCTTGATACCACACATTGATTTCGTTTATCATCTTGCATGGTAAGCGAGGAATATATTTGATCTTTATCAGCAGCGTAACCAGGATTTTTAGGCCATTGGGCAAACTTCTATTAAGTCAAAAAAAAACCATGGGCAAAATTGGCAAGATTTTTATTGATAGGCCAAAATTTTTTAACCCAGCAAAACATTGATAATGTAGAAAAAACGCCAAAAAAAATGGTGTTCATTTAACTACACCAAAAAAGCATGAGTACACGTTAGGTACAACTCAGTTGTAAATGGGGTACATTTGTGAGGTACGTAGTTTACATCTTTCACACTGGTCATCGGCTGCGGAAATCAATTTCGAAAACTATTTTCAATCAGGAACGGGCATTCTCAGTTTTTCGTTTTACTATAAAAGTCTAGCTTTCAAATTGAAATCCTTATTTTCTAATAAATATGTTCACAATAGAATTTCATTTTGACATACATATATTCAATTCATAATAAAACAATGCTTACTCAAAGCGAACCTTCTCGATTTATATTTACACTAACTGTTGCACACTTTTTTCGAAATTTTATTTTTGTTGACTTTTGGCACACTTTATCAGTTGCGATTGTGTTTGAGCAAAAGAAAAAAATCTTCACATGTCATAGTACCATTAAATCTGATTGTCAATTCAGCAGCTATCGCTTCATTCACCGTCAAATTGCGACTGGTTGTCCATGCGCTTTTTTCTTTGGCTAAAAACGCCTTCAACAAATGCATTCGAGCAAGGAATTGAGTACGCATAAGAAATAATTTTGTACATTTCAATACACATTGGTTTTTCGACTTTACAAGAAGAAAAGCCCAAAATTGATCAGGCCGAAATTCCACTTCTCTTTCATGATTTTCGGTCGTCGGTTTGTGAATGAAATTATCTTCATCATGGGACTCGTTGCATATGTCATTGTTGAATTCTTCATAAACATGACCATTAGCAGCCAACCAATATAATCGACCCTTCACATCTTTATCAATAGTAAATGTTGGATAAAGAAACAGAAATTTTCTTAATTTCAACCAAAATATGGATGATAGTAGTCGTAACATTGAAAACTGCAGATGGGGTACAAAATGCGTACCTCAGAGGTACAATTTGTTTTGAGGTACGAAAGGCTCAAATGGGGTATTGTACCCTCAGATCGGGTGCGACTGGAGACTCTGACCAAAATCAAAACGACTACTGTATATTTTTACATAAAATTTCAATATTTGGAAGAAAAGTGATAGCTTAATAACGAATTGCCACTGGCGGATCTACCATTACAGCTAGCCGACGAGGGCCACATCCTTCATGAAATTTTTGCGACTTTTACAGCAAGAATGAAACAGAAAAGAGCCGTATTGCCTCAAATAGGCTTCAAAAAACACTTTTTGACCGGGAGTACCACCCCGTTACTGAGTTTCTGGATCCGCCACTGCGTATTGGGTCGTTTTCCAGTTGTCATGGCTTAATATTAGTCTTTTAAAACAGCACAAAAGAGAACAACAAAATTATAAGTGTAAGTGCGCAATTTTATATGAGCATATTTATTCTGTTTCTTTTTTCTTTAGACTTTTCTTATAATATACACAGAAAAAAAAGGTACCATACGAAACCCTAAAGGATTCCGATTTTTGCAATCAAATCGAAATACTTTTAGGTTTAGTACAAATTAGGTTTCGTAAAAAGCCTTCATCTTCAACAGCTCATAACTAGGGTTTCGCACAAGGGGTTCGGTATAATTCATCATCGAACATTAAACGAAGCTCTCGTCAAATGCTATGCTTCATCCAGGGGCGGCGGAGCATCATTAAGCTAGGTGAGGCTCATCATATTTTTTTGCTACCGTGGAATTTTATGAAACATCAAGTAGTAAATAAGTCTTCTTTTTATTGAACTTCAGTAAAAATAAAAATGGTCAGTATAAAAAAAAAAGATTGGAAAATACCGAAAACTAGTTTTCTTTGCTTCTACTCTGATGCAAGAACAAGAAAATAGCAATATTCAGTACAAAAGCAAGTGAGGCTGAGTCTCATATCACGAAATCTAGATGAGGCTCAAGCCTCACCTGTCTCAGTGGCTCCGTCGCCACTGGCTCCATCACGAATTGCAGTTTTGCATCACTATATTATGCAAAAACGCACTCACTCTCTACAAAAAAAAATACAGCACCGATGAGACATTAAAAAAGAATTCCGACCAAAAATTTTCCCAAATTCTATGCATAATTTCCGGCACATCTTTATCAAGGACCCACTAACTTGGCCAGAACTCACTCAAAAACCTCAGGAACATATTCGCCAGGGACCTGCTTCCAAACCATGCGACACAATGCATTTTTCCACAAAGCGAGGCGATTATCAGGCACTTTTCTGCCATATCCTCTACGCACAGACGCGGAGAACCATCTGCTTCAGTTGTTTGATCTAAATATAAATAAACTAACTCATCCGCTTTCAACTTTTTAAATCGAACTCACCATTTTCATTTTCGGATATGGTGGTGGATCTAGATAAAAAAAAAACTGATGAGTTTTGAATACGAAACTCGAAAAGGTTTATGACGAAATCTCTTGGGTTTCGCAAACATCAGCGGGTTCAGGACAAACCCTTGAGAAATTTTAAAACTTTCAAAAGTTTTTTACAAAACCTTGGATGTTGCTAAACCTCAAACAGGTTTCGTAATATTCTACGGAAACTTATATAGTTTAATAAACTCTACGGAACCTCAAAGGTTTCGTTTGGCATCTTTTTTATCAGTGTAGTAGCGCGAAAGAAGAGACAAGACGGTAAACTGGACGCGATAGATTATAGTTCAATCGTTTTCTCTCATGTCAGCATTTTGAGAGAAGATAACAGAAAATAACAAGTATACATATAGATATGTATGTACAATTGTGCATTATTCATTTTTTTTTGTTCTATTTTCTTATATTAATTCTTCATAAGAACCAGTAAAGGGTACATATGCGATTCAAACGAAAGAAAAAAAAGACAGTATAGCTAGTTTATTCAAAAGTAAGTAATTGTGAAAAAGTAAAATTTGAATGGACAAAAATTAACTGATGAAAATTATAATGGGCAATTGCCCATTTGCCTCCCCCTGGTTACGCCGTTGATCTTTATCAAACTTTTATTATTGACTTTATAACAATTTCATGGTGGACAAACTATGAGTCATCGAACTTTAACATTCAAGCTTGTATTCAGAGGTTGAAGACGGGTCTACGAAAATTGGTCGAAAATTTTGCAATTGAATTTGTGGTGTAAAGCTGAAACTAGCACTAATTGCATTATCATGTTAATATTAGAGGAAAATAGTGATTCAGACAAATAAATTAGGCATGCATAATAAACGAAAAGTAGTTTAGAACTTACGAAAAAGACTTTCTAATTATTTTAGTAACGTTGTCTGTTTTGAGAACACGATGACCACCTCACCCACATCCACATCCACACCCAACACTGCCCTCTACGGTTGAAATTTTTTCATTGGTTTCGTTCTGCTCTTTCATTAGGATGAATGAATTGTAGGAAACAAAAACAATCAAGTCATTCTCTTCATCTCATTACTTTTTGAGCGATCATGATTTTTCAAATCTTTTCTTTTCTATTTATTGTTCTCACAAATTTTTGTTCAAATACTCAAGTATATGCATCACCGGTGCTTCTTTGGGCCAATGTGTAAGCCTGACTTTTTCTTACAATCATTGATTAATTTTTTTTTCCAGGAATCTACCTCGATCAACTGTTTCTCTTTCTACACTCTCATCACTGGATTTCATATCTAATTATGTTTGTCAAATAGCTACCAAAGAAATTCAATTGCGCATTTTTACTGTTAATAATGTGAGTTTTAAGATAGCACAGAATTAACCCTATTCTGATTTTTATTCATTTAGCTCACTATCGAAGGTATCCAACAAGGTCTACAAAGTGATTATCCACTTTTATTGGATGCTAAAGTAATTTTTTTTGATTTCTTGATTTTTAAACTAACATTTGAGTTTATATTTGATAGAAGACAGAAACAAATTTTCGTTATTATCCAAATGTCGCCGATGATATATACCAAACATTTTTGCTTCTACAGTCAAATACTAATCAATGTCCCAGTAAACGTTTTCAATTAAAATCATCGGAAAATTTTGACAAATTAGATGATGGTTTGTTAAAAATTTGCACTAGAAAAATACATGAATCAGTTTTTATTTTTTATTAAGCATTACATGAAGTGGAAGAAAAAATAGCTGATGTTGGTGTGGATACAAGTTCAACTGTTCTTTTTGCAATTATAAATCATCCAGTTGACAATCGTAAACTGGTAAGAATACATAACACTGAGTAGATGTTTCATGCGTTTTTATGGAAAGTAGTATACGTAAGTTCATAATTTTGTCTAATACAATTAGTACCGTCAAAGACGACAAACAACGAACAATGAAAGCTCTGTTCTCATATTGAATAATGATACATGCATGTTTTATGCCAAACAATTGCATTGGAATGATGTTAATGGATCATTATCAGGTGCTCGTGTTTATAATCTTAGCTTAACTAACAGTTCATGTGAATCAACAATATCACCTATAGGCAATCATAGCTCAGTCGTGTATGTGAAAATTGAAGAGTTTTATTTTCAAAACAGCAAATAATTCTTTTGTTCTAGTCTCAAACTTATTTGGACAAATGATCAAATACCATCGGATATTGTCAACATGAGGTAAGCTGTTATGATCATCTTTTTCCGATTTTGAACTGTAATTAATTCTTATTGTTCGAGAGAAATATCACCTGATTTCTCTCGTTATTGACTAAGCCAGGTGTAAGATATCTATAAAGTTATCTTGCCATTCGTTGAAAAATATGAATGCTCAATTTTTGTGAAATATTAATTGGATATAAACATAGAAACTAAATGGATATCGAAATATGAAATAGATGAGACTAGAGTCTACTATATTCTATATTTTCTTGTTATAAAGAAAAAAAACAATGTCGACGACAATTGCAATGCTTCATATAATGCGGATTAATCGTTGTTTATCATCGAAACCGACAATGTGGAACTTTTTAATTTCGTGTTTATCTGCAATTGGACTGTTCACTTTCTCACAGATGTTATCTGTTTTTACTCCGAAAACTAATAGTCGGCTAAACGATCAGGGTGGCCAGATCAAAAATTAAAAAATCAGAAAATATTTCTGAAAAATCAGGAATTAATCAGAAAATGGCAGTTTTTGACAAATTTGTACATCTTCCGCTAAACTACTGACAACGAGAAAAAAAAACGTTAAATCCCATCATCTCGGTATTGTTATTCATATTTCGTATCTTTTGGAATTTGCTCTAGGAGGTTTGTTTAAGATAACATATACTAATAAAACCTTCTCAAGAATAATTGCTATTCATTTTTATTTTAAGTTAAGCATTATCTGGTTTTATATTATCGGATTACGATAATCGGACTATAAATGCTTTACATGACCGAAAATCAATTCGACGCCAGAATTCGAAGGAGGAATATAAAAGATGATTAATAGAAAAAACTGATGAAACACTATTGATTTCTTATAGTAATGGATTATAATCGTACATAATTTCAGTGGCAAAGTAGGATCTAAACATGTTGAAAATTCCGAATTTTTCAGAAGATCTGGCCACCCTATAAACGACAGTGGTCGGTTCATGATATTCATCTAAATATCATAGAAATATCTATTCGGTACATTGAAAATTTTAATTTACAGAAATAAGTCAGCTGAATAAAGTGTGTAACAGATGTGACTGAGTTATTTATTTTCTAATAATCTATGAGATATAAAGTATATCGTAAGCTACATAGAAACAAGAAGATTTATTTGAGTAAGGCGAATAGAGAGTATAAATATTAATCTTGTCTTAGTCCGTTTCCATATCTATGTGCTTTACGTCGTTTTCTGTTACCTGTTTGCATCGCATCTTGGAAAGCTTATACTAATCCGTTTGTCAATGTTGTACACAAATTCAACCACTGCGTTCTCTTGGAAAAAACGAAGTAAATGCACAACTAGCAGAAAACTAAGAATTGTCTAGAGATCAATTAGTGAAATTCCGAGGACAGCTTTGCATATCCATCTATTTGAAATACAATATCTCAAAATTAATAGAAAAAACACAATTGAATTCTTCTCATGTGTCATTAAGACAACTCTATATTTTCACTTTATAACTATTTAAGTTTAACGACAACAATTATCGGACGTTATTGGACATTGGAAAATGCTACTATCAATGATAAAGAATACCGTTATTTTGCATATGGAATGCATAGTCAAATGGAGACACCTCCAACATATTCGTATGTTTGCACGACAGCAACGTTCGTTCGATATGATGCTTTATATGATAAATATGGACAATATAATTTTAGTAAAAAATTTTACATAACAGATCTTCAAGTAATTTTGAAAAGATGCATTCATGAAATAAATGCAATAATGTTTTCTTTTTATACATCTAGTTTCAACCATTCAATAGTAGTCAATTTTCTTTTGGTCCACCGAATTATTGTACATCATTTTTCACACGAGGCATATGGATGGCTATAACATCAAGTTTACTTTGCCTAGGCATATTACTATTCGCCATTTATCATCTGATGGCAATTAAATCAAATGATCGATTTGATGATCCAAAAGGAAAACCATTATTTATTAAAACTCAAGAATAAACTTATTTATTTTTTCATTCCATGTATTCTGATGAGAGGATTTTTTTCTATTTAAATAAACTGGGTGAAGGGTTTTCTTTTTTCATTAACTTATATTTATTTTTACCATAGATGCATATTAAATTGATGATTAATAATGCCGAAGACGAAAATCTAATCGATGTTTCATTAGGTAATAGAAATTCTTTATCTTTTTTATTGATTTTTTATTCAAATGATTTTATTTAATATAGATTCCTCGTCAACGATTTCATCATGGTTGATCGATTATTATTTCACAAAATTTTACTTCACTCAAGTGAAAAGTTCAAAGAAATCTGTGCAACCCAACAATATAATTGGTCTACATGACATGTTTGTTATTTATCAAATAATTCAATCGAAATCATCATCGAACGAATTTTTTGAATTATGTAAAAACAAATTAGCTGAAATAGAAAATGACGCACTATTAGATAGTTATAATAATCATTTAAATCGATGTGGTTTAAAAGATATTATTGATTTATTGCATCAATGTAAATTAAAATCCTTGATCAAAGAAATCACTTTCACTATTAATAATGTTAAAAATGAAATCGATCGATTAATTTTAAGTTATTTATTAGAAGTAGCATCTGAACGACTTATTTATGATGACAATGTTCAATTATCAACTTCGAAAACCATTGAAAATATACTTGCATTATTTGATAATGAGAAAAAGCACGTTGAACAAACAATTAGTAAAGTAAGTTATAAATCGAAAGTAGAAAAAATAGCATAGAAACATTCAGTAATGGATACAGTTTTCGAAACTAAGCAAAAACACCAAGCTATTTTCTTTATTAACACACTCACACCCACCCTCAAGATCATATTATTTCGTTTAGTAATATGATTGCATTTCAGATGCCCTACTGAAATAGTGAGTACGTTAGTCAAACAGTAGTTGCTCTTCAATAAACACTGTTATTACTAGTCTTGAATTCTTCTCGTTTCGATGACATTAGAATATAATTTATTTTTGTTGTTTATAGAATTTCATTAAGCATACTATATGTACATATCTCGCACTTTTGCTGGATACACGTAATGAGCATGCACTTATTCATTGTCTTGCTACGCCTGCACGTGCTGGAATCGAACGACGAACAATAGTTGAATTACGACGTTTATCAAAATTATCGAAAAATGAATGTTTGACCATTTATCAGATACTTCTTTCATTTCTTAGACGTAAAGAATTGACTTTAAACCGATCATCACAACAAGATTCATTGAATAACGAAGATGAATCATTTATGATACTTGATAAATGTTATGTTGGTGTAAAAGAATTTTTTGATTTTATTGAACATATACAAATGACAATCGAAGAAAACGAACATGCGAAGATTGAATCGATGTAAAAAAGAGAAACAAAAGAATTTCTACAAAATTTTTGTATTCAATATTTTTATTTTAGTGTAACATTTCGTAAAATAATGACAATGATATCTAAACAATTACGTAAAGATAGTTCATTTAGTCGATGTGATGTAATTCTAAAGGATGTTATTGAAGAATTCTGTCAATGTTTTCAAACAACACTTCCACTTATGGATTGTACATCACCAATTCGAGTAAGAATTCGATTAGTTTATCAATATAAACATATGCATATATATATATAACACTCTTTAGTGTGAAACGAGTTGTTTTTTCTGTTCTCACAAACAGTATATCGTTTTAATATATCTAGTGTACAAATTTTATCGTAACATAAGTGTAATATGTCTTTGTAGTTTTCCTAATAATTTTCATGGATAAATTATTTTCCAAAAAGAAATCATTTCGTATGGATTCACGAGAAATTTCTTGTCGTCTTCTGTAATGAAAAAACATCGATAAAGTACCAGATACTGTGTTGTGTTGTCATTAGAAAGTTGTCCACATGGTTCTTAATGGCTATGTTTCATATGACTTGGATTTTTCTTAGATGCTATTTTACAATTAATAAATGAGAAATTTGGGCTCTTTAAACAAAAATCTTATTTAAATTGACTAGTGAAGTCATCGATTAACCCGACTGCATATCAAACATATTGAATGCTTGAAAAAATCGAACTACGATAAACTGCCTCCATTGAATATTTGTTCTAGGAATCTTTATTTGACTACAAAAGAATTTTTTAATTTTCTATTAATTTCCTCAGTTTTTATTTTCTCGTAAAAAATTGGCAAATTTGTAATAATCTATGCGCTTTTAGTCTGCATCATCTGGTGGTACATTAGCTGGTCGTCGTTTTCTTCGTTCTATTGCATATTTATGTGCTAAGCAAACAATTCATTTACCAATAATTCTATCAAATAATGATCATTATGATAGCCCATCGACAGGATTACGAAAAGCAACATCTTGTCGTCTTTTACAGTATGTTTACTAAAAACTACATTTTTTTTCTGAATTTCAAATATTTCATTTTGCAGAAGTCCAATAACACCGTTGCCACTTATTATCGAGTTCGTTCCGGAAGCACCTATTGAAGAAAAGTCAGTTGAGATTGCTGTTGAATCTGTATTTATGTGGCAAAAATCAACAAAAGAAAAAGATGATAATAAAACAGAAGTGAATTCATCGTCATCATCTTTCGTATCAGCATCATCGAAAAATAAACACTATCGACGACGGTAAATTTTACAAGCTCAAATACTATTTCTTATAGAAATTTTTCTATTTTTTTAAATCTAGTAAATCGCAACGATGTCTGAATCTATCAACAATTCGAGAGAAAAGTTTTGATTCAGATTCAGTTGTAGATCATTTCATAGATTCAAATGATAAAATTTCATCACAAACATGCTCATCGGGTTCAACTCGTCAACCCTTAGGAGAAATTGATATAAACTCATTTAATAGTGATGAACGTTCAGCAACTGAAAACGAAAATAGTAGTGCAAGTCAACATCCAATACTATTTTCGTTGGTTAGTGGCAGTGACAAAGAAAATTTACCAGTGACTGTTGCAAAGCGAACAATGAAAGCAACGAATACGGAACAACCACATAAGAAACAAAAGAAAACGAATAACAAACCTCTTGTAGTTGGTCAAAAAATGATTACAAGTTTTTTTCGTTCGAATTAAATTCCTTCTTATTATTATATATTTCTAATGTCAGATATAGATTTAGATAATTAATCAATTGAACATGTACATTTCAATAGGCAATACATTTCATTAAAACTATTTTGTAAAAATAAGAATGATGAATTTTTCTTTTCATTGTAAATCTGTTTTGATATAATGATAATTATAAATATTGTTTTTTTCTTGTTATATTCAAAATAAAAGATTAGTTGAATTTATGGATAACATAATATAAATAAACTTTTATGATTGAAACAATTTTTGTGATTGCTGTTCGTTTGGTTCAATCGGAGAGCATGTTCAGACGCACTCGGAAATCAACTTTAGATCAGGAATATGCAAATAGAATGAAAATTACTTATAAACCCTCTTTGTGATCTATTTTTCAGTTTTCTTTATCCTTATTGTCCTGTTTTTTTTATAGAGTATACTGCCCCTCCGCCACAAATCAAAATAGAGCAAATTTTTGTGTTAAACGGAGAAAATAAAAAGATGCAGCGTTCCTACAAAAATCGATTGGATAGAGGGGTGTGTGTATGGGTGTTCAATTAATCAACATTCAAGGTGATACTCACACTCACACCCTAAAATAAACGATTGTATCAATGTAAGTGAAAGTCCAATGAATATATCTTTCATTTTCAGTTTAAAATGTGCTTCTAATTAAATTTAATCTTAAATCACACATACACAAAATTATGTCATCAAGTAAAATTAGTTGTAATTAAAAATTTATTTATTTTCTACCTTACAGTAACCCGCAATGAACTGTGTGATCGATCACATCATGATCTCATAGGAAAATGACTATTGATAGTTTAAAGTGGCGCCATCGTTCGTACGTATTCAATATAATATGAAAATCTTACAATAAATCTATGTAAATAATAGTAATTAAAGGATAGTTTGAATATAATTTTATCAATCTTTTTTTAGTCTGGCATCAATTAAGTAGATCTTTCCTTTCTAATTGGTTCTTTTTCTTCTAAATTTCTTTGTTGAAAATAGTCTGATTAACAATCGCTTAACAGTTTCGTTCGTTATGCATGCAGATTCATTTATCATATTCTAGATTGATCTAATAATATGCCGCCACAATTTAATATTGATGATTTCGAACGATTGAGTAAAGTTGGAGAAGGTAGAATGAAACTAATGCTGTCTAAGATTTTACTACGTCTTTTGTTTTTCTTTCAACAACGTAAGGTACTTATGGCATTGTGTATAAAGTTTGTCATCGGCCAACATCACAAATTTATGCTTTAAAAAAAATTCGATTAGAAGGCGAAGATGATGGTGTACCGGCAACGGCTATTCGCGAAATATCAATTCTAAAAGAACTTCGTCATCAGAGTATTGTTCAGTAGGTTTAAGAAAAAGAGGATCACAACTAGTAGATTCTGTATTTTATTGTCTTTAGACTTCGTGATGTTATTCTCACTGATGCACGCCTTTATTTAATATTCGAATATTTAGCTATGGATTTAAAAAAGTATTTTGATTGCTTGTGTGAAAATGAAGATATGGATGTTGGTCTAATTCGTGTATGAGAACAAAAAAAGAAAACTTATTAAATTTATTTCTATTCATTTATTTTTAGAGTTATACATATCAAATACTTGATGCATTACTTTTTTGTCATTGCCGTCGAATAATTCATCGTGATTTAAAGTAAACGAATTAAATACTATATTATAGAAAATAACTGTATATTTTAGACCACAAAATCTGCTTGTGGATACGAAAGGTATTATTAAACTTGCTGATTTCGGTTTAGCAAGAGCTTTTAGTGTACCACTTCGAATATATACTCATGAGGTAAAAGATGATTAACTCTTATTTTGGATTTTAATTTTTTTTTGACTTAGGTTGTTACACTGTGGTATCGAGCACCTGAAGTATTACTCGGTGCATCACGCTATTCGTGTCCAGGTATGAATTGAAAAATAAATGAGATCTATCTAAATAGTTATTCACATATAAATTCAGTAACCTTTCCTATCTTTATTATAACAAATGAATTAAGGAAGATGTTTTTTTCTTACCTGCTTATTAGACATTTACGTTAGATATTTAATTCAGTCTTCAATACAAACAAATATTGAAGTCTTACGACTATTTTGAATGAATTCATCTGTTTATAAACACTTTTAGCGCTCACAATGTATCATAGTATGAGTTTGTAGATAAGACTTTATTTCAAAATCTTTCTAGAGACTATCCAAGAGTCCAATAAATGCTCAATTCTTAAAAGCTACCGAGGTAAATCAGTTTTCGGAGTTTCGAAATATGATTCATACAAATTCTTTAGTAACTGATAAATAAATCAAGTATACTATTAGAGTTTCCCACAGAAAACATTAACAACGAATCCGATCCGAGACTTTCTTTTCTACCGAAAAGCAGAGCTATTTTTCTGGTATCAAAGCCATGAGTTTTCCTTCGAAAATAGTTGCTTGAAATGCAATCATTTTTCGTTTCAAAAGTTGTATTATCATGGAACTATCTACAGTGACCAACTATTCTATTTGTTCATACTATAAAGAATTTCGAATCTCATTGCAAAACATTCTTCATAGTTTTAATGACGCTTGTGGAGAATTGCAGATGGATAAGTTAAACATAAATTTTGATATTTTTATACATTCGACTAAGTTTTTACTAAAGGAGGCTTTGACAAAGTTTGAAATATTATGGTTGTTTTTCTTTAGTTGATGTTTGGTCTGTTGGTTGCATATTTGCTGAAATGTATACAAAACGACCATTATTTCAAGGCGACTCAGAAATCGATCAGCTTTTTCGTATATTTCGGTAAATGACATGGTTTCAACGATAAACTTGCATCCCATTGGATTTTATTCTAGAACACTTGGCACACCAACAGATGAAACATGGCCAGGTGTTGTATCATTACCAGAATTTAAATCTTCATTTCCACGATGGAAACAGAGCAATGACTTATCATCATTACTGCATGATCGAGTGCGTGATGATGCTCTCGATTTATTGCTTGTACGTTAAAATACTTTTGTTTTGATTTTTTCCCTCATGAATCACTTTATTCTTTATAGAAAATGCTTGTCTATGATCCTGTAAGACGTATATCAGCTAAACAATGCCTTAATCATCCTTATTTTAAACATTTCGACCCACAAAATTTTCCTGTACCGGCACCCATTGTTGTACCTGTTGTCAAAGAAGGAGCCAAGTGATATTATCAATGTATTACTTATCATGTCAGATATAGATATATTTTTTCCTAGTTGATATGTGTTCAATATTGCTCTTCCATACAAAAAAACGACACTTTCTTTGATTTCCTTTTTCTCTTTTTTCTGTCACGTGTACCTATGACGTGAAAAATAATGAATCTGTACAAAGAATGATAAACATTAAAAAACAAACAAATACTTTCACAGAAGAAATACATATGCATATTATTATTTCATTTTTTTTCTTCTCTATAGTGAAATGTAAATAATGAATAACCTCACTATACTTCGTCATTTATATATGGGTTGAATTATTAAAATGATATTTAAAACCATAAATTTCAGGATATTCAGAGAAAACCTTATAGAACTCGTATCAATTCGACAGAAGATATATATTAAACATAAAGAAAGACTATTTTCAAATAATTAGATTTTCATAAAATGACATAATGAGATAGAACGAAATCTATCTCTTGAATCGTAGCAAGTTTATTTGAAATTCAGCTCACGTCAGAATCATATTAACGTTGTTATTCAACATTGTAATACCAGGAACAGAAATGATAGGAAAAAGATGTACTAGCCATCCAATTGATTATTTCTTAATGAGAAATTAAATTAACTGTAAAAATTGCATCGTTTGCAAATATTAAAAACAGTGCATAGGCATTCATTGATGGTTTCGATAATTATTATTTAGTTAAATCGTAAACAGAAAACGCTAATCATGTGTATTGAATATAATAAATTATTAGTTAATTATTAAATCTTTGATACAAATGGAATTTCCATACAATACTTGTAGCATAATCTTAAACTTCTTCGTGAATCAAAAATGCAATCATTTTCACTATGCTATTCAATGTGATCATCAGCTGATATTCTTCACTCCTTTTTTCGCTGTGGCACGCCAAATAAGATTTTTTCTTTTGGTCTTGAAAACGCAAATACTGCTCATATAATTCGTTTAACCATCATTATTCCCGTGTTTCTACAATACGAATTTTATTAAAATTGGCATAGATGACTTGTGAAAACTTCTGTAATATTTGATTCGCAAAATCTGAATGATCAAACAGAAAAGTTGATGCAGTTTTCAGCGAAGAAACCAATCTAAAAATAGCAAGCAAACTTGTGTTAAGTCGGTGTTATTTTTTCCATTTTTTGTAAGAATTTCTATTCATTATTCATTATATTTTTTTTCATGCTTTTCTTAAAGTAAAACAAGAAAGTTTACAATATCTTTGAAAAAAGTAACAATGACATAAAAAGAAATCTTTGTTTATACAAATATGATCTATTTACAATATTTATATAATGGAATGAAGAAATTAAAAATCATCATGGATTGTTTGAGTATATTCTTGTAGATAATTACGTATTTCAAGTTTAGATAAAAGATTTGACGATGGTATGAGACTATTTATTGATTGATTTGAACTTGTAGTTGATATTGTTGGTATAGATTTGTGTAAATTGGATTGACACTATTTCTTTTCGCCAAGTGATCGTTGTATCCAATGAAAAGAGTAAACAATTAACCACATTATCTTTCTTGGTCGATATTGTTTGTTGATCGTTAGTTTTGTAAGTGTATGTGTGCTCTTCTGTTATTGGTATTGTTTGTTGGGCCCTAAATATGATCATATAGGTATGAATCACACCGGTTGGAAATTTCAAGTGATTTCTTGGTTTATTACGTCATTTCGATTTCACTATTAATTTACTTCCGTATCAATTTCACGACAGAGACAAATGTATATTAAAAGTGAACCTTCGCATATAGCATGGTTGAAAATCGTCATAAAAAGGCAGATAATTTCGTTAATTTTGAGAAACAACGATGTTTTTGTTTATGTTGATTAATCACCAAATATCATGTGCTGTACATATTTTATCTAAATCAAAGAGATATTGTAGATATTCATTATTGAGATACAAAACAAATCGATAAATTCTATGCAAACAACAATGATGAACTAAGAACTTGTTGTAGAATTGAGAATTTCTTTGATATGTTAACAAGACGATACCCGTGAACAATGGGCTTTATCTTAGAAAAGAAAAGTAGTCAAATATGGTAGCATGATATCTATACGATTGTGGGTTAAAATTATAAACGTATAAGCATTGATCATTCAAAAGCAATAAAAAGAATGTTTGAAATTGTTATTTTTGTATAAGAAGAAAAATTGAGTAGTTCATCTTTTTACAGTTCTACTTGTCATTATCAATGTCTTTTTAAATTTGCGACTTTTCTTTTGGATAACACGAATTTTAAGTTTTTTTTTTCTTTTGAAAACAGTGATAAAGAGCATAATTGTTTTTTGTTGGTGGCAATCAACTTCTTCAAGAAATTCTTCTGCATGTTCTCATAAATTTCACCGAAAATTCTGAAATGAAATCGTTTAATAGAAATTTTTCTATTGCCTCTAACACAGTACTGTGATTGTTCTATGTAAGAAAATTCAAACTAGACTAATGTCTGAACGGCAGTAAGATTCAATAGTTGCTAGATATTTTTCTTCTTCTATACACCCTCATTGGTAAACACCCGCATGAACTATCGTATTGCATTTATAATTTTATGAGAAATTTATGTAAGTGCTATGCATGCATTTAACGTTTCAAGAAAGACAAAGTATTAAATATCAGTTCCGTTAATCTTGATAGATAATTATGAATTTAATCAAGTTTAGAGAGATAGTAAAGATTTCATTTTAACATTTTTTCAATTAATGAGCTACTCAGTATATAAGTTCACTGTAAACTGGTTGATACTGAAGTAATGGCTTTGTAAAATAAAGTTCGTGAAATTTTAACATGGAAAATTCTAATATACATGCCATGATGCTTATTTTGCATCAGAATCTCAATCAACGAGTTTTTTTGCTTGTATTGCAAGTCGTCAAAATAATAACTTTCTGAAATAGTCACACATCCTTTAATGTAAATAATTGAAAGTATAGATTTGAATCGAATCAAATACATTCAATAAGACTAGAAAGTAGTTTTTCTGTATTGTGCTTCAAACTAACAATGTATTTCTTGTGTTGGTAGCATATACACCTCAAAATCAAATAATGTGTAAAAGAATCTTCGCAGGAAATTCGCTAGAACAATTGTTGTCGCAATTCGTATGGAATTGAAATGTGAAGCAACTCCGTAATTGCTGTTACTCATCAAAACGAGATAGATTGATTCTTTCTGTTTTCGAATAAAGCCTATTATTCTATTATTTTAATCTCTAAAGGAGAAATTATTTGTATTGCAAGTTGAACTGAAAAACTTTCGAGGCGATATGATTGTACATTTGACAATAACAGAGGCAAAACATAAATATTTCAAGATTTTTATTTTCGTAGCCTTCCATTCACTCAAAAAAAGTATCATCAATCGATAGACTAGCAATAGTTTTATATGCATCTTTACAATCTAAGCGTATTTGCTATTTACATTAACAATTAGAAGTCTTTTTTGTTTTGTTAAAAGCCTAAGAGCGGTTTAATATTTTATTATTAAAATAAATTATAAAAGATTTTAATGTCTGTTTACATAGCAGAAACATTTGTAATTGAAACATCACCTTTAACTTGTAATGCTTGTACTTGTTGAAAGGGTAAACGGTGTCGAAAAGTGAACCATGGCTGACCATTATAATTAACCTAAATTATAGAATAAAACAAAATGTTTGCAAACTTTATCTTCTCTTCATACTTGATAATGTTCTGGAAAGCAAATGATTTGAACATCAAAAGGCTGGCCAGGAACTAATGGAAATCCTCCTTGTTTTTCTTCGGCTCCCCAACCACCACCTTGACACGAATTACGTACTGCTTCACGTTGATCGAAACGTGGATTAAAATGAAATGCAACATCAGCTCCATTGTAATTTCCAGTTAATAAATTGAATTCAAATCGTGATGCATTATTATTTGAACGACCGCTGATAGTTATAACACGACCTAAACATTTTTCTATGATGATAAATTTATTGATGAAAAATAAATCTTACCAGGAAAGATGTTCATAGGTACAGGTGTTTCCTAAGAGAAATATTTTACAATGATGAATTTTACTATAGAACAAAAAATAAAATATGCTTACCATTGCAAAACGCCATGGTTGGCCATATTGAGAACTCATGCCTGGATAGATTTGAACTTGTGTTAAATTAACATCACCTTTGACAGTCACTATTTCAGCTGCATTAAATGGCATTCTATGAGGAAAATCAGCGGTATGTTGATTATTGACAGCTACCTTAAAAATTGAAAACAATAAAACAAAAAATATTTCATTTGCACGTATTGATGATTTTTACTTTGAAACATTGTTCTGTAACCATAATAATAATACTAAATGGATGACCACGTGTCATATTCAATGGTTGACGGATTTCGCCTCCCCAACCACCACCAGGTGCAGCATTTAATACCAATTGACGATCATTTAAGCGTGGATTAACATGTAAAATGATATCACCACGACGATTAGCCAAATTTACTTCAAATCTTTATTATTGAATTTCGAATTAAATTGGATACCATTTAAGACATCGTTTACTCACCGGTCAGCGATTGCAGTACCATGAACATGTACTTGAGTACCATAGCTAATGGGTGGTGAGATCGGTGCTTCATAGGGAACACTCTACATCGAAAAGAGATAAATCAAAATAATCGATATAAAATTTCTTCAATCAAAACTTACATAGTGTTGAACGTGACCAGCTTGCTACAAGAAAAAATATATGAATAGATTTAACTAAAATCTTTATATGAAATTATTACGCACTTGACCCATTTTAATGAAATAGAAAGTGTTGCAGAGTTCTTTACTGTGTGATAAGTATGTGGAGAAGTAATGTATGAGTTAAAATAACTTAATTTATATAACCGATTAGTTGGTGGTAGAGAAAAAACTAGAAGAAGATAAGGTGACATCATAGTTATTCAGCACAGTAAGATCTTATCTTGTCGATCAAACACGACAACAACAAAAATTAGAAGGTGCAGTCCAGCAAATATAAATATTTGGTAGTCCTTCATAGTAACCAAAATTGTTATCAAAAAACCGACAATACACAAGTGAGAAGAAAGGAGAAAAGGAACGATCAACAAAATTAGTTTAAGTGTCAATAAAATTTCGGAATGAAGCGTGTTTCTTTTAACATTTTCATATCTTAGACCTTGAAAAAGAAGAAAAACTTATCGAGTATAACAAAAATTTAATATTCTTGCAAACAAGATATTTTGTTAATAAATATACTGAATAAATCGAAAGACAACTTTTAGATAAACACCTAACAATAAACCTGTTTATTCATTGTACTTTAGTTTAGTTGAAAGACATTGAAATGTTGATCATCTTCAATCAAGCGGTTAGATACGACGACGACTAACTATTTAGAGTCGTATAGTTTTACAGTAGATTTCATAATTATAAAAATTCAAAATAAATAAGTTTATTAATAGAAAAAAATGTAAACAACAAGAATATAATCATCAAAAAAATTGTAATAATTCAAAAATAATCATACATTAGCTTTCTCGAATATAGTCTCTCTCGGCAAACAACTATTGCGTAGGATATAATCAGTTAAAAATAATGCTTTTAAAATGTTTTTGAAGTATTTTATTTCATTTGAAGAAAATAGATAAAAAGAATTCTTTAAATTAAATTAAATTCAATATTTTTCATTAAAAAAGCCTGTCAATAATAGAAATTTCCATGTCTCTTCAAATTTGACCAACACTTGTAACTGTGATGTCACCTTTATATTGAAGAGCCATAACCTAAATAGAGATTTTATTGTGAAGAAAATGAACTCTACACTTTATTAATAAGACTTACAGAACCAGCAGGGATCTTATGATAGAATTCAGCGATAAGTTGATTGTTCATAAATATCTAATTGAGATGTTAAATTTTATCTAGAATAGCTCAAAACAATACTATTGATATCTTACTGTATATTTATCTGGATTACATGTAATTTGCAAATCAATTTGTATACCTGGCATCAACGGCATATAGGCTGGAAATGGTTGATTTTCTTCCTGACCCCATTGTCCATTTTGTCGATGATTTTTAACAATTTTACGTACATCAAAACGAGGGTTAAAATGAAAAGCAATATCATCGGTATCATTATATCCTTGTAGTAGATTAAGTTCAAATCGTTGTGCACCAGGAGGAATAAAACCTCGCACGAAAATACGAGAACCAGGATGTATTCTACATGATTGTATGGATGGTACTCCGCCACCACCCATCTACATTAGATCATAAAAATAGCAATATGTGAAAAGAATATAATTACTGGAAAAGAGGGTGTTGGAACAACACCAGGAACTGATGGAAATCCGAAACCAACGTTAAAATCTCCACCAAATGATGGTTGTCCAAACGATGGTTGACCAAATGATGGTTGACCAAACGATGGTTGTCCAAACGATGGTTGACCAAACGATGGCTGACCAAACGATGGTTGACCAAATGGCATGTTTACTCCCATTGGAGGAATATTCATTGAACTACCCATACCTCCCCCATAAACTTGAACTGATTCTAAATTAATATCGCCTTTGACTTGAACTAATTGAGCCAAATACATTGGTACTCGTTGGTAGAATTCACAAACATGTGAATTGTTGACAGCAATCTTTTTATATTTGATACAAAAAGAAAAACAAAATGAACTTCTCCCATTAAAACAAATTATAACATACATTAAAACCATTATTCGTAGCCATAATAACTAATGTAAATCGAACTCCACGTTGCATTGGTAATGGTTGACGTTGTTCTTGGCCCCATGCACCTCGTTGAGCTAAATATAACAAGATAGAATAACAGATGTTAGTAAGCATATATTTATACGTTAATATCATACCGCTATTAAGGATGAGTGCAGCAGCATCAAAACGTGGATTAAAATGTAGAACAATATCATCTTGCTGGTTTTTTAGATTAACTTCAAATCTAGTTCATAAAAATTTTAAAAGAAAACTAAATATTAAAATGAATCAAATTACTGGCTTCCTGTCGGTGTACCACTAACATGAATTTGGATACCAGCTGAAAGTGAAGGTGATATTGGTGTTTCATAAGGTACACGCTAGTATTAAAAAGACATTTTAAGCTAGGAGAACAATACTAAGTTTTATAAGATTTTACCAGTCCAAAGCCGGTGTTAACGGAAAAATTTGGATACATGTTGTTTAAAAATTGAATTTAGTTTAATCTAATGAATAGAAGAAGAAGAAGAAGAAGAAGAAGAAGAAAAACAAGATCGTATTTAGAACGTTTTTTCTGTCTTCTTATAGATATGTTTATTTACTATCTGACCTTATCAACATAGTCACATCAACGCTTTGTTCTTGGTTATTTAGCTTTTCTTTTTTCTCTCGAAAGATCTGCTTACATCTTTAGTTTTTTTCTCCACAGTATCACAAGCACTAAATAGAGTTCGTGAATTTTATTCAAAAGATAAACAACTTAGATAATGACACAATGCTATTCACTATGCATGAATATTTCAATTAACATACATTGATAAAGTCCATTTTTTGTTGCTTAACAATAGACTTTGAATGGAAAGAGAACATGTAGATTTCTTATCGACCGAATAGAAATTTAGAACAAGCAAAGTGATAAACGGCGGAGAATTGACCTGATACATGTGGATCCCTTTATTTTTTTGCATATACTCACACTTGTTTTCGTGATTGTCGTTCGGTGTAAACAATGGTATCAATCATTTCAATCTACTGACAAACAGCAGCTAAATTATGAGTAGTGCTTACAATTGCAACTAATATTAAGTGCAAAATGTTATTGTTTTCAGGCGTCCTTTTATTAGTGGATCATTTAAACATAGAAAATTCTATGTAGATACTCAACGGCATCGATTAGATAAATGAAATAAATGAATTGATTAGAATTTTATTTCAAATGCCATAAGAAATATAAACAAAGCATAACAATTTTTGTTTATTAGTGGTCGTGTTTGTGCTGATTAAAAATATTAAGCACATACTGAAGTACTATATTCAGTCACAATTGTTAGGATAAGGTTTTCTTTATGATTATTAACTTTCAACTGTAGTAATATTAAGTTTGTCAGTCTAATTTACCGATTCAAAATGGCTACCATTTCATGGAATCTTAAAATATTTATTACTTTTTTGCAAATTCATATGACTTTATTCATTTATCGTTATTCGTGGACTCTTCTTCAATAGATGAAAACAAAAAAATCTTAAACTCATTTGTAAATTTGTAATTGATCAGAAATGGATCCTAGCGCTCATGAACATATCGGATTTATGAAAAGGATAGGATACCATCACAAGTTTAAAATATACTTAATGTTATAATAATACAATAATATGACATCTAATAATATAACGCTTCTTTCTTGAAGAATGCCATAGCTAAAACTTAATCGATAAATGCCAGGTGTAATTGTTAACACTATTAATACTATACATATTATAACCACTATTGACATGGACAGCATCAAAATCCTCAATAGTACTGATACTAAATGTTCAGTGGCTAATAGATCACTAAAGCTATTTTCTGCACTTTTAAAACATACTTAACATTGTAACGATTTTTTCGTTTGTTTATTTGGTATTCACATCATGTAATCGAATGAACTAGTCGTTGTTTGTTGTCAATTCAAAATAATACAGATTATTAATAGTTGGGTTTTGTTTAAAGAAAGTCATCTATTTTAATTAGATGATATTTTGCTTATACAAATTATCTAACTGGTGAAAAATCAAGGATAAAAGTACACGCAGTCATACTTTTTAATCGTCAGTAATATAGTATCCTTAGTATTTAGAAATACTCATAGAACACATAAAAATGATGACTATCTGAAAAATGCCAAAACAGAACAGAATATTGGGAAGAGTTGCTAGAATCCGGCTCCGCTGGAATATCGGGCTACATCATTAACACACACTACTTCTCACTAAAAACTATCCATAAAATGAATGGCCAATGAAATAAAGTTCTATTTTGAAAATTCACATATATGATAGGATATTTATTTTCAATCCATATTCTTACTAAAATCGACCGTTTTTATACGATGTAAACACTCACAATATTGCAGAGTAAAATAAGAAGTTGATAAAAAAATAAATAAAATGAAAACTGAAAAATCTCTTTTCGCTGTCCTCTAATTACCACTTTCGAAAGCTGTTCAATTAAAAAATATTGACTCATCTTTGAAAAACTATTTTGTACAATTGTTGTCTTAGCTTTTTTACATGTAGAAAACCGACAATGATACGTTGAATGAATCTAAATATTTTTTTTCGTTCGATAGATAATGTTTGCATGTGGAACAAGAGTAAAAAATCTAAAATTTTTTCCATGATGTAACTATCTACCTTGATTCTTGCACTGTATTAGCTACCGTCTTGATCGTTTTTATACGAGTTCTTGGCTTGAATTTATGACCCTAACCGACTGAATTGATCTTCTGTTTGTTCCTATAGGAGAGTATACGAAACGGTCTAAAGATTCGCATGTATATTTTTGTAATATATTCATACGATAACCATGCATGTACGACATCCGTACGATTACCATCATCATCCACTGTAGCAACTCAGTAGAAAATATGAATCTCTCGAGTGATGTATGCATGAAAACATTGTACACAAAAATATTCTTAGTAAATAGAGGATACTGAATGAAAAGAAATCGTTCAGTATTATTATAGAAGTCAGTTGTATCGCTCTCATTATATATTTATTCGAGTAACATTTTTTATGTTTGTGCAACTCCATCATTTATACCCAACTTTTATAATGATGTATTCATGCGTTGTAGTTCGTTTCCTAAGAGTATCTAGCTGCTGCTCATCACTGTATGAAGCCAATATCAATTGCAGTTGCTATATTTTCATTATGATATCTACAGTGAAGTGCACAAATTGATATTGTATGAAGCAGTAGACACGATGCTTTCTTCATCATTCCATTTTCATTCTAAAAAGACGTTGTTCGAATTGCAAATCTCTTATAAATAAACAGGATGTTATGAATAACATTCGATGATGGAAAAATAATAATAATAACATTGTGAGAGGTTTAGTTCGAACATTTTTTTGATTTTGAATAATTTATCAATATGCTTATATATATATATATATATAAATATATATATTTCTTCTGACTTTTTTTATTGTATTTTTTTCTGTTCAAATGAATATAAATAAACGACAATATCAGAAGACAAGAGTATATATATTTGCAGTAAAATGTATACAAATCTCTGCGTGCGATCACAAATCTTCAAGAGTTTTTCTTACACATTCGCTAACTTTTTTCTTAAATGCTGCCCTATCGTCGCGCCACATCACCGATGCATCAATATTCGCTGCTGAATCACAGTTTGGATCACTTAGCATCGATAGAACTGATAAAAGAATTGTTTCTAAAACAGGCAGAAAACAGACTCGACACAAAATAGCTCTCAACACAACAAAAACGTACCAACTGATTGAACAGGTGACCAACGTTCAGATGGATTTTCATAACCAAACTGATCAACACCAGGCTCATGAAGCTAAATGAAATTTTATTATTATTTAAAAGATTCAAAAGAAAAATGCTATTGATCTTACAATTGATATGCATACGTCACCATTTTTCTCAATATTCGGATGCCAAATCTCAGAAATGAATTTCTATGCAAATAAAAGAAAATATAATTAAAACGATTGAATAAGAAGTCTATACCATTTTCGGTGGCTTTATTGGATACTCTCTTGGAAAATCCAATCGTGCTTTAAAAAATCCTCCTAATTAAAATGGAAATTGTTTATGTGAAAAGCTTTTCCCCTAAAAAGTAACTATGAAAAAGAAAATCACCTTCATATAATGTATCAGAAGGTCCAACAAGAATCACGTTCCATGCATATGGATTTGATTCATCGATGAGACCTGCACTGATACCTTCCACCGGATGACGGTTTAATTCACGTAATTGTTTAAGCAGAAGTAATGCAGAAGCATCCATTAGAAAAATAATCTAAAACAATGTATTTTTATCTAATTCAAAGCGATAAGTACTCCAATCAACATAGAATCATTCGAAAATATTTATTAAAAATCAAGAATATAAAGAAATATCTTCTTTAAATTCTTCTTCTTCTTCTTCTAGTACAGATGCAGTAATTCTATGACTAATTTTTATGCAAGTTATTTGCTATTTGTTTATTCACTTTTATCAACTAAAATGCAAACAAATTTGTTTTAATATTATTTTTTACATAATTATTTCAATATTTATGCACATCGATTTTTATAAATTGGTACTGCTTACTAGAATAGAAATTTCTCCTATCGGTTAATTGTGATTAGGATAAGCTGAAATTAAAGCAAATCGAATTAGGTTCAGACCTATAACACACTATGCAAGAAAAATTCATTTAGAAAATATGGATATAAGAGTTTGCTCATAGATCGAAATTACAATTAATAAATTGTTCTCAAATTTGAGCTCAAAAAAATGTTGTTTTTGCTTGAGATATGAAGTGTCTAAGAGAATTCCATGCTATGTTTTTTTCTGATCGATAAGCATTTGCTCAGTACTCATTATCTTAAAGAAGAATATCTTTTATGTGAGTTGAAATTTTCATAATATTCTATTAGCTGAAAAAAATGCATAGAGACAAATGTTGTTTAGGTGACCATCTTGTGAGTGAAATCTTTAAGATGATATAAAGCTTGACTGAGTAATACTATGGATTTAAATTCATTCACAGATTTCTTAGCTGTACTCAATGCTATCCACAGTGGAATTATTGAGTTGAATGGATTCGGACAGTGAGATATGTTTTCTAGTTAGTGTATCTGTATTTATATTTTTGAATTGGTTTTTGTTCTCTCATCATATGAATTTTCTTGGCGTAAAATGATATAATAGAATTTCAGAGTATAATGAAACATCAGATCGTTTAGTTTCAAAAAACTTACAATTTTGTTCCTGTTCTCTTTAATACTCCTGAAGTTTCAATTGCACTAATAAATTAGTTTACTGTTTGTCTATGTCATTTCGGATGATCTCATTAGTACATTTTTGAATTATAGAAGTTTAAATTTTACTGTACACAAATTATGGGCTACTATTATCTATACTAATTCTCTAAAGATATTATCACAATTCAATTGCTTCGTCTTTCTATTAGAAGTATTTCATATTCATTGATGCGAACTCATGTCAACAATATGGTATCTATTTTTTATGCTATAGGTAATATTAAATTAAGTTTGAACTACTTAAATAATACTAAGACAATATCAATTGATTACTAGCTGTTATTACAATCGTAATTGATCAGTATTTAATCCATGATTTTAAAAGAATATTGTGAGAATTGATTAGATAGATATGCTAGAGTTCCGATCCTGTCACTGCAATCGAATGATAAATTTGAGTAATGCTTCATTTATACACTTCAATATATATTAATTCGATTTGTATGTAAAAGTACTGTACATATGTGTACACAAACATAACAGCAGAAACTAATCTAACTCTACATAAGGTATTCTATGAAAATAAAATGATTCAAATTTAAAAAACCTATTGTTCAGTGATATCTATGCCGGTTCTACCACTTTATTGTACTTATCAACAGCTAGTAGAGGTCAGATTTCGAAATGTGTTTTTTTTTCTTGTAAGAAATTTAATGCAAAGATAAGACTGAATTGAAGTAGTCTATCAAGAGCTACGGGGACATTTACTTGAAATATATTCAACATATCATGCTGTAAATATTTCAATATTTTATAACAACACAAGCAAGATAATAGTATTTAATACCACATACTTCATCGATTAATTGTCTTCTAAATAAAATATCTCTAAAAATAGATAGAAAAAAAAAAACATTAAATAAATCATTTTCTTCTTGATATTTTTACTTTAATTCCAATTAAAGTGAAAGTTTGAGAGAGCTGATATATCAAACATTACCTGGGACAATATCAAATAGCATTTCATGTACTTATTTTATCAACACAACGATATTCAAAACAAATTGAATTATAACATTTGATGGATTCTTCGATGCAAATTCTTGTTTTGACATGATTGATGTAGAAAATATTTGATTTTAATGTTTATTATTATTCAGTCTTCAATTTCCATTATCGAACACGTGTTCATGACAGCATCAATTTTAAAATTTTCATTAATAAATTAATCAACACTATGATTAATATGTTTTTTTGTGAACAAAACTACCAGACATGATAAACATCACTACTAGAAATATAACACAAATTTATTAAATAACATTCTTCAAAGGATTGAGCTGTCAGATTTCAAAGAATAAATTGTTGAGCTTAAGCTAATTTAATTATGACTGTTCGACTCGAAAGTCGCATCATTTTAATTGATATTATTCTTCACAGCAAAAAGAAATCATTCTGTTAAATAATCATTTCATGATGTATAATTTACAGTATGTTTTATGTAGATACGTATGTAGAGTTTATGATAATAAATACGATGTATACAAAGAAGGAACTATTTACATCGAAAACAACTTTTTTCCATTTCGAGAACAAGACCACTCGAGTCATCTACTTCTGAGTAATATATTAACTCGATAAATAGCATTAGTCGACTAAGAAAATAAATTTATTTATAACTTCATAGTCAAGATATTTATCATGCTCTATTGATATTTCTATCAAAACTATTTTGAAATCTTGAAAATAAATTGCTTTCAAACATGCAACCGTTTTTAATATAATCTATAAAAGATGATGTATGTATGGAAGTGTCATTTATATGATAATGAAAATTGGGCATCGTTATCCTTCATTCAAGAGACGAGTTCCGATTCACGAAATATTGGAAATCGATTTGAACTAGAAGAAAATTTTTCTTTCAATTGCCAGTGAAATTCATTAAAAAAATCATATGATTCTGCGAGATAAATCCTATAAACTATGAGTCAGAACGCAACTAAATGGAGAAAACGTACCAAGCGCTAGTTGTCCATTAAAGCAAAAGAAAAACGAGTAGTGAAGAGTGTTTTTTAGGCGTGTTAGAAACTAATTCTAAACTAGTAGCCTCTAGAACGAGATCCGGAATAAGCAGTATATTTGGGCTCAATTATCTCCATTTAGAAGGCTGATAGCAATATGGTTAATTTAAAATAAACTAGTCCATATAACTCAAAAATAAGCAAATCCCATAAGATCTAGCATCTTTAAATATAATTAACTTTATTTTGACGATGGCAACATTTACAATTCAATGCTAAATTAATTTCTTGAATACAAACCTTTCGAACAATTACTATTATGATATTAATGGCCTCCACAAAATTAATTGGTATTTCATTTGATTCACATATTCTATTTTAGACATAGACGAAGGTAATCAATATTCGATGACAACGGTTCACATTGATAAATATATTTGGATGAGATTTTTGTTTTGAATAAAATTATATCTAGAAACAAAATAGAAGTTTTTTTTTCATACAACACGATTTTATATTTCTATGAATTATATTATTTTCATTCAAGATTTTTTAACTTGTATCTATTATATTTTGATTTTGACTACATTTAGAAATTATCAATAAAATCCGAATGAAAAAATTCAAGATCATTCTAACTATATTTTCAAATATTTCAAGCTTCTTGATGTGTTTACCTTGAATACGAATAACTACAGACGAATAATGATATCTTCGTATATGTATGTGCATATTCTGTAATTAAATACGCCATTAATATTGATCAAACGCTGTTAAAATCGCTACTCAATGATTTTTGCTCAATCCTACACAAAATCTTTTATTCATTGTTGAAGAATTAATATTTCATCGATTGAAATTTATCTTAATTGCTCATCTCCGATTATTCTCTATTTTTTTTATGACCGCTTTGCATAATATTATCGAACAATATTCAATAGATATCGAACAGATAATAACTCGACAATATTATTTGGTTTGCACTAGAAAAAAATCTGTACAAATAGAAACCAAGACGAAGGTCATTAGTTTACAACTATTTCTATTATTTCTATTCTACAAGATATGATCGTAACCAATTGATAAATATTTATTCTCAATAGCCAATAGAAAATAAGTCCTGAACAGCTGATACAAACTAGACAATAATAAATAGACGCCATCTTTTACAAATACAATAAGTTATTTTATAACGACAAAAAAAAACAGATTTTATTCTTCGTTAAGTAATGAATAAATATTTTCACTAAATTTTTCATTAACATTAATAACGTTAATATTATGACGAATATTCAATTTTATGTAACAATGAAGTAAATGTTTGTCAAAATGTGATCTACCGTTACAACAACTATTTCTTTTCATCGTGCGACGACACATTCTTCGACTATTTTCTCTTCTAGATATATTTTTTTCAAAAGTTCTTTTGATAAATGACTAATACAATAAATATTCAGGTGTATATGACCATAATATGGTCCGATCCTCAAGTTAATATTCATTCATAATAATAGTTAATTAATGTTCAGATAGCAATGCAGTCATCGTCAAGAATTAATATATTTTTTTTTACTATAAGTTTATTTGTTTTATTAATCGGAATTGTCTATCAACCCTTACCTGACAATTTCCCTCAACCATGGAAATATCGATTTCTTTCATATTGGGCTCATCGTATTGATCAGCTGGTATGCCAATATTTGTTAAATCCTTTTTTATCAAAAAATGCAATCAATTGTATTTAGGGATCCTATTGTGAACAAATGAATTTATTTACTCGTATTAATTTAATACGAAATCTTCATTATCTATCAATGGGTTTATTTAAAAAACGACATCCTGAATGTCGTTTGAAAGTATGAATTTAATCATTTAAGAAAATAAACGTAATTATTTTCTATTTAGGTTTATGATAGAAAAATTGCTAATGTTCATGTACGAATTTATGAACCAGAAGAATCGATTGATCATGAAGAAAAAACAACCATGATTTACTTTCATGGTGGTGGATTTCTTTTAGGATCAATTGAAACATATGATCAAGCAACTTATCGAATGGCTAATCTAACACGCACTACTCTTTTTGCAGTCGAGTAAGTGCATAGGAAAAAGCTCAAATTTTTTGCAAAAAAAAAATTAAAAAAAAAAAACTTTTACTGCAATTCATACAAGAATATAAAAATATTTTATATTTTATTTTCTGAAAATTTCAACATACTATTATCTATTTAGGACTAAGATTTCATAGGTTAGGTATGTTCGAAATCTCGAGATAAAAATTTGAATATTTCTAAAATGAATACATTCACAAATGTGAATCAATTTGAGTTATTCATTTATTTCATGAAGATCTATTTTCATAGATATTATAAAATTCCAATATAGTACATCGCAGAAATCGGGTTCTTACCGATTTGAAAGTTATATTGATAGAAACTCTTTATTTTGCTTTCATCAAGAAAACCAAAGTGCTTAAAAATTCAAAAGATCCAGTAAACATTGAAGAATGGCAATAGCTAATAATTAAAAACTAAATATCTAATTAAAATTGTTTTTTACTTCATTATCAATGTATTTATCATCACAATGTCCTCAGTTAATGCATTTACTTTTGATAAGAGTCAACTTGAAGTTATGTATTCTTTTGTTTTCATTATAATAAACTAAATGTAAATCCTACAGGCTCGATGGGTTTACATAGATCGTAACGGCATTCTATTTTGAATTATAAGAAGTGCGAAAAATTGTCATTCATTTTTTCTACACGTGAAATTGATTGAACGCAAAATTCATCATTTGCAGTATTCATGTTGATTTTTACCTTCATTTTTTTGTTTATCATTCTCAATTTTGAAGGAAGGACATTTACTATTGAAATTGATCAATTTAGATATCGTTTGGCACCGGAACATCGATTTCCAAGTGGTTTGGAAGATTGTTTATCGGTTAGTCGAGAATTATTTGAGAATGGGCACAATTATAAAATAAATTCTAATCGAATTATAATGTCTGGCGATTCAGCTGGTGGAAATTTAGCGTTGGTTGTTAGTCACTTATTAATTAACGTTGGACATACACCCTATTTACTTTCTCTATTATATCCTTCACTACAATTTTTTGATTTTACATTACCATCTTATCGTACATATTTAAAACAAAATATTCTTGGTGTTTTAAATGAAAATAATCTTGTCTCAATGGTATCTTTATTAAGTGAAAATGAAATTCAAGTAACAAGCGATTTTTTATTGAATTCACATTTATCAATTGATGATAAAACTAAACTATATCCCTTTATTGATCCAAACAAATATTTATCGATAGCACATGATTTTAATATATCTCATGAAGGAAATGAAAGTTTAATTAAAGATTTAAAATATTTATTATCTCCACTAATGTCTCCACTGCTTGTGTCTGATGAACAATTATTAAAATTACCAACAATTCTTCTTTTTACAACTGAATTTGATATTCTTAGAGACGAAGGTAGATCAATTCGATTAATAAATTTCATTGATTAAACTTTTATCTTCTTTAATTTCGTAAGGTTTCATATTTGCTTCTCGATTAAATTCATTAAATAAAACAATTTATCATCATCATTTCTCTAATGCATTCCATGGTGCACATGCTTTCTTATATGGTCCATTAAGTTTTGAAATAGCTCACCACATGATTGAACATACCGCCCAAGCAATCAAAAATCATCTGTGAATGTATTTACCCAAATTGTTAATTTATTTTGTCTTTATTCAAATAAAAATAGTATAGAATGAAAAAAAAATGAATTTTTTCTCTTGATTCAATTCAGACCAGTTATGAATAGTATTGTCTAGTCACTAAGATGTCATTATTAGAAAAAATGCTTACTTAAAATCCTGTTATTGTCATATAAAAAATGTAAATAATAACACTATAAATCTGATAAATATTTTTCCATCTCGTATTAGTACTGTGTAAATCTACTTTTTTTTATTATAAAATCAGAAGCTTCTATAAAATAATAGTTCTACTACGTACCATTATGATTCTAGCGTATTATGGATTTAATCAAAAGAGTCTGTATTATTACTATATGCATCTCGAGATACTGCTTATTTATACTAATTTTTAATCGAAACCTGGATGAAATTGTTGAACATCGTAAACAAAACTTTTTTTCAAATATTGACTCGGCATGACTTGTGGATATTATGCAGGTCTTTTGGTTAGTAATCTGCGTGACCAATCCATCGTGACCAAAGAAATAAAAGATTATTCAATAACAGTTTTTTTATGGTGGCTGTGGAAAAATAATTCTAATTGATATTTTGTGTTCAGAATTTTAAGCTCTTCAAAATGATACAAGAAAATTTCGACACATTCGTCGTGATCAATTTTGATCACGACTGGTCACGAAGCTTTCTGGTCACGACGAGTATTCCTCAGTTTTCTCCGCTGCAGGTGAACGTATCCTCAATCTTTTGTATCATTTTGAAGAACTTAAAATTCCGAACACAAGGCATCAATCAGAATTATTTTTCTACAACCACCATAGAAACTGTTATTGAATAATGTTTTATTTCTTTGGCCACCCAGATCACTACTTTTGGTATACTCTAATCGTCAAATAGAAAATTCAAATCTACTAACATGAATAAATGACATTAAAGATATGGCTTTGTCATATTCATCTATTCATATCGAAACGGCGAAAAGATTTGAAACTCTCATAATAAACTACGCTGTTTATCGACTATCTTCGTGAAAAGTGAAAGTTAATCTTTGCAAATTAATCTCTTCAATATTCTTGAAGATAATAATTCTCATTTAAACGATAAATTAAAATTACAAGCAAGTTTTTTTAAAACTATGGATTAGATTTAATAGGAAGTACATTGCTCGATATTAAAGAAGAATCAACCACTCAGAAGGAAATTTTGTTGTTAAGCATGTAATTGCATACGATAGGATGTCTGACATTGTTACTTCATCTTATCTCTTTTTTTGAATTGTAATACATAATCATTATTGAATTGTGTAGTCCATATCTTAGCGTATGTTCTCATTCTCTATTCTCTTCCAATACTATATACTTTAATAATATATCATCCACGTGTTTTATATGTATCATAACATTCTTTTTCTCTAGCCATTATTATATTTCGCACTTATACGTAAATTAGACGTGAAATAGAAATGCCAAAAAACGATACCCATTTTTGTGCGAAATGGTTTCATAAACTTGATGATACAAAACATCCATGTTCACGTTGGCTTAAACAAGGAAAAACTCCGTGTACATTTTTATGCATTGTTTGTAATGAAGAAAAAAGTTGTAAAAATGGTGGTTGGTCTGATGTTTATAAACATTCTCAACGACCAAAACATCTTCAACGTCTTAAAGATATTATTGAATCTGGTCAATTAATTATCACAACAACATCATCATCTCTTGGAGTAAACACAAGTCACGAACGTGTGTTAACATTGGATGAAAAAGTTACACGAGCCGAAACTTATTGGGCAATGGCAACAGCTAAACTTGGTCTTAGTTATAATTCTTCACAATATATTCAAGAATTATTTTGTCAAATGTTTCCTGATAGTATTGTTGCGAAAGAATTTTCCATGAAACCAAGAAAATTATCTTATATATTATCACACGGCACAGGTCGTTATTTTGCTCAAGTTATGTTAAATGACTTAATGAAAGCACCTGGATTTACACTAATATTTGATGAGACAATAGTTGTTGGCGTAAGAAAACAATTAGACTTACATTTTCGTTATTGGTGCGAAAGAAAACAAGAAATCGTCGTACGATATTATAAAAGTATTTTTCTTGGTCATGCTACAGCTGAAATACTTTTTCGAAATATGATTGATGCATTAAGAGCAGATGGCGTTGATATAACGAAAATGTTAATGTTGGGTATTTTCTAAAATATTTCATTTATTTGAAGCATCATTGCTATCTATTTTTCTAATTTTCAACTAGGTAGAGATAATCCTAATGTGAATAAAGCAGTTGAATGTATGATGGATAAAGCAATACGTCTTGAGAGAGAAAAACAGTGAGTTATGATAAAAACTTTTAATATTTTACATGTTTTCATTGCACTATTTTACGACTGAAAATGATCGGATGTTCACAACAGTTTGCTGAATGACGATATCAAGTAAAAAGATATGTAGAGTTTATCGAGCTAAAAGACATATTTTTGAATCAAATAGAGCATTTTGCAGCTTTATTTTGTTATGTAATACCATAAATTTCTGATAAATAAAAGAGGACACTTATCATTATTGCTTGATGTTAAGTTTTAAAAACAGTGACTTTATTATGAACCTCATATTGGATTTGAATGATCAAATACTAAAATAGTGAGGAGACTCAGTACAATCTAATTTGGTTTAATATCACTTCTACATCATATTTGCATTATAGTTTTTCTCTGTTCATTGACAGGCATAGAAAAAAAATCTCTCATCTTTAATTAGTAGTTATATTAGTTATTGACATATGAGACAGTCAATATTTTAAACATGATACATTTTAACTATATCATCCGATTACTTGTACAGAGATATAGATTATTCATTCATATTGTAAATAAACGTATTTGTAGAGTTGTATCGGATCAGAATTGCTAACAACTGACACTAATATCAGTTTGATTTCGTCTAGCTGAATTAAACACATACATCAATTTTTAACTCGACTAGAATAATGCATAGATCACTGCATCAGTGATTAATAGTTATTTCATTTCTCTGGGAATCTCAAAGTTAATGATTGTGTAGTAAAATTTCTATATCGATCATTTTATTTCACATAATCTAGCTAGTTTCTTAATCGTATACGATAGTAGAGTGCTTATGATTACGCTATTATTAAAAGACCTTCGTTAAAACTTATGAAAAAATACGAGTAAAATATGTTAAATTAGGTTAAAATTCATCGTCTAGTTCGACTACTTTTTATTTTGTAAATTGAAGTGTATATTCAATAGTTATATATATATATATTACTCGATACGTGAAAAAAAGAATTTTTTCTGATTGAAGAAAATTCAATAAGACAATAATTTCTCAATAATTATTTATGTAATTACATATATATAATCTGGGCGGCGATTCGACCTATATTTCCTCTATTTCCTCTATTCTCAAAAACGTCCTATTTTTGTCCTATATTTTAATGAAAATTCCTATTTTTCCTATATTTTATCGAAGAAAGTAGAAAATTTCCAAAAACCTCTTAATTTTGCTATTGCCTTTAGACAAAAAAAAACTTTTAATGTGTATAATCATGTGTTTTGGACAAATTCTTGTATTATAGTGACATTTATTTTAATAGTATTTTTCCTTTCGCCTATTTAGTGGGCTGATTGAGAAATTGTTTAATACTAAGTACAAAATACAAAATAGCTCAAAGAAAAAAACATTCACAAAATGATCATGTACTAGTTTCGGGTTTTTAGTGAGGTTTTAGTTAGATATAAAAGCTGTATATATATATACCCCTGGAAAAAATAAGTTTCGCTCTGTATTTTGAAGATACTGTTACCAAAAGAACATCTTTTTTTAAAAGGAACGACATCTTCTGAAAGCTCGTGAAATTTTACACCATCCTGTGTATATGCATTTTCATTTACACTTATTTATTACCAGAAAAAATTGATTTATGATAAAATACAAAATAAACTTGTGGAAAATAATAAGCAATAAATGCTGATTATCAGGACAATAAAATTAGGTTGAAATTTTTTGGGAAGTCATGTCCGTAATCTGAAACCTCTCCTTTAATTTATGAGAATAGTATTTGTCTTTTTCATGTATTTGTTTTTTCAAAGCTTATGATCTACTTTACTGTTATTTATCGATTTGTGAAAAACTTTTATAATGATCCTCGAATTAGCGACTTATTTCCGCAGAAAAAATTACATAAGGATCTTGGCTACAGTCGAACTGTTTATAACAGCTTCATTAAAACGATTTTCGAGCAGGACAGTTAAAAAACAGCAAAACAATTCAACAGAAACTATGTATAAAACATCCTATATTTTTGTCATTTTTTATCGAAAATCCTATATTTTTGACAACCTTGATCCTCTAAGGATTCCTATATTTTTAAACAAGTGCAATCGGAGGCCAGATATATAATTTTTTCTAATTTTTTTCAATGGTAAGATCGTCATCAACAATAAAATTAAATATTGGTTTGATTCATATTGGTTCATGTCCATTACATTTAATCCATAATTCATTTAAAAGAGGCATTGATAATACAGATTGGTCAATTGAAGGGTTTCTTGATCATTTAGATTCTTGGTTTAGTCGTTCGCCTTCACGTCGTGCAGATTATCTAAAAATAGCTAAAAATATATCAAATGGTACTGGTAAATTTATTCGTCGTTTCATAATAGCACGATGGCTTGATGCTGGACCAATAATTGAACGTATTATAGAACAATGGACAAATCTTAATGAATATTTTCTTAGATTTATTCCATCAAGTCGTAAGATTTCACCGAATAATCATCGTTATATACAAATAAGAACAATGCTTGAAACCAAGTCGACATTAAGTCATTTAAATTTTCTTCTTTTTCTTTACCATAATATATATGAACAAATCTTATTATGGTTTCAACAAAGTCAACCTTTAATACATTTATTATACGATGAATGTGAACAATTGATACGACGCTTATTTTCATGTTTTATAAATGAAGATCTAATTAAAAATAAATCATTCAGTGAAATTATGAATATTTCATTTCATAATCAAGTCAATCAAAAATGTGATATTAGTAAGATTGTTTAAATCATTTTTACAACATAAAAGTTTCTTCTACGTAAATGTGAAGAAGAAGAAGAAGAAGAAGAAGAATAGCTACTTAGATTATTATTTTTTATATTTTTCATTATAGTAGAATAGCAAAGTTTGCAGAAACTTTATTTCACCTTGAGTATCTAAGTTAAAAAGTACCTTAAAGGTTACTATATTTTTTTTTGTTCTATAGGGATTGTTTGCTGACAGATATCTTTGTAAGCTAATATCTCAAAATCCTACTGAAATATTATTAATTTGATCTCTGCAGGATTCAAATCTCAAAATGAAATGCGTCTCTCTTGAAAGTGAGATATATTATCATTTGATTCTCGTTTTTTTTTATCCTATTATATTGAGATATACGTACCAGAATAAACATGCTTAGAGACAGAATTTTGAAAGTTTTCAGCAAATAGAAAATTCGAAAACCATTCTTATCGCCAATGAATATGTAGTAACTAATTTCCATTATGTAAGAAAGAAAAATAATTAAATCAAAATATTTTCTTTTTTTTAGGTTTAGAAATAGGTGAAGCAACTCGTCGTACTTTAATTAATGTATCTGATGAAGAAAGTAAAATTTTTTTTTTGGATATTCGAAATTTTTATTCGCTGATAACTAAAGAACTGCTACGAACATTACCATTAAATAATGATTTACTTCGGCATTTCCAATGTTTACATCCAACAATGCGTCATTCAGAAGCATCTCATATTAGTATTATGAATATTGCTCGAAGTTTTCCACAAATGAATGTGCCAGATGATATTGATCGTATTACAGCTGAATGGTATATTTATCAAAATGAACAAATACCAAATGAATGGTTTGAGAAAATGAATAAATATCATGCAATTGACTATTATTGGAAACATGTTTTTACACTTAAAACAAATACTGGTACAGATAAATTTATTGCTTTACCGAAATTACTTAAATGTGTATTTGCATTATCGCATGGCAATGCTGATGTTGAAAGAGGATTTAGTGAAAACGCTTTTCTATTAACAGATGATCGTTCACTTCTAAGTGATGCATCAATCAATGGTTTACGTTCCACTAGAGATGGCGTAAAATTTTTTGGGAATGGCAAACCACACGAAGTACAAATTACGAAAGCTCTTATCGATAGTGTTCGTGATGCTCATTCACGTTATTGTATTGATTTAGAAAAACGACAAGGCGAAGTATTAGCAAAAGCAAATTTAGAAAAAGAACAAATCGAAAAAGACATTGCTAATGAGAAAAAAAAAGATTTATATGATGAACAAAACTCTCTACATAAAAGTTTGACAAATATACAACAAATGATTGATGAAGGTACTGAACGTTTAGCAAAAGCGGTGTCATCAAAACATTTCGAAGAAATTGAAACCGCATTATTACTTATTGAAGGTGGCAGTAAAAAATTAGCTACAACTAATACACACATTATTTATAACACTAATCAAATAAATCAACTAAGAAAAAAACAAAAGACATAAAAAGTTGTTGCATGACTAAAACCATATGTTTGATTTTTTTCCAGTTACTTATAGCTTTCTATTTTATGAATAAACAGAAACAGATTTAGATAAAAGAACGCGAAATTATTTACTCATGTATGCTACACACAAAGATGTTTCATTCGTTTGGTTTTCAATATTACTATATAATTAAAGTGTAAACGCGAATCTCGAGTTAAATAATGTGATGAATAATTGTAAGTTTGCCGATGTGTATTAACGCCTGGAATGTAACGAGTTAGTTTTTACGCTTAGAATCATTATTGTTTTCGGGTTCTTACGGATCGATCGAATTGTGCAAGTCCTCTTTTTAATACATAATTCTATAGAATGAGCAGATAAATGAAATTTAACCCTATAAAAAAATCTAATATCCTATTAGAAAAATCCACGAGAAGCACTATTGTGGATGAATTCTTAGTTTTTCTTGATGGTTTTTCTGTTCTGGCAGATCAATCGAGTTCATTTCTTAAAACGTCATCGTATATATGAAAGGTTAAGTTTAAGATAATTTTCTTAGTATTTGCCGATGACATGTATCAAGTTCAATTAATTTCGAGCAATCATCCATTAACATGCATAATTCTTGGTTCTATTTAATTCATAGCGATTCGCTTCAATACCGTTTCGGAACACTTGTCGACGTATCAATATATAGTTTAAGTTGATCTACGCCAATATAGATATCCTCATAGAAAAAATGGAAGTATTATAGCTGTCGATTATGATTCATTTTGTATTGTTTTCCTGTCTAGATCAGAATTGAAAGATATTTTGAAAACGTTGTAGAAAATTTCAATAATGTTTTTCTAATTTTTATAGATAAGTTTCAGGGAATGATACTTTCACGCAAGCAGGTTTTGTTGCCCTCATTGCTCATAAAGAATACTTCATTTTGAATAGTATCAGTGACACTTTTTAAATTAAATTTATATGACCAGGTATTTTATGGGAATACAATTTTTCGCTGAGTTTCCAATGATGCAAGGATTCATCTTATGATTAGATTCATTATCAGATACATCTACAGTGATACTGTTATCCAGTTTGTCATAGTACTCTATTATAAAAAAATCCTTAATTCTCTTATTTTTCCTTTGATATTTTCTCCTTTTGTCTAATGTGTCTGTCTGTCATAATAAAATTACACTTCTGTTTCTTATCATATTTATTAAATTTTTGTATCTCTGTCTATTCTTGTTTTTTTTTTCGTTAGCAGAACAATCAAAATGAAGGCATCGTATTCATATAAAGACCAAAGTGGTGTTTGCTACTTTATTTAACGAAACTATTTCGAGGGTAGAGTTTTGCAGCAGATCATTCAAACGCGGTTCAATGCTAGCTAAAATAATCAACAAAAGCTCAATGCAATTATAAAAAAATACCAGATCATATATCAATATGAGCAAAATTAAAGGTATCCATAATAAGTAGTAAAATCTGTGATTTAAAAATACTTTTTTATCTACGAAGTAAACATTAATTGTAGGTAATTACTATCTAGCATCATCCTTATATAGTGTCGAATGAACTTAGAATTGATTTAAATTAACAATCATAATTATGTCAAGGAAAAGCTTTTCCAAAGTTATGAGATTTATATAACAATAAATATAAAGATTCACGTACAAAAGCTAACTCTTGAAAACTACAGAGTATTAAATAGATATACTCGATACGAGTAAAAATCATTAAATGAAGACATAATGGTCAGTTTACATCGTTATATAATCAATGCAATCATCGGAATACACACGAAACCTATGAATAGAAAAGAAAACGAAGTGAATTTTTCTACTTAACCACTGTCTTAATCGAGTATTAGTAAATTTTATTTATGTCTTCAAATTTTTGAACAATCTAGATGCATTACTAAAATGACTATTTAAGTAACTTGTTAATCGACCTTAGAAAAAAGCTAGTGAGCCATTAATACTGATATTCAACATTGTTAAGGTGACTTATCCGATAGAGAAAAAAATAATTATATGTAAATGGATTTATTGAATACATAGTGATGAATATTTTACAATTTTCCTATGGAATATCTGTAACGTGTCAGAGCCACAATATTTAGTAGAACCTTTCATATTTGAATAGCTTTCAGTAAGCTAATAGTTTGTGTCTTATGCTTTATTACAAAATCTTCTTTAGTAAATTTTTTTTTCATTTCTTTTCTTGTATGCTTTCACACTACGCTTTGACGAAATACAAGATAGCAATATATCAATCCATGAAACAAATGATTCAAAAAAAAAGAGAAAAGAAAAGAGGAAAAAACAGAATGCATGACCATTGAATCTTATTACAATAGAAAAACAACCAAACGTAGACGAACAACGTTGTTTAAACGACAAGAACAACAAGCAAAATAAGACGACATAGAATAATAAATACAAAAATATATGCATAGCAAAAGAATGTATATGTCTGTCGTTTGAAAACAATGATTTAATTATGATGTTCGAAAAGCTTCAGGTGGAATCAAATTCTAAATTAAAAACAAAGAAAATACAATTATTAATTAAAGAGAAAAAACACAATGAGAAGAAAAACAAACCATTTTTTGGCAATCTTGAAATTTTTGTGCAGCTTTATTATAATTCCAATCATTTTCAACTAAACAACTAAAATCCCAGTGATAAGAAAAAATAAACTATTTGTTGAAAAATTCAAAATAAAAACTAACAGTCTTGAATATTCGATATTCATGCCAGATTCTTGTGAAAATTTTTGTATCATTTGTGCTTGTATATCTATGCTTGGGCCAGCTTGGCTTTCCATTATTGCTGGTGGTGGCGCTGTTGTTGTTGTCGGTATTGTTCCGTTAGTTGGTGGTGTAGAACGAGTCATGCTCTAAACATAAGAAAATGAATTATTTTTGTCATTAAAATAAAAATAGTCAGTGCATACCATCACTTGATTATCAGTTGCATTAATAATCATGATATGATCAGCAACAATCAATACACTAAATCATTAAAAAAAACTCTTTGTAAAAAGATAAACAAAAAGCAAACTATGCAATTTACCCTGAAGATGTTTGTGAACAGGTAAATGTACGTTGAAAACTACGAACAGGTCCATTAACTCCTTGATCAACTATATTTTAAAAGTTTCGATATTTTAATCATGAATGAAAAAATTTTAAATCAAGCCTACTTTCTCTATAGAGACCATTAACAGAAAAGATTGCACGACTATTCTAAAGAATATATACAGCGTACAAGTAACAAAAAATCATTCATTGTACAAAAGAAAACTTACAGCTGTTGAGAAAACATCAACATGAAATGATTTTCCGTCATGTTTTGTTAATGGAAATCTAACTCTTAAAAAATCTAATACATCCGCTTTGCCATGCCGTAATAAAGCAGTACGTTTGTTATCATCGAAAATTTTCTTTAAATTTCGTGAATCATAAATTAGTGCACCATATTTATAAGATTTTGTTTGAACAATTGAACCTTCAGTTGGTGCAATACATAATGAAAACATACATGTATCATGATAGCAGGCATGTAATTCGCCACGACCACGTGTATCAAATAAACGATAATATTCATCAATGAATTTTGCTAAAAATGCTTGCATTTCTTGTGGTACACAATGGGGTACCGTTGGTGGTAAATGAATTGCTTCATTATCAACGCCAAACCCAATTTTCGTCGGAAGTTCAATATCATCCTGAAAAATAAAATTTCAATCTATTAGCTACTTACTAATAAAAACGCAACGACACACGTACCACTCGTTTAAGTTGTGGAAGCTTTTGTTGAATGGTGCTAGAATGGTATTAGATGGGCCCGATGATGAATATTTGTTGCACAGTGCAACTGCAAAAATAGACACACAAACAGCAGCACACAAAAGAGTCATGCTCGCCTTTTTCTTTCTATGATTTGCTTGGCGATTCAAATCCATGATTTAAATCGAACGTTTTATATATACGTATATTTTTTTCATTTTCTCAATCATTCATATATATATTCATCCGTTAGTTAAGCAATTTCTGATATGTTCTATATAGTTTTCTCGTCGAAATCGTGATCTCACAAGCATACATAACATAACTCTCATCACAATTACAACAAAAATAAAAAGAAGATAAACAGTATGATCTTCGCCGTTGCTATTTAACAAAGTTCATTTAATGAATAAAAACATTTAAATTCATAATGATTTAATATCGGATGTCTAATCTTTATGGTAGGATCGATAAATTCATATCAACAAAATGACATTTATCAATTGATTTATATTACATTGAAAAACAACAGAAAACCAAATCACCAGAATCTGTCCCTTGTTTTTTTTCTAATTAAATTAATTTTTAGACATCCAGTTTCGAATTAATTGTTAAGCCCATTTAATAAATTAACCAATTATTTCTTTTTTTATTGTTGTTGTTTGATTACGTGAGAAGAATAAGATTTTTCGACGTACAAAAAAAAGTATGATTTAATTTTCAATCAAGCAAATTTGAATACAATTTCATTTTTCACTCTCTCTTGATTCTGATTTTTCGACGTACAACACACTCACACTTTTAATGAGAACACGATTGCGATGAGAATTCTATTTTATCGGAATCGAACCGATTAAGTTTGCTTTTTTCTTTGCTTTCATTTGGATGAAAAATCGAATGATTAGTGAGAAAAAATAATTTCTCTAAGTAGACAAAACGTTCGATTTAAGAACATGTTTCATATTTGTCTCTGTCTGTTGTAAGTGTCCATGAAGAAGAAGAAAAAAACTTTAGTAGATCTGACCTGATAAATTCGTCGCGAGACAGATTCCGCCTGTTGTTTGTTGATATTAATGGATTGTCTTTGAGAAATAGATGATTCAGATGAGTTAATTGTTTAAGATGACTAAGTTCTTCGAAAGATTTCAACTAAAAATGATTCAACATATATATTGAACAATTTTAAATGAGTTATTAAGTAAATTTACTTGATTTGAAGCAAGACTAAGTTGTTCAAGATGAATCAAATTAAGTTTACGAAATTCGTATAAATTCGATATATTATTTGAACCCAAATCTAATTGACGAGTCTGAAAAGCAAAATGATATATTTAACAATTTGTAATTCTTAAAGGCATCTTCACTTCATGAAAACAAGCAAAGTGTTCAATATCACGAGGCTATCGAAATATTTCAGCGTTTACTTTATAGATCATCAACACAGTGCCATAAAAACGTGTTCATAACAATCTTCGCTTAGCCCTTTACGGCCGGCTGTTGCCAAATGGCAACATACAGCCATTCAACATATAAGTACCCTTCAATTTTAAGAAATAGGCTTTTGCTATTTCTATGGCATGATAAAAAAATATATGCAGAAGAAAAATTTTAACTATGTCGCTTCTGAGAGCCGGCTGGAAAGAGTTAAGTATTGAAACACATAGTTATAAATAAGGCGCATTTTAATCGAATAACTACTCCAATATTGTAACAGATCGGTGTGTCATTGTTTCTATACGTCATTGATTATTTTCTACTAATCATTTTCAGCGATGATTTATTTTGAAACTTTTCCAATGATTGAATACGTCCAGTATCACATCACTCTCTCAACAGATAGAATAATATAAGAATTCATAGTATGATATCTTCATTGATTATGTTTGTAATGAGAATTAGCATAGAAATATGCATGACTAGCTTTCATAATTTTTAACATTTTCTAAAATGATCTTAGTACTAAGCTCAACAATGTCGATAGATTTTGGCATGATCAGTGTTTTATCTAAGTTTCATTTTTCAGGTGGGCGGTTGAAATTTTTGGAGGGGCTACTGGCTAGAAAATTTGTTATCATATAGTAACGGGTGGCCCATAAAGAATGGCGGTCTCATTATTTACTCAAAATCGTTTTAGCTCTTCACTGATTTGAACTGAACATTTTCCCAAAAGATTGAGCATTCAATTCTCTACAAACTCACGTGTAAAAGATTTTTTAAACTACAAAATGACTAAGTACTAGAACGAAGAAAAAAGGTCGAAAAATCTTCAAATTCAAGCACTAAATCCGTTTTCTTTTGAAAATTTGCTTTCCATGTGAGGATCTACAAAATACTCAGTCTACCATGTTAAAGAGCATCAGATTCTGGGCAAGATTCATGTCTTCGACTTTTTTTTTTCATTATAAAATGAGTAAAAACTTCTGCATCAATTTTTTCGCTTTTTCTAAAAAACACAACTGTCATGTCATGTTTTTGATGCTTGCACTAAAGCGCATGCCATTCGCTTAAAGTGTTATTTTTTGACGATTTTTTTTTCTTTGAACGCCAACATACTCGACTACACCCCTGTACATTTGCTCGAGTGATACGAAGTTTCGTTTGCAGTAGACTTTCTTGTAAACCGAAATTAAGGCGTTATGGACGAGCTTTCAGAAAATATCGATTTAACAGACGAAGACCACTTTTAAAGAAATTTTTTTCAAATACATCGAAAAGAGCGTACTTGAAAATACCAGAAAATGTTTCTCCCGTAACTTAAGCCTACGTATAAATTGTTGAAACATACTCCAAATGTTAATGTATGCTGAGCTTGAAAGTTGAAGATTTTTTAACCGTTTTTCTTTGTTCTAGTACTTAGTCGTTTTGTAGTTTTAAAAATTTTTTTACACATGAGTTTACAGAGAATTGAATGCTCAATCTTTTGGGAAAATGTTCAGTTCAAATCAATGAAGAGCAAACGCGATATTGAGTAAATAATGAGACCACCATTCTTTATGGGCCACCCGTTACTTTTATGAAATCAACTGTTTATTTTCGGGTGGGCGCTGCTCATCCTGTCCATACAGTAGATAATTCACTGGGCATGATACTTTCTTTCAAAAAAAACAATCATTCAAATGCTATTTTTGTAAATAGAGAGACACAAAACCTTCTTAGTAGAGTGTTACTATTGTTGGCAACTGAATATTAGTTTGAAGTGAGCTATATTTATCATTGCACTGTTAGAATAATTTAAATACTTACTATAGGAAGATCTTTGTTGATTATAACAACAACATCACGTAAAAACGCTTGCTTATTTAGTTGAGGATAAATACCAAGTGCGCTAAGTTCTACAAGATAAAACAATGCTTTGGATCTTTTTTTTCTGTATGGAAACACTCTTAAATTTACCTTCATCATCAGCTAAATTCGATAAATTCAATTGAAATGTTTGTGCATTAAATCGACGATTACAAATATAGTCCTTAAATATTGAATATAAAAAAGAATTAATTTTTTTAAATCTTTTTTTTTTGGCCATCTACTCGAAAATGTCGTTGCAAATCTTCATCTAGTGATGGCGCTGGACATGATGCTTGACTGACCATTATACTGAGCTAGAAGAATAAATTTCTTCATAAATTTATAGTCCTTTTTTCCTAAAAATTGAACTCACCGTGCCAAAATTTTGTATTTCAATTTTTCTATTAGCTCTTTTTAACATATCAGCATCTTGTTGACTATTGATAAAGAAAACGCCAGTATTTGTATCACTATCAATAAAATACTAGAAAGGAAAAGATGAAAATATTCAAAATCAAAATATTTTCTTTATTTGTTTACATGATAAGGTTGAAATTGTCGGGCACAATTAGCTTTCAGTGTTGATAGAACACGTTCTTTTCCAATTGCACCAGCTTGTGGTATTGATATTCGCCACCATCGCATTTGATTATTATCACGATCATTCATTCGATTTGAATTAATTTGTATAGGACGATGCGGACGATTAACAATACGTCCTCTTATAGCTGAACGTTGAGTACCAACTCCATCGGTTGTTAAATGGCGGCCAATTGATACAGTTATATTTTCAAGATCATCACCAGCTGTTGGACGGCGATTGGGCACTGGACGATTATTTCCTCGACCACGTTGATGATATTTTGATTGTGAATTAAATCGAGATGATGTTGGATCAGTGTGATGTCTACCACCTTCACGAGCTGAATAATTTCGATATGACATTATTGTTATTTAATTGATATCTACAATACAAAAAAACAGTTGATATATAAACACATGATGATGCACAGAGCATTGGTGAAGAAATAATTTTTTTTTACACTGCATATGTAAGATTGAATTCTAAGTATAGACTGAAATCTGCTAGATTACGAACTTTCAAACTCGAAATTTGTTCTTCCCAACGAAATTTTTCAATTGAGTCCTATGGTAGTATATGCTCTGTTTTTTTTTCTTCCGGCATAATACAAGAAAAATCGGAATTAAAAAAGAGAAACGTAATATAATTGAAAAAATATAGAAAAAGCATAATTCGCTAATTTTTCCTTTTAAAAATAGGAAGTATAATCTTGGAGAAAAAAACACGTGATGCAAACATCCAGCTATTCTGTTTTTTTGTCAAATTTAAAATAGACTGTACATTGAAACTAGCAAAGTATAGTAAAATTTAGCTTCTATTTATTAAATTTACTTTACAAAACGTTGGTTATGAAAGCTTCTTCAATTTGATAAGTAACTGTTAGCATGAGTAGACTTTCAAGTATTTGCTTTCATAGTGCAGGGAAAAAAGATTGCGAATAATCATGTTTTTGTGCTTATATGTTCTATTTTTCATTTTTCATCAACAACCAATTGAATATTTCACATTGACTCGTTGAATTTTGGGAAAAAATATTATTAATTGAAAGTAAAACCTTAATGTTAAGAATTGTTTTTGTTTCTTGAATTGAAAAAAAAAACGATATGCAAAACTCAAACAGCGCCATCTATTCTGAACGAAAATTAAATGAATCATCAGTCAAATCGATGAAAGAAAGAAAGATATTATTTTCTTTCGCGAGTTAAAGTTTAAATTCAAATAATCAAAATATTACTAAAATTTTTCATGATAATAAAAATAGTTTATGTGAAGAAATTATGAATAGAATTATTAGAGTTTCAGACGATGCTAAATTTACAGTTGCATGCTTTACAGAAATTAATGAGCCAAATAGAAGTTTTTATCAAAACTTATAGTTATGTGGGTTTTGTTTCGTTAGTAATTGTTAAGCATGTATTTTTTTTCATCAACAAACGAGAATCAATTGTGAAGACTACTGCGTATACATTTTCAATTCAAATTAAGTTCAGTTTATAAGACAAAAAATACAGAATGAACGAAACATAGGAGGCATACTTTTTCGTTTATAGACTTTACAATAAATTTCTCTTACGTTCATATTAAATTGCACTTAGTCTATTTCATCTATAGATATGAACAATTACTTTAGCACTATTATCTTGTTCGTTCGGTATTTTTCACCCTGGCGAATATTTGTCATGTATACAACAAATATATATTCAATGCTACAAAATGAAAATGAACCAGAACGAAAAAAAATATGCCTCCACGCAGGATCGAACTACGGACCTCCAGTTTACAAGACTGGCGCTCTACCACTGAGCTATAGAGGCTTATTGACCTCCTTAGCACAAATTATTAAATTATGTTCAATATATATTATTTACTTGCTAATATTTAGATTATCTAGCAAGAAAGATTAACTTTGGTTAACGACAAAGTTGATATACTGAAAATAAAATTATCGTGATCAATAGAAGCATTAACTATCAAAAGGTTATTATTCATTTTTATCAAAGATTTCAACAAGAAAACCCATGAAGTTCAAGAATCCTTTTCAAAAACGACTCCTAAGAAAATATTATACAGTTAAATGATTACTTTACTTATGCGCTAAAATCTAATAAGTAATCTATTGAAAATACAATAAGAAGTCTTTCGTTGGATAGTAAAAACAAATAGCCATTGAACAGATGTATGGACACTCGTAATTTGCGATTGATTAATGATATAAATGAGCTAAGGAATTTGAAATAAAATTTGAAAAATGACGACAAAATTGACCGTAGTAGAGAATACTACAGAAAATAATTTTTAAAAACAAAATATTTTAATCTGTAGATTTTTATTTTGAATCTCTTAAAATTCCCAACTAATTGCAACGCATAAAATTTCTGCATAATCTTGTTCATTTGCTTTGACATATATATCATATTGTCCTGCAGGTGCTACTTCAGGTATTGTAGCATTAAATATAATCATTCTCAATGAGCCAGGCGAAGTAGGTAAATCAATTCCGAAGTCGCTCAATGGTCCCAATATTGATGGCAAAGAATATTTTCGATAAACAATTGTCTTGCTATAATTACCACGCATAAATGTTTCTTTCGCCACACCTGATACAGATACTGTTAATAGTTCGTTTCGTGTAGGTGGCCATATATTTGCTTCAACCTTTTCAATTGATAACTGATCGGTCTATGTAGTGCAATTGACCCATTCCAAAGGAATATCGGCAGCTAAATAAAAAATATCATACATATTTTATTTGTCTCTGAACTTTATATGTAACAGAAATAAATTCTGAAAAAGCTTTTTCAAAAATGGGATCAGAACCCAAAAAAAAAATTTTTTTTTGACGAGACTGGTACCCGGGAATAAAAAGCAGCGTTGTTTCACAATTATTCAATGGTTAAAAAACGATCATTTTTGATACATTGAGTATCTAAGTGTAACGAAGAATGTGAAGGTATCAATAATATCGACATCAAATAATGATTCTTTTCCAATCTTTATAAATCAATAAAAGTTATAATATCTTGCCCGTTCAAGAGCAAATATCATGAGACTAACGATCGTTGACTCTTTACTAGTAGTAGTATTCATTTTTGTTTTTGAATATCCCACAACTTTAAATATATTTTCGTTAGTCTTACTTGTCAATGGTAGTAACAGACAAAAAATAATTAATAGCGTATTGTTTCTCTCTATATAATGAAAGAGTAATTAACTTGTCTAACTTTTACTTTCACACAAAACAATAGCAGATGTATTTATTCTCATGCACACACATCAATTCGTAATATTTATTCTTCTCAAATATAGCAATGCTTTCGAAAATATAGATCAAGTATGAATGAAATATACTGGAGTGAAGAAATCATCTAATGATATAAAGATCATTTAGAAAATCGAATCGTTCCATCTTCAATAAAATATGAATTAAGGCCGTCATATGATCATTGATGAAAATCACGTACACAATGTAAAGTCGTCGATATTTCAGGAGCTTGTTATATTTTATTGTCGATTTATTCGGAAGTTTTCATAGAACCAGATTCTGATTGCCAAGCGAATGATAGGAGTTTTGAGCAAAAACTATTACGATTTAATTATCTTTGCCGACAGTACCAGTAATTATTATTGAAAACTAAGCTTGTTTCATGAGATAATTTGTATCAACTTGAGAATGTATTTCACAAGAATTACAATACTGAATTCATATTGCTTAAACTAAATGATATATATGCTATAGAATGCATGAATTGTTAATTTATGATAAGCATTAACGAATTTAAAAACTATCTGTCTTTCGAAGTTTCTATTCATCATCAGTTAAAATTTTAAGATAAAAGGTGAATAATGTTGTTTGATAGCATCAATTAGCTAATGTACACGATGCAGAATGTGTGAAGTTTTAATCAGTTTTACAACAACAAAACCGATTTACTAGAGATACGATACAAAATAAACAAGCCTGAGTTTATTTATTTATTTCTACTCTATCATTGTATACACAACCTGAATCTGAAATCAATTGAACAAGTAGACATTTCTTCTTCACGATAAATTTCAGAATTTATATGCCGTTGATAGTCAGACATTTGCAACGCTAGTTTAAGTTTAAAATATGTTTTTCATCATTGAAACAAGTAGAATTATGAATAGTTTCGGTAAAAATTGAATGTCATCCTTATGATATATTGTTTCTATTCTAATATGATCACTTTTTATCTGAAATACGAATGATCACTTGAAAGAACTAAAAATACATTTCATATTTTTGGTATGAAACTAATAAACAAACGATTTATTCGCATTTGAAAATTGTAAAAAGCAAATTGAATTTTTCTCTAGAAAACCTAATAACGTCCAATTTGAAAATAACTGCAAAATCTATTTCTCTCAGAGAATATTGATTGATTATAGAATTTTCGAAGAAACTATGAATAATTAACAAACTATACGATACTTCTCAGTTCAATAGTAGTCAAGGCGATGTTGAAAAAAGAGAGCTATGAAATTATTTTTCATTTAAGGATTTGGATTTTTCTCATGATAATTAACAAAACCAGTCAAAGTTCAAAAAAAATCAAATCTTTTTCAAATTGGTAAGGCTGTTTTCTGAGCCTGAAGAAAATTTAATAAACGAGCCCAACCGAATATGATGACGAGCTGTCGAATGATTTCAACTGTACAGTATTTTTATGAATCATATAAAGATAATAATTAAATAGCAACGTAAAATCATAAAATAATATCCAGATATATTCATTATGATGCAAATGACTTGTACACTATTGTGAAAATTCACATTTAAAGAAATTCTCCGCGTTTCAGTTTATTGAGCTATTTCGTTCAAGCATTTTGGTTGTTATTTGTTTATCCTGTTCGTTCCGCTTTTTCTTCTTAACTGCTCGTCCTATGCCATCGTATATCTCATCATGAAACAGATGTTCTTGCGTTCATTTGCTGATATTTTTTTCTTTTCTCCACGTATATTATAACGAAGAGAAATATCTATCATATATTCTCTGTATGCTCGATTATAGTGGTTATATCTCAGTGTCAGAAGCATATTGACGAGTGCGAATCATACGTTTCTCCCTACTTATTCTACCAATATTGTAGTACATCGGTCAAAGAACAGTTAGCAGGCATACTAAGCGTCATAGAAAAAAAGATCGTATACATGCCTCCATCAGGAATAACAATATTGCTATTATTTTCTTTTCAGATTCTTTTTTTTGTTTTAAAATGAAAAATCAACTGGTTTTCATATTAGTATTCTTCTTTTTTCTAATTACTTTTATTCATGCGAAAAAATATCATTTATTTGGAGAAAACGAATCATCAACGGTTTCTTCTACAAATGATCAACGCTTATTAGTTGATATTGATATTTATAATCGTGCATATGCATTACCTTATTTTCTTCGTCAATTGGAACAATTTACTTGTCCATGTAGCCAATGTTATTTAGATTTCCATCTTTACCGTGTATTTAATACAACAATCGAAAATGAAACTAGTCGATTATTACATGAATGGGTATCAGCTATGAAAAAATCGGATCAATTCGTTTTTACAACTATCACGATTCATGAATGGACAGCACAATCAAAAGATGATCGCGCAAATCGACTATCTGATGCAATGAAACGTTCATCTGTACTCGATGTAACATACCTTGCTATGTTTGATTCAATGATTATTTTATTAGAACCTGAAAAGATTTTATCAATATTAATATCTAAAGATAAACCCTTAATGACGCCATTATTGCGTTCGACAAAAAATATGTATACATCAACATTCTATTTAAATGATCAAGAAGCAAGTGGATTTGACACTTATAAAAAAATTTATGATCGTAAAAGATTGGGCTGTTTTTCTATTAATGGTGGCATTAAAGATTTTTATTTTTTTAATTTTAATCATCCAAAAATGCGAAATGTCTTTTTAATAAATAGAAATTCTAAAGAAATTCAACAACATTATGGTATCTATTTTCATTAATATTCTTTTATTATATGTGTGTTTTCGTAATTTTCTGAAATTTTAGCTATTGATGTTATTGCAAGAGAAAATTCAATACCTTCATATGTATGTAATCGTGAAGTATTTGGTTATATACCTGCACAATTTAGTGAAACACTTCATGATGAAGCAATTATATATGATCTATATATCCATACGTTAATTGAACATCAATTGAATGGCCCATCACAAACATATTTACCACCAATATCGCGAACATCATTGATTCATGTACCATTATCAAAAGAAAAAACAAAATTTGGTTTAGATGAAATTTATGTAATTAATCTTGTACGTCGTACAGATCGTCGTGAACGTTTACAAGCAACATTTGATATACTTAATATGTCAGTACGATTTTTTGATGCTGTTGATGGAAAATATACAATTGATCAAGCATATTTAGAACGTCTTAATGTTCGTCTATTACCAAATTATGAAGATCCATATAATCAACGACCAATGAATTATGGAGAATTAGGTTGTTTTTTTTCGCATTATTTTATTTGGCAAGATATGATTAAAAATGAATATTCAAATGGCATTTTAATTCTTGAAGATGATGTTCGATTTGATGTTTATTTTAAATATAAATTAGAAAAAATTTTATCAAATTCTTCATTAGATTGGGATATTTTATTTCTTGGACGAAAAATTATGCGACCCAATGAAGAAAATTATGAAAATACAATCGAAACATTTCTTATTGAGCCATCGTATTCGCATTGGACTGTTGGTTATGCACTTTCATTACGTGGTGCACGAATGCTCATTGATGAAAATCCTATTCAAAAAATTTTACCTGTTGATGAATTTTTACCAATTATGTATGACCATCATCCGAATTCAAGTTGGAAAAGTCATTTTACCAATCGAAAACTTAAAGCATATGCATTTCATCCATCAATTCTAACGCCAACACATTATTTTGGTGAACCAAATTATGTATCTGATACAGAAAATACACAAATTCTTGAACAAAATGATGGAAAAACTTCTCTACCGGCACCAGAATTAGTGAGCGTTGATGTAGCTGCCACACAAAAGCGACTTGAAGACAATGCACGGATGCAAAAAGATGAATTATAATAGTAAACAATCAAGTTATTTATTTCTACTCAATTCGTCTTTTTTGATTTTTTATCTCATAATTATTGAATTCAAAAAATAATCTTTGGTGTGTGTGTGTGTGTGTGTGTGCGTGTGTTAATTATATTTTAACAGTTTGATTCGTGCATTATACATGAAACTAAACGCTTAACATCTAAATTAAATGAAATAAGACTTGTTTGACGATATAAGGATTAATTCTCCATTTATTATTCAGATTATATCTTTTTGGTTTTCAATGAGCAACAAACTTCTAAAAAAAGACTTGGACTATGATCATTAAGTATGATTGAAACTTCTTTAGTTTGATTTCTATGAAGTTTTTTTAATCATTTTATATATGGAATCATTGACAAGCGATACTTAAAGAATATATAATCATTTTGCCATATCTTCCATGAAATAAATGATGACGTTCTAGTTTCATTAGCTAGAGTAATATTTTTCTCGTTAAAATTCATTTCAAATAGATAAACATCTAGTAGCAAAATCTGTATGAGATTAAAACTTTCATATCAATATCGCTGACAATATCTTTAGAAGGAGAGTTTCATATTTATTTTTTACTATCACACTTTAATACTCTTTTGACATCGTCTCTTACACTATTTTAGAACAAAGTAAAATATTTCAAAAATGTTTCTATTCAACTGACTCTCTCTTTTGAAGATTACTTCATTTTTGGTATGTAAGAGTTCTTTAAAATTTATAGTTGCTAGATTTTTTTCTTTAAACAACATTAGTTTGCCAATAATAGATTTTAGAAATTCTTAGTGTTTTCTTTTTATCTGAATTATTCGAAAACAGATGATTTAATATGAATGATAATAATGTTAAAAGAAATATTTGCAAGTTAAAAAAATAATATTTTCATAAAAAAATGAATCAAAATATGAGCAAAAAGAATTATTTGGCACTTGAACAACTACGTTGGCGAAGTCGATGATTAAAAATATTTGTTGATGATGTCGAATATTGATTGAATTCAATATTTACTCGGCTAATGTTTTCTGTTCCTAAAGAAGGCGAAGATAATAATGATTGTCGGCGAAATCGCCGTTGATCTACATCCTGTGATAATGATAGATTTGCTTGTGGATTTGGTAAAATCTGAGAGTTAATAGCACGAAGTTGTGAAAATTTCATAGACATTGGTGCAATTAATGGACGAAGAGGCGCGCGCATATGAAAACGTCGCACTTGTTGATTGAGATCGGTATGAGTTGATGTTCGTACTTGATAAGGCACTATTGTTAAACCCATATTAGCAGAAGGTAAAGGTGAACCAGTGGCAGGAGGAATATTCTTCCTTGACTTTCGAACAGCAGCAGATGAAGGACTAAATTAGAAGAGAAAAGTCTACTTGTAAATGCACGATAAAATAAAAATATGAAACATGGCTCAATTCTTCTTGCTAGCTAATAGAAAAACATCTTTCATAAAATAGTTCAATGCAATCCTATTTATAGATTATTTTGTTCGGTATCGAAATGATTCTATTTCTCAACGTGAAACTATCATTGAATTTACATATTCATATATTAAATCAATATTAATCTATTCTAAATATCTTGAAAAACTCAGCTCGATATATGCTTCTGCTATCTAGAAATATTAGAAGATCGAACACTGTTCTCGATAGCGAAAAATTGTATTTCATCAAGCCATCTTTGAACGATGAAGATCTCTAGGAAATTTAAGACTTATTCTGATGTGAACGACAACGAATATTGAACTTGATAGTAAAATAAAAGGCTTTATTTAAAAATACGAGAAATTTCCCATCAAATTAGTTTTAAGAAGTACCTTTGATGAATTTCAAAATTGCTAAAAATTTTGCTACCCTCCGAATTCTTTGACATAAAGTATTCCTGAATTTTTTTTCGATTTTTCTGTTATAAGATTATTCGTCGATGCCATCATTATCTAGTTTAATAATAAGTTTTAAATCGGTTTCAACTCAAAGCGTTTACATTTTTATAATTCTTTTTCATCAAAGTACTGATTTAGAAAAAAATGGTTTTGTAGAGATTCAAAATCCAACGAAAAATAATTATGTCAAACTTTGACAAATATGTGCTCTACACTCCATAATCTCGTCAACTTATCACTAAATTAAAACGATATTATCGTAGAGTTTTTTTTAATTTATAAGTTTTCTTTTGTTCAGTTGCAAGATTCATGTTTAATTTCAGATCTAAGTCAATCATAATATGATATTTATGTTTGCTAAGATAACCAAAGAAAATTCTTTTTAAAAACTAATGACATAAGTTTCGACCTTGCAAACCAAATAGAAAAGAAAATTTCTGCCTTATAATTTAACACTCTTATTAGTTTATGCTTTAGAAATATTTGTATGCAATTAAATTAAACAATTCACCGTTTTATTTCTCGATGTTCATTTGCCACATCAACATTCCAGACAAGTTGTCCATCTATTGGACTAAAGACAGAAATGATAGCTATTATTTCTAACTATTAAATAAATTTTACTGACCAAGTGCAATGACTATGTAAAAGCCATCCATCTAAACAAAAACCGTGCAATATACTTTTTTTTGTAAAAGGAAAATTTCTTTCTCTTGTCTCATTACCTATACAATCAATATGAAATTTATGTCGACATGGTAAACGTCTAACGCGTTCACCTTTTTGATATAATCGCAAACATAAACGGCATTGTTCACCATTTTGCAACAACTGACTATGTTCATTTATACGTTCAGTTGGCATTGATTTTACGACATTCTCTGGTACACCCATAATGGCAGCATTTTGAGCACTTTCGTAAAAAAAAGAAGCAGAATTCAATACAAGAAAATACTTTGAATTTTTAATTACTTTTCAAGTTGAAGTAAAACTTCATAATCATTTTCATTTATATCTCGATTGGCTAATACTCGATGAAGTGCATTGGGTAGTGCTGCTAAATGTTCACGTGTTGCTATTTTCCAGTGTTGAAAGGATTTCTACGAAAAAATCGATGTATGAGTTACTTTATTTTTGAACTTAATTTACTTCTCGATAATCAAAACTATGTTCATTATGTATATTTAAATTAAAACATGTTTGACATAGAAAATAATCTTGACATGTTGTACATTTATAACATTTGCCAGTGATTGGACATGCATGACATCGATGACATGAATGACCTAAATGAATCGATGCTCTTTCAGCTTGTTGAGCACCAATTGTTCTGAAAAAAATTCGTTTATAAAACTTGATTATAAAAAAAGAATAACAGAAATTTTCTTACTGAAATTCTAGTTTCAATTGTTCCGGAGTACCAAATGTTTCTCGACATAACGGACATTTGATTAGTTTTTCTCCTGTTGATACTTGATGATCAAGCCAAATTTTCATACATTTAACATGAACATTATTACCACAACCACGTCTAAAAATTACCAATTACCTATTTGAATAGTATTACCAGTTTTATATTTTAACTAACCGACAATGAGTAACAGGCAATTTTTTATTTAGTAACTCTTCTTGACATATGGGACACACATCATTTTCACTTATTGGACGCTGTTCAACTTGACGACCAGCATCGTTTTCATCTTCATCCTATTATAACACGACAGATGGTAATTTAAAACAAAATCCAGTAGTTATTTATTGTTAAGAAATGATGACAGTAAAATTTAGTTAAATATTAGTTTTTATGATCTAAATTTTAAAACCGATCAAAACATCGAGAATTTTTAATGAAAAGCTATCTAAGAATTCGCAGTATGAGATCAATAACTTCTAATTAGCTAAATGTTAAAATGCAAATGTTACACCCTTATATAGATTCTCAATGAGACAAATGCCCGTTTTTTTTTTCCATGTTATTGGCAGTCTATATTCAAAACAATCGATCATATTTTATTGGATATATCTTTATTGAGTACTTATAATAGTAAAAGAAACCATTTCTTTTTTCGGAGAATATATTTTCAAAAAAGAAAATTTACAATCATTTCCTTTTTAATTAAACGTAACTAAATAGTTTTGATAAGATCTGATTGTCACTTTGACCACGAAATATTGAATCAAATAAAACTATATGACAAAGTAATAAAGTACTTGAGTTTATTGTATACGAAACGAAATTAGTTGAAACTTTTAATTTTAACGTTTTTATCCATCGTACTTTTAAAAAGTAACAATCCATTAACTCAACTTATTCAGTAGCAAAATTAACAACTATGCTTTAGATAAAAGAAAATACTTTTATTCTATAATTAAATTTTGATCTATTTCTTTCATCATTGTCTTGTGTCAATTCACGAAGAAGTTCATTAATTTCTCGTTCGACAAGACCTCGCTGCCATAGAACTAAATATATACATAGACATATACATATAGACTCTATCAAATTAATATTTCCCAATATAAATATGTACTTGGGTTAGTTCTTGGTACACGAAATCGTTTTAATAGTAGCCAACATATATGTTTACATATTTCACGATTAATTTGGAATGAAGAACACGTACATTGATGTGGATCACCTAAGAATACCTAATGAACACGTGAATATATATATATATTTATCCATATCCATATATATTCATTGAACTCTAATCTATGAAGAAATACTTTAAATGTTCGTTCACTATCTTCTTTAATAACGAAAGCTGTTGGACCTGTTTGTCTTAGAATAAAAAATGTAGAACTAAGTGCATCGTTTTGAGCTTGTAGGCATTTTTCTGTACATTCAACACGATAAGGCAAACAACGAGACATTGTATTGTTTTAATGTAAACTAATCATTATCATATATTCAAGTCACCATTTTTCTATTGCACTTCATTCGTTGTTGTGCAGAACCTCTGCTTCATACTATTTATTATTATCAATGGTTTTAGAAAGTAACCAATCCTATATAAAGATGAATCATCGTATCAAAAATCAATCCATCGGTCCAAGAAAATAGAAAAAAGCTAAGATCTTCCTTACTCGATTGGAGTGAATTTCAGATATTAATAAAACAATCGTCATCATTTTGGTGTTCATCATATTTATTTATTTGAAAACTATGAATGCAATTAATAGGTAGGCATATCTTATTATATACTTATTTGTCACGTTTGATTATAACAAATTCCTTTAGGAATATATAAGACAGAAGTTGTTTGATATAACTCTTTGTAGTTAATGTGCCTCATCGTTTTTCTTCTTCTTTTCTGTATTTTACGCGATAATTCTATGAATTTCACTATGTTTATCATGGTTTTATCGATGTTCATCGGCTCTTTTAATAAAATAAATCAATTATATCATTTTTCTCTTGTCGTTTTCCATGGATAGTTATTTTCCGTATTATATTCACTACTACAATTTGCCGAGACTAAAACGAACTAGAAGAAGTAGCAAAATAAGAGATAGCTACTATCTTCTTATATTATTCAATTTGATTTATATTAATTTTTATCGGCTTTTTTGCGAACTTCGCTGATTTGATGATCTTAAACATGTTATTCATTGGTTCTGATCATTCACTATTCAAAATTGCCAATATATATGTTTTCTTGTGTAATTTTTTTTGTTCTGCTCTAAAATCTTGTTGTCGTCATCATGAAAAAAAAACGAACAAGAAAAACACCATCATTCATGTTGTTTCTCTAACGAATATATGTTCCTATTACCATTATTGTATTATATTTTCTTACTCTACTCGTTTTTTCTTGCTCTTTTTTCGCGCTCTTTGATATTGTCGTCATCATCGGCCCCACTCCTCTATCTCTCTACTTTATGTTCTATATGACGAGCACATCCATACACACACGCCAGTCAAACAGAATTGTAATATTGTCGTTTGCTCCGCTTCCTCATGGCGATGGCTGTTTTTTTCTCTCATTTTTGTGGTCTATTAAATATCCACATAAAAAATAGATATCCGAGTAGGTAAAGTCGAAACAGTTGTGTTATGACACTAGGTTATTTTCAAATATATGAATATTTTGTACTGGTGCATGCCAGAGAAGTACGTGAAATATTTAAAATTATCGCTTTGCTAAACGAAAGGATATCAATTGAATCAAATGAAATGATCAAAATATTTACTTTAATTGACAAATATTCCTTCTTAGTTTTTGTAGAAGAACTATTTTCAATGGCATCTTCTTCTTCTTCTTCTTCCTCTTTGTTTTCAACTACAACGCCTAAATTAATTATCCCTGACGAAAAATCACCTAGTGAAACAAACGATAGTCGTTCTTCTTCTATTTCTTCAATACTTTCCTCGTCTGTCATTCCGTCATCACGAGAGACAACAACAAAAAAATTAACAAAAATTCTGTCAACACAATCAAGTTTGGAACGTCATTATCCACCACGTCCAATTGCAAAACGTTTTTCAATCGACGCTGATCCATCGTCAATCATTTTAAATACTACTCCTACTGACTTTTCTAGTAATTCTTTACGTCGACAACCGTCAACACCAGACGCTGAAGAAAACTTATCGATCCCTACCTCTAACAGTATTCATGGTAAAGACACATCACCTGCTCGATCACCATCATTAAAAAAAATTGACAGTTTCTTGGAAATTCCCTATGAAAAAGGTGAAATAGTGGATTTAATTAAATTGGCTGATGATCCGAATGCTTCAACACATATGACAAATGATGGACATGAAGTATTACTTGAACATGGAGCTGCTCCCTAGTGAGCTATCCTAATTTTACTGTCTCTCTCTCTCTCTCGTATTGCATGTTGTAATCGTTAGTTGTCGTTCTTCTATTTGTGCGTATAAAAAAAAATAAAAGCAATTTTGCTCTTTCATTACGATATGCATGACACGATTAGTATTCAATCACCTATTCTTCGATTTCGTTGAATAGTTACAAGCAAAGAAACAAACAAATATGAACTTTATCTTATTTTTATGAAAAAAAAGAAATAATAGTATCTTTTATCTTATTTTTAGTGATGCAGTGAAATCAGACAAAGAAGCTTCTCGAGAAGCTCGTAACGCTTTTATATTCAATCGTCTTTTGCCTGGTGTCTATTTTTCTTTCATAACAGCATGTGGTTTACTAGGCGGTTTTGGTTTTGCACTTGGTCGAACAAAAAAACGTGAAACAACAGCTAAACTTACTCGACAAGCAAATGCAAGAGTGTTATTTGACGATGGTCATTATTTAGCTATCAAAGCGTTACGTCGTGCTTCAATGTATAGTTTAGCTACTGTTCTTTCATTCACTGGTACCCTATGGTTGCTTAGCGGAAAACCAAAAACGTTTGCTGAATTTCGCATGTGGTCTGCTTCATGGTTACCATCGATCAAAAGAAAAACAGATAAAGAAAATGAAGGAAGAATTGAATTTGAGAGTGTAACAGATTTTATGCAGTATTTAATTGATGAAGATAAAAGACTAAAAGATAAAAAAAAGAGTAATAACACCAACACCAACAACACCAACAACGAATAATAAAGATATTTAGTGACGTTTGGTTGAAATTTGTGTTTTGTTTTGATTTAAAAAAAAAGGAAAAGACTAGTTTTGAAAATTTTTCTAGATGGAACTATCGAATTTTCTATCGTTGATCTGTAATGATAGTAGTGATTCTTCATCAAAGATCTGGTTTGATCAAGATCTGTCACCTTGTTTTCGTAAATATGTTCTTGAGTTTGTTCTTTATACGATAACTCTCATTCTTGTATCGTACAATATTGGGCAACGTTTGAAATGTTCATATCGTCTATGGACACTTCCACTTGCATTGATTCGTTTTGGATCAAGTTTAGTATTGATAACAACATTTTCATTCTATTTCTATGACTATTTTTTTGCTAATAATACAAAATATCAATGGATTGATGCTATTAATATATTGCTTATTCTCAATACACATTTATTTATTTGTTATTTTAATTTCAACCGTAACCTTTATCATAATAAACGTCCGATGAATTATATTATTTGGATGATTATATTCTTTGTCATACAGAATTATGACATCTATCGAATTGTTATTAAACATTTGACATTAATTGAAAGTATTTATGTTAGTATTAGACAATCATGTTTAGTTTTAATAACTTTCGGCCTGTTATGTATTTGTTGTCACACGTGTGATCAACCAATGCCAACAGAACGTAAGTAGAGATTACGAAATAAGATATTTTTGATGACTAATTTTTATATAAACAATAAAGATCCTGAAACTAATGAAAGCCAATATTTCCTGCCAGATACAGTTATCATACAATCGAGATGTCTTTTTCTTCCATCATCACAACAAGAATCATCACATGTAATTAATGAAGATTCAGCTACTCTAACAGAACTATTTACTTTTGCTTGGTTTAATCCATTGATGAAACGTGGTTATAATTCATTAATTATTGATTTAAATGATCTTTGTTCATTACCATTTGCACTTTTACCATTACGTTCAAGTGGCGTGCAACATCATCGTCGACTTTCTCGTGCACTTATGAAAAATTTTGGTCGATCTTTTTTTCTACTTGGTATTCTAAAAATTCTTGGCGATGGTCTTGCTTTTGGTGGACCTATTTTTCTTAATAAATTAATCATTTACATGGAAGAATCAAGTGGAAGCGAACAGAAGGATCGTGATCTACGTCGTGGTCTTCTTCTTTCAAGTATTCTCATTGGAACCGTAGCTGTAGCATCATTTCTAAATACGCATTTTACTTATCGTATAAATCGTTTGGGACTTCGTTCTAAAATTTATTTATATACACGTATTTACTCGACAGCAACACAATTAAATACATGTCAAATGAATACATTCAATATGGGCGAAATTGTTAATTTCATGTCAACAGATTCTGATCGTATTGTAAATTTTTTTCAATCATTCCATGCATTTTGGTCATTACCAGTTCAAATAGCCATTGTACTTTATCTATTATATCAACAAATTGGCTTGACATTTTTAATTGGTCTTGTTTTTACAATAATACTCATACCAATAAATAAATGTATAGCATCGAAGATAGCCAAATTAAGTCAAGATATGATGTTGTATAAAGATGAACGTATTAAAGTTGTTTCTGAAATCATATATGGTATGCGTACAATTAAAATGAATACGTATGAAAATTATTTTTCTGATCGAATAAATGATATTCGACAAAAAGAATTACGCGCATTACGTGGAAGAAAATATTTAGATGCTTTTTGTGTTTATTTTTGGGCAACAACACCAGTTCTCATTTCTGTTTTAACATTTACAACGTATACACTTCTTGGAAATCAATTGACACCCGCAAAGGTTTGCTTGATTTTGTTTTCTAGAAAACTAAGTATTGCAAATTTTCGAATATAAAATAATTGTAATTGTCGCATAGTACAGGATACCAGCAGATGTTACTTTTCCATTTCCAAGGATTTTTCAATACGATCAAAATTAAACGTTGCTAAATATTCTTCGAAATATTGGCATGTTTTCATAACGAAATTATACGTATCTAGGAAAGATTCTATATCTTATTATGGATGTATGGATGTGTTCAGCATGAACATTATTTTTTCTAATATAAAGCAGATACATTGACATCTTACTCAAATACGGTACTATTCTTTACTGAATAGAATTGACAAGAAATATCATGATTAAATGAGTAAACATAAAGAAAATTCTACGCACATAGATCATGAAAATTTATTTTAAATTTAATATGAATCATGTGTTGATATGAAACGATATTTTAGGTATTTACCAGTTTGGCTTTATTTGCTTTACTTATTTCTCCTTTAAATGCATTTCCATGGGTAATTAATGGATTAGTTGAAGCAAATGTATCATTAAAACGTGTTCAGCGTTTTATGGATATTGAACCGATTGATTTTGATGCATATTATGAAAATGTACCAATTGATCTTTTTCCAATTTTGGGTAAATTAAATATATTTTTTTTCTGCTTTTATTTAAAATACAAACAATTCTTCGACTAATGATTTTCTCTATTCATTAGATCATCGTTCATCATTAGATATTCGTATAAATCAAGCAAATTTTTCATGGAATTCTACAGACTATATAGAATCTGATGAAATCTCTTTGAAAAATATTGATTTAACAATTGTACGTGGTAGTCTTGTACTTATTGTTGGTCGAGTTGGAAGTATGATTTTCATTTATTTTAAAGTAAATAATCATGGAAGTTAATAGGTGGAAAAACGACATTACTCAATGGTATTCTTGGTGAGTTAAATAAAATAAATGGCTCAATTAATGTTCATAATGCGGTTGAAAATGGATTTGCTTTTGTTAGGTTAATATTATTCTAGTTTTACTTAGTTGCATTTTCTCATTCAATTTTTTTCTTGTAGTCAAGAATCATGGATTCAACAAATGTCATTTCGAGATAATATTCTCTTCGGTAAACCATATAATGAACAGTTGTACAAAAGAGTGATTGATGCATGTGCACTCGAAAATGATATTAAAGTATACAACTCATTTACATATTTCTATAATTATGATAGAATTTCTTTGCATAGAGTTTAGGTGCAGCTGGTGATTTTAAATTGGTTGGTGAAAATGGTGTCACACTTTCTGGTATGTTTCAATTTGTTGGATATTTTATTTGTAAAAAGGCTTTGTTTTTGCTCTATAAAATAGGCGGACAAAAAGCTCGTCTTGCATTAGCACGAGCTGTTTATCAAGTAAATAAAAGATTTCATAGACAAATTTGTCATACAAATATTTTATTATTAGGATAAAGATATATATTTATTAGACGATCCTTTGTCGGCTGTTGATGTTCATGTTGCTCGTCATCTTTTTAGTAATTGTATTAACGGTCTTCTTAAATATAAAACACGTCTGTTATGTACTCATCAAATTCAATTTATGGATCAAGCTGATTATATTATTTTAGTTGACAATGGACGCATTGTTCGAACAGGTCATCTATTTATTGACTGCTATATTTTCTCTTGCAACTAATTTTCTTAATATGAAAAGGAAAACCAAATGAAGTTCTTACATCAGCCGAAGGCTTACTTTTATCTAGTAATCATTCATCTCAAACTAGTGTTGGAACGACAACACATAAATCAATGATCGATATTGAAGAGCAAGTTATACAAGCAGAAACTGCTTTGGAAAATGAAGCAGAACAAAGGTGTACTGGTAAAACCAATAGATAGAGTAGTTTTGAATTAAGAAATACTGAAAATATTCATTTAGGAACCGTCAAATTTACTGTTTGGAAACGATATTTTGTTGCTGTTGGCATTTTTCTTTCGTTTTCTATCGTACTTTCAGTATTTCTTATGCAAGGTTTGTATTCATAAACGCATCTAGATAGTTCTATCTTCATTTATCATGTTTACTTAATAGCTTCTCGAAATGTCTTTGATTGGTGGTTATCATATTGGACAAGTCATCAGTCATCTTTACTCAATATAAAGAATATAACTGATCAAACATCTAAAAACTTTCTCAATCATAGCCTGTAAGCTTACGATATTTTTGTCTTTGTTTAACACATCTTATTCGATAGCATATGTTAGATAAGTAAAAATAAATCATCTAACTGAGACATCCTAGCGAAATTTCCTATTGTCAAGTATGTCAAATAGCTATATAAAAGCTATCAATAATATGTTTACGTTGTCATATTGATAATGTAAAACAACAGTGCTAAAATTCTGCTCGTGAAGTTTACAAATTATTTTTTATTTTGATTGATTATGATTGTTTTTATTTTAATTTTAATTTTACATTAATTAATCAGTTAATGCTTTGTTTTAGTGTGTCTAATATTGATGCTCGACCAATGTTCGGCTTTGCTACACAAACAGCTGACAAAGATTTTAAACGTTTTTTTATAATTTATGTTAGTCTAGCTATTGCAAATTCTCTCTTTACACTAATGCGTGCTTTCACATTTGCTTATGGTGGCATTGCAGCAGCTAGAAAATTACATAAATCCTTACTGAATAGTCTTTTAAAATGTTCAATATCATTTTTGGATGCAACACCAAGTGGAAGGATATTAAATAGATTTTCAAGTGATACGTGGAGTGTAGACGATTCATTACCATTTATAATGAATATACTTCTAGCGAACATGTTCTCATTATTAGGTACACTTGTATTATCGTGTTATGGTTTACCTAAATTTCTTATTGTTCTTGTTCCATTGGCTATTTTTTACTATTTCATTCAGGTTAGAAACGAATAGGAAACTTTATTTGTATGACAAAATTATTATCTTTAGAATTATTACCGTTGGACATCACGTGAAATAAAGCGTATATCATCTGTATCTTTGTCACCAGTTTATGCACATTTTGGTGAAACTATTTCGGGTTTATCAACAATCCGTGCTTTTCGTCATGTAACACAATTTGTTGAACATAATTTTCTCTTAGTATCGAATAGTATTCGTGCGCAATTTGCATCTCTTATTGCTGGCTTATGGCTTAGTTTTCGTCTTCAACTGATTGGTATTGTCATGGTTGCTGGTGTATCATTAATTGGCGTTATTGAACATGTTTATACAATAGAAGGATCAAATCCAGCATTAGTCGGACTTTCTTTATCATATATTTTATCAGTTACGGGTCTTTTGAATGGTTTAATATCAAGTTTTACAGAAACTGAAAAAGAAATGATCGGTGTTGAACGCGTTACTGCATATATCGATGATTTACCCAAAGAAGAAGAAGACAATGAAGAACAATTCATCATTTTGAATGAAGAAAGACAACAAAAAGGAGCAACAATTGAGTATCGTCATGCTACTATGAAATATAGTGTTGATCAAAAAGTAGCACTCGATAATATTACATTTCAAATACAATCAAATGAAAAAATTGGCATTGTTGGACGAACTGGTTAGAGACATTTTGATTTAATTTAAAAAAAAAGAAAGAAATCTCTGATCGATTTTTGTCTTGTTGTTTTTATTTCGAAAAGGTTCCGGTAAAAGTAGTTTATTAGCAGTATTATTTCGTCTTGTAAATTTGTCTGATGGACAAATTCTTATTGATAACGTTGATACGACAACAATGCGACGTCACACACTTCGGTAATAAACATTTTTTTGATCTTCAGCATATGTATTTTCTCTCTCTTTCATTTTTAGACAAACTTTAGCAATTATTCCTCAGGATCCATTTCTATTCAGTGGAACTATTCGAGAAAATCTTGATCCTTATCAACATCATACCGATGAAGAAATTCATAGTGCATTAGAAAAATGTCATCTATTTGATTTAGTTGAAACTTTAGGTAAGAACATGGAGAATTTTTTCTTGCTTCTATTTTTGATGTTAAGGAAATGACCTTAATTCAATGATTGTTGAACGTGGTCGTAATTTTTCTGTTGGTCAAAAGCAAGTAAGAATTAAAAGATGCATTATCACTCGAAACAATCAATCGTATGCGTTGTTTTTTCTTTTCTTATTAACAGCTCTTTTGTCTTGCTCGAGCGCTTCTTCGCAAAGCTAAAGTAAATGTTTCTAATATACTTTATTGTGTTTATTTTTGTTTACGTATATATATTAACAGATTTTATGCTTGGACGAAGCAACAGCTAATATTGATAATGAAACTGATCGTCTTATTCAAACATCAATTCGTGACGCTTGTTCGAACGTAACTGTAATAACAATTGCTCATCGAGTTCAAACCATTCTCGATTCTGATCGAGTCATTGTTATGGATAGTGGTCGAATCATTGAATTTGATACACCGACAAATTTACTTAAAAGTCCACAATCAACATTTGCTCGACTTGTGCGTCAGGCAAAAGTTTCGATTCTATCTTAATTTCCATTTACTTTGATTAGTGCCGTTGTATTTTTTTCGGCATATCAAAATAAAATTGTTATTAGATCTAAAACTAACTACGATTCACAGATCGTAGAATTACATAATCATTTTTATTTCTCTCAAAATCTTACTATTATTTGCAAAATTTATTTATTATCATTGATTCGGTAAATCATATGACCATTCAGAGTGTTCAATAAAAATATCTGGTATCTTTTTTTTATGATTGTCATCTTAACTTCAATCAGTACAATATTAACATTGCCAGCAAAGTTGCCAATATCAAGCACTATTTAGAATGAAAACAGTGTTTGAAAAATTTTCTACTGACCATCAACACTTAAAATACGATAATTGTAGATGGGTTTCTTATTCTCTTCCACAAACTCATTTGAACAAGAAAGATAAAGCGAAAACAATTCCAGTTTTCTCTTATATATAAAGTATATAGAGCATATCATGATGATTATATATGAGTCGTATAGATTTTAGAATTCCTTGAGAAAAAGAAACTTTTAACTTCTATAATATTTTCGGCTGCTAGTCAATATGACAGAGATGAGCATTATAATTAAAGACTTCTCAACAGCACACAAATTCGCGATAGTAGAGTCGATTCTAAATGTTTGCATCCATTCAGGTTTGAGAAACATTGTTACTACAGTTGAAATCAGAAAATTAATAAGAGTCGACAAATAAAAATGGTTTTAACTGCCTGAGTATATTATGATAAATTTATTAGACGATTTGGTTTAATAAGATAAGTGTGGGTTATTTTCAGTTTTGTGTTTTTGCTTTGTATATTTATTATATAGTGAAGACTAATGTCAAAGTAATGAAAATTTGATAAATCGCCTTAAGTCCTAAAATTCTTACTATTTATGCAAATTGATATTTGACTTCAATGATCGCAGTCATTTTTCACTATTTGTTTTCAAGACATCCAGCATAACAAAATGCTATTCTATAATAAGCCAACAAAAAAAATGTAATGAGTTCATTTTATTTATTTTAGTCAATATTCATATTGGATACAAATCATTTAACGTGAAACAGCAGCAACTATAGCTCTATTTATCATGCGTACAGTCTGAATCATTTGTTTTATTTTAGACATTTGGGGAGCAATTTTGATTGCATAATTTGGAGCATTGGCTCCCCACCAATCCCAGCAGCCCATTGGATTCATCGGTGAAGTTGTTGTTGGAGAAATTTGAGGAAAAAACACAATCAAATTGTTGAGTTCGGCAACTTCCAAGTAACCCGTCTTAGTTATGAATGTATCACCAATAAACCGTTTTCCTGTACGAAAAAAATAAAGCCATTCAAAACAACAACAAAAAACGAAATTAAGCAAGGATGGATCTACAACCTTGTCGACATCCATGTAGTGCAACATGAATCGGGCATTTTTGACCTTTAGTACAGGCAGATGGAAAGTATGCGAATCCATAGTCGTCGAGACCACTAGAAAAGCTGTATGTATCGGGAAGTTGAGCTTCGAAAGGCACTGTAGTGATAGACAAGGCTAAATTAAATAGACCTGATGTTGGCCAACTCCATGTGGTAGGATTATACAAGGAAATCGTTGCTGAGATCCATTTCAAGACTGCACTACTCGAAATGTCACCTGTAGCCAAAGACGGCGGAGGATTCTGAAAATTTTCTTGTCTAAATACAATCATCTGTCCGATTAGCGGCGTTGTTGAGTTCGAAATAGGCGCAATCAACTGACCACCATGAAGATGATTCAATACGTCGTATGCCATATTGAAATTACTAAAAGCAAAATGAGTAAATTTGAATAAAGATCAAATATGACTTTTAAAACGCTTTTAGCTGACCAGTTATTGATAAAATCTTTTGTATTTAATACATCACAACTTTCACCAAAGTTGTCTGTTGGAAAACCATGTGTTGCTGGTAGCTCGTAATTAGTTTTCACATTAGCACCCAACACAGAATATATCTCTTCGTTTAATTTAACGATACTAGTAAGAGTAACAGAATCCTGCGTACCAGCAAAAACATATATTGAATCATTTTGAACGTTTGAAAGTCTATCAATATTCTCAGTTAATTCATAAGATTTAAGTTTTAATAAAATATCATCAGCCGAAATGTCTTCAATGGGTCCCTTCATGCATTTCGTAACACCCGTCAAGTTGCCAGCACATTCATATGGAGGGCCAGCTAAAATACCACATCCACTGATTTCTTTTGAATAGGCCATATGTAATTGAACAGCCATAGCAGCACCTGAAGATATGCCCGACACGGTCACATCAGTACGTAATGCACCTGTGTCAACTAAAGATATGATAATCCCAAATGCAATAAAAAATATATTTCTGCCAAATGTCATCATCGTGTATTGCTTCTATATGCACATAACAACACACTTTTGCATATATATATATATATATATATATATGAAGTGAGATTTGTAATCTGAGATGAATACAATTACTTTTTTTTATTTTAAATCAACAGTGTATAAATCCTTTCTGATCACTGATCATCGTTGGGTTGATTGTAGAAACCAAACAAAAATTTAGTCAAATCAAATCAAATCCGAACTAAGTTTTTGTAAAATAGTTGAAGCAAGTAATCATTGAAATAAAGAATCATTTTCAAAATTAATGTAATCCTTTGTATAATATTGTTATACACTCGACGAAGGAAAGAAAATGTTTCTGACAATCATGCATGCAACTAAAGTATCAATAGTATACGTCAATGTACTCATCAAAACATATTACAACTCATATTTAGACGTTGTTTGCTTTTTGAAGTACACTACAAAGTCCTCTTGTTTTCATTTTACGCGAGTGTCTAAATAATAATGCAGTTCATAGATTCTATCATAGGTAAAAATTTAAGTGTTTATGACATGAAACAAAGGATGAAGTTTTTCATCTTTCATCTATTTTGATACAATGCTATTGAAGTTGGCCAAGGTCAATACAAGACGCTTATTGAAGATAAATTCACATTCACAACTATACAAACAAACATATTTCTAACTCTAACGAAACATATCTGAAAATATTCTAGAGCATGAATATGAATCTTCTATTCAACTACATGCAGTTCGATGTTCGCATACATAATGATGATAGACAATATCCTGTTATTTAATTAAACTGTATTTTAATAACAGGTCGATGTGTTAGCTACTTTCTGACGAGTAGTGTACCGTAGAAATATTCTTGTAGAATGTGAACGAAAAACTAAATGCATTGTCAACTGCAACAAACAGAAACAAAAAGGTGATCGTTCAACCAATGAATGAATATGGTAGACAAGGTGAAAAAAGTTGCATTTAGAATACGTTAAAAGGATAAATTTTCTATTATGAGTTTGTTTTTTTACATACATAACAGCACAATACGTATGACAACTGCGAAATGTACGTATTGATTGACTTTAAGAAATGTCATTATTATTGAAAATGCGTTTTTTGACATATTCTGCATAGTAACGTCCTGCCACTTTTAAACCAAGAAACTATTTTTCTCTCTTTCTTTTCATTTGTTGCACATAAACTAACATTCTCTACCAGTCATAAACATATAATTTTCTGTTGAAACAACACAACGATATGGGCTGTGGCGGTTCATCTGTATCACCCAGTAAGAAGAAGCCGTGAGAGAATGAATATATTATTTTTATTCAACATTTGTGTTCAGGATCCATGAGGAAAGGACGAGGCTCACCACACAGAAAACACCATGAGTCCAAGGATGATTCAGATGGTGGCAATGATGACGACAACGATTTTAGTGGCGATAATGGTGGTGACGATGATGGTGGTGGCGGTGATTGTGATAGAGGTGATGGCGATAGAGGTGATTGTGGTAGAGGTGATGGCGATAGAGGTGATGGCGGTGATTATGGTGGAGGTGGTGGCGGTGATTATGGTGGAGGTGGTGGAGGCGACTGAGTGTAGATTTGTAGTGGGTCGAAGAGCAGTTCTCTTTTTTCTATCATGACATTTTTGCTACTTCTACAACTGACAATTTTATTCTACTGACGAATTCTTGAAATGCACATCATATTCGTTGTTTTGCATATTTTTTTCAGAATATTCTTCATTATTCAATATAAAAGGTTTCCTAAAAGTATTTTGTTTAACAGTAATGCATGAAAATGGTGGATACTTTTGAAAAACGTGCCTCGTTCTCATAAACACTACTAAATAAAATTTTCAAGGTGCATCTGAGTTGGTTGTGAACCAGATCACCGGTCATTTAAATCTGAATTGTATAGAAATCGGCATTATGGTTCATAATCAGTAAATAGCTTTGCTACTACTTATGAATTTAAGAAGCAGAAAAAGAAAAAAGATTATTGTTTTGTGTTTGACACCTTCTCTTGAAAATTATATACGTAGTCCAACAAAAATATATGATTTTGTTTTTATGTATCATACAATTAGTATGGTTTATTTGTTTAAATGACTTCCTTACAGTAACAAAACATCAAAATACCGTATAATAGAAAAATTAAAACGAATGAAACAAACAATTAAAGACGAAAATAAAAATATCCATCAATATCTTCTAGCACCCTATCCAAACAATATTCCTTAGAGTATGCATGTATTTTTATTGTTTCCTTTCATCTTCATTTCGTCTCTTGTATTCGATATGTACAAATCCCATCATAAGAATACAGCTACCAATGGCAGCAAGCACCAGTAAATTCATCCATTGGTACAAGCTTGGTGGAATAAGAAGTAGAATAAGCACTGCAATATTGGCAAACTGAACCAAAACCGATGCAGATAGTGATTCAGGTAAAGGAAACATGATTTCAGCTAGAGCTTCATATACTAGTGGCGCGGCGGAACCTTGAAAGAGTCCAGCCAGTGTCACTGACACAATGACCGTAGTAACAGTGGGTTTTAAAATTGGTTCATCATAGAAAACAGTGCGAATCAACAAATCGAACCATACGAGAGCAATGAAAAAACCAATAGTCATGGTAATAATTAAAGATTTGAACGAACGACGAAAGTAGCGCGTATCGGCCAGAGTGCTCACACACAAACCACCTGTAATAGCGGCTAATGATGCACCGAAACCAAACCAACCTGACAAGAAAATAGTTCAAAAAGATTTTGCTGGTTATTCATTATCCTTACCTGATTGTCTTTCCGTGAAATTCTCCAGTGCTAGAATATTAGCAAAGAGACTTGTCCATGCCGAAAAAGCGCCACCTAAAAGACCTCCCACAGAACAAAGAAGTAGAAATGAGGGTGTGGTAAAACACTGTCTAAGATTTTTCATGTATGTTTTCAATGAATCAATATTAGACTCGTGTATCGAACCGTCAATAAGCGACTGAGCAGCAGGTGACGGAGCTCTTGGTGGTTGTGCTGGAAAATATATCATTATCAGTACACAAGGAACCAAAGCAAGACTCAAGTGTATATACAGAAGTTGAGGAACACGTTCAGGTGTGTTCACAATCCAAGGACTGATTAGAAAACCGATGGTTGAGCCGAAACTAGGCGCAACGATTGCGAACGTTGTGGCGCGAGTTCTCTCATTGGTTCCAAACCAAATACATGAGAGTTGCGAAACAGGTGCCATAACCAAAGGTCCACATGCAGCATTTAATATTTGTCCAACATGTATGAAGAAAAGGGAGACAGAAGTAAAATTATCATTTGAAGGCGATACAATCATTGATGGCACAATGCGAAGTATTGTCGCCAGCAAATCTGTGATGGCAAGTATTATGACACATTTTCGAAGTCCATGTGGTTTGTTCAATAGAACGTAGGTTAATGGTAAACATGGAATGAAGATAATTGATCCCCAGTTGAGAAGTAAATTAATAGTACTCTCTGTTATATGATAATAAGCTTGAGTACTCTGTGAGATTGGAGAAAATGTTAACCAGAAAAGGTATTGATTGAACGCAAGAAAACCAAAGACAAACAGAACATAAAAACGACGTCGATATAATGGGAACGATATTGACGATAACGAAGGCGTAGATTGAATTAAGAGTGATACATCTGAGGATATCCGTGCCATGCGGAATTGGAATATTCTAGAATGATTTCAAGAAAATACACTAAAGTATATTGTTTTCATACAAGATAAAAATAAACTATTTAAAAATTGACTAGCATGCATAAAAAAATATGAACCACTACTATACATGAGTTCATCAAACAGTATATTTAAAAGATTTGAATTTTCTCGATAATATTGAGAAACTACTTTAACAAAACTAATTTGATTATATGCGTTCCGAGAATATCCCCGGAAACTCGATCAAGTGCTAGGGAACAAAACGCAGCAGATATAGCGATATATAGGTTATAGGGGGTCTAGGTGGAGGGGTGTCTTGGGGTCTAGGGGGTACCAGAGTTATAGGAGATATAGGAGATTGATAAACAACGAGCACGGCTCAAAAAATAAATATTGATATCAGTAATATTTGTCCAGAAGATTTTATTTTAGTTGAGTTACAATTAAATAAAATTAAGAGAAAAAAAATATATCTACTATAACTCTGGTACCCCCTAGACTCCAAGACTCCCCTCCACCTAGACCCCCTATAACCTAGATATCTCTATATCTGTTATATCTGCTACGTTTTATTCCCTAACACTTAATCGAGTTTCCTGGGATATTCTCTGAACGCATCGTATGCATGGCTGTTTTAGTGGGCGTATTTAGTCATCAACATTTCTAATTTCAGTTGTATAACTAGTGAACGTTTTTATGATTCAATTGAAAAAGTAAAAGGTTTACCTCGCTGAATTTAGATTTACTTATTGAAAGTGCATAATCACACTGAGAAATTTATTTTTGGTAGTTACGTTTTAGCTGAAAGAACAGTTCTAAGAGAAATCCTGATGTAAACGAATTTCAATTTTGTACGTAATCATCACTTGTTGGACTTATGACACAGATAGTAGACTTGAATATCATACAAAACTAATCAAAAGGAATCAGATAGCAGCCTATCTAAACTCAAGCTATGAACAGGAATTTTAGATGAAAATAATCCTAGTAAATTAATTCGTAAAATATTTCTTTATATCAGTATTCAATCGATGTTATATTAATTGAATCCTCTCGTCTATTATAAGTTTCAATGCTGTGTTGAAATTTCTGTTTAACTAATTGATTATTCTTCAGCTGTCTATTCTCATGGAATTAGGTGTTTGTAACGAAACCTTTTGAACAGATTCTTATATTCAGACTAGAAATTATCTATCAAATAACATTAACTGCGGGAAAAATTATCACATATTTTGTAAACATATCATTTCAAAATCTAAGAGAATTAGTATTTTTTAGAGCCTACTCTAATTAAATACCGAAATTAAATGACGTTTGCATCGTTATATTGCTTAGACCCCAAACAGACCAAAAAAATAAAACAGAATTAAGCAACGTGATTGGTTAATTCACACTTAAGTCATCTTTTTGAGACGATTTAGTGGTTAATTCTGTTTTATCTTTTTGGTCTGTTTGGGGTCTTATTCTTATTGTTACAGTAAATGAGGACCAATCCAGTCTCTCAGTAGAACTGTTGCTAATCAAAATTTCTCTTAGTATCTATTGATCATTCAGAATGTAAGAATGGTTGAATAGAAACATTCATTACAAGAAAGATGATATCTATTACTTGAAACAATCGCATAGATCATCTTGGACGAAAAAAATAAAAACATTTCTAGTGCATGTGAATCATCGTTATATTTCAACATGAGACTGCAGATAGAATAGAGCAATACATGGGAGCGCTATAGGATCACAACCATTGTTTATGTTCGTATATGACTGCGAGAAAATGGAAAGAACTATTGGCTAGCAATTCTACAACCACCAAGAGAGCAGATTTAGTCAGTGTAGATGTCGTTCCCTGTACACTTACGAATATTTTGGCAAGATATGAAAACGAATCATGAAATAAGATATAGAAATCGATCAGTAAAGAAATATTTTTGAGTGTTTAATACCACATTCCTATCTTCAAAGGAATTCGTATAAATTATATTCATATACAAATCGGCTGAGAGCAACTGACTTTTATGATCTTTTTTGCCAACATTCATGTAGTATTTTTAATATTTAGATGAGTATTTCGATTTATAAAATTCATTAGGCAATATAAAAATCAATTTATATATCACAGCTAACATAAATGATACTTATTGAAATGTATTCTTTCCAGATTAGTCTTAGTTTGAGACCGTCTCATTGATTAATATATACCAATAGTTGCAATAATTTGCATCAACATCATCAAAGATTCATCGTATGTTTAGAGGTCTTTTGCACTGTTTTTTTCTTTTATTTGAACACCATTCATCAACATCTAGAGTATGTTCAGGAGAGCAAATCGAACATGAATCGTTTTGTCTATCTAATTAGCAGAGACAACGGTTGTGGTCAAAATGAATCAGTCATAAATTGTGGTGATCATTTCTCTACTCAACATAATGGTATAGTTTTTATAAAATTATTGTTCTAGCTTCCCAGGTGAATCAATCCGATACCGAATCCCATCGGATTCTATGGGGTCCTACCATCCGACGAAATCCCGTTGGATTCCTGGTTCAAGAATCAATGTCGGATCCGACAGTCGTATTTCCAATCATATCCGATTGTCGGAACCAATAAAATCCGAAGCATTCCGGTTCCGATTGACGGTTGATGTCGGATTTTATCAGTTTCCGATACTAGGATCCGATATCGATTCCGGAACCAGGAATCCGACGATAATCCAATAGTTTCCTTGCGCCTTCTGAAGAGCTCCGTCGGATTCCAATAGGAACCGATCGGAACTCATCGGATCCAAGGCTAGGATTCATTCTCCTGGGGACACATATTCCCCCTATATATACTCCTCTTTTTTCAATGATAAAGTTAGTTCCATCGTTATGGTACTCATTCGTTATTAACGTTAAGAAGGCACAGGGATCTCTAATAAATATACTATTCGATGCAAAAGTTTGATTCTTTACAAAGTGCCCTGTTAATTGTTTACTCACATTCTTCAGGACAACTTCTGAACGTTTGTACAGTTTCTAACTTACTATACAATTATTGAGCTCATATTTCGGATGTAGCAACTAGATTTTTTTTACAGAAGGATATGTATGGCAGTGATCAACATATAAACATTGAATATTTTTAAGCATGTTAAGTGCTTCAAATTCGGTCGACAAAAAAACGTGTCACAGCGTTATGTTTGGTTTTTGCATTTTTAATCTGAGCGAAAATAGTTTAGAAAAAATACTTTTTACTGCTTGAAATCCCATTCAATTTTCTACAAAAACGGTACCATAAACACTTCATTTGAAGAAATTATTTGGCAAGAAATTAGAGCTTTATAAGCAAACCTAGAAAAAAGGGTCCTTTTTTGTCAGTGTTACGCGATGATAAAACCTTTCTAGAAGCGCGAAAGTTCAGTCGAACTAGGCCACTCTTTCAACATTAATAGATTATGATAAGCTGCGTCGAATGACGTTTGAACGACCTTATTAGCTCTTATACCTGTCGAGATAATTGCAAAACTATTTGTCAAAATATCACAGCATTACGTTTGGACAAGGCGAGATATATTTAACGAAGAGAGAATAGAAACTTCATTTTCATCACCAGGAGAGATAGATGAAATATCAGCACATGAATCTATCGACGATGATAGCGATGCATAGTTTTATTTTCAATAGTTTTATTGAAATAATAAGAACATCAGCAACTACTACAATTATATTTTAAACATATGTGCACTATTATCACTATTATGATTAATTTATTATTTTCTTTTGTTTTCTTACAAACTTGATTGGATCTTATACGGTCATCATACAAACACAAATATAACAATCTATTTACCATTCTATAGCGATATCTGGATAGTTTTAGTTTCTTTCACGTTCCCGAGAAGAATAAAATTGCTGTTATTTTCGAACTAAAGTAAGTATATGCAAAATTTGCAGGGCGTGAAGGTATAGCCCTGCCCTGCCCTGAACAGGGCGGATCAATTTTTTAAAAATTCGCCCTGTGTCCTACCCTGTGGACACCTCTGGTCCGAACGATGGAATGATTGACTATTTCAGACATTGTTAACGCTCACGAGGAGCGACGAACACAGTTAACGAATATGTTTATATTCTCTCTGTTTATTCTGTTAGAAAACAAACGTTTATATACGCACGCGAAAACAAGGGCAAGAAAAATGAAGGAAAACGAAGAGAAAAATGAAAAGACAAAAGAAAAGAAATAGATCGAATCGAGGTATATATGTTATGGTAGAATACACCCTAACAGACATGGATTTATGAGAATAAAAATCTATCATAGAACTCATCGTGCAGAACTTGCAACAGCATAACTATCGATAGAAAAACAAAGAATCGTTAGTATTTATAATTATTTTACGATTTTGAGTTCGTATCATCTGATAGAAAAGTGAGTGCTCTGAAATAGTTAACTTTGTATTTGAACAAAAGAGCTTTTGTAGACACATGATATACCCTATCGCGACAATGATGGTGCCACTACTTCCATAGGAAGTACCAATACGACAGTAAAACGTCTTTAAATCTCGCGGAGAAGCAGACAAGACTCGTGTTTCGTTTCTGAGACCCAATACCTCTGGTTTACTGATATCGTAGAAATGCATAAATAAAAGTATTTCTGAATATCATCATGACAGCAACAGTGGATATGCCTTATACATTTGACAATAATATTTCACTTGAAAATAGCATACTAGTAAAGTGTCTATTCATCATTTTTGTAACTAGACACCTACATGGCAGCTATTGAATTTCATGTTGTTTTAAGAAATATCTAATACAAACTTGATAATTAGTTCAGTCACATTCGCTACATCGCGAGTATAACTAAAGATCAACAAAATATTTTTGTTGTTGAAATCTATTACAAATAATATGGATTATAGTATTGAATTGAAGATAATTTAAGTAAACTCTACCCATAATACTAATGAAGTCTAATTGATACGTCTTGTGGTAAGGTCAGAATTTCTTTTGAAATTTAGAAAGCTCGTGCGTGACAAGAATAATTATTTTTCCCTGAAGACATTTATTGTTAGTCTAATCACATCTATAACATCTTGCAATAGTGCGTAAGAAATTCTTCGCAGATAGTGAACGATAATTATCAGCAAGTGCTACGCGTGCATATCATGTATATAAAAACTGATTGATGTTAGAGCTTAACGGAGACACAATTTTAAGTTTGAATGAACCGCGAGCACAAATTTTCACTGAAAACGTTCATTTATTTATATAGAGAATAAAATACAAAAAATAATAAATTGAAACAATTTTTATTGATTGATCAGCCTTATGAAGCATTGATAATATTAAAAGTATGCTTCATTTGGCTCTACTTTGTTTTCATGTGACTTGAAAATGCCTTCTTGATATTTTTTTATGGCATCGATTTGTGTTCTAATCATGGGTATTTCATTAACAGATGTTACTAATTGGTATACATGCGGTCGTATTTGATTTTCTTCGTTCTGAACTGTACGATTAAATTGTTGTTCGTATTCTCTTTGAAGTTGTTTCAATTTACGAATCAATTGTTGATTAAAATTGACTAGATCATAACTTCGGCAAATATATTGTTCTTCATCAATCATTCTAGCAAGGCCCGAAAAAACGGATCAGTTTGTTTTCGTGGATTTATTTGGTAGAAAACGAACCAACTTAATAGATGTTTCACAGAGAAATTGATGTTGCTCGTTCAAAGTATCGATTGACATATCAACTTGTTCATCCATCAATTTATAATCAAGTCTATATTGAGTTGGACTTTGTTGCTTGGAAGTACAATGAAATTATAAAATTACTCACAGGAGCATTGGCATCGAGTATAGAATTTTCTCGTTTGACATATCTGAACATCTATTATATTTCTTCGAGTCCGTCTATCTATTTATCACTCATGTCAACATTTGATTAGATTATTCTTCAGTAGCTGAGATTTTATTACGACAGGTTCTATCTATTTGAAGAGTACATCTTAGCAGCAGAGCTGAAAAGGAATTTTCTTCTAGAAAGCTTTTCAAAATGTTTTCTATACTGACCGTATTTGGTAACGAATGAAAATGGCCTATCAGAATCCAAAAATGACTAAACTTTTTAACGGTAGACTCACATGTGTAGAATATTGTTGTGGATTGACCAACACAGGTTGCACTGAGCTTGATCAAACAGTTAGACTCATGTAAAAGAATATTTCGAAAAGTGCTTCGTATAGCTTCCAAAATCGGACGAATCATCAAATTAATTTGTAATTGAGCTTCTTTTGTTGATTGCCATTCAATGCTTCTACGATATGGCTGATGAACGTCTTCACTGATAAATTTTTGCAATCGGTTTGATTCTTGTACTGATTGTAGCCAACTTTTTTCGAAATCTTTTTTATCATCATCACTCAAGTCTAAATGTTTTTGTAGAGCAATTAAATATCGGAAAGATTCACTATCAAAACAGAATGTGTTCTTTTTCTCGAACCGAATATTTCTGATTCGAAATGAACCCGCAATGATTTTAATAGTGGGCGAGTATCTCCAGGAGCAAAGTAAGTTGACCGAGCGTTCGCAAAACAAAAGCAGATATGATCACATATGTTTTCGCCAAAATTCTCAAACGATTGAGTACAACATGATAACTAAAATGAATTTAGTTGACTCTCATTTGGCTTGAGTAAGAGACAGATGCAATTTAAATGAGTGAAATTACTTATAAACGAAAATATAGCTTTCATCTTGAGTATCACCTCGTGTATCGCCAAAACCAGGCGTATCAATGATACGGAATAGTTTTCCACGAGAAAAGCCAAAGACGTATGATGTAAGATAATTAGCAAAAGCGCTAATGAATGTTGATTTATCAACTCCAGATTCGCCCAGCAGAAGAATATTGATATATTTATAGTCTATTGATGATTGTGGTGCTGAAGGTGCGATTCGTTTAGTTGAATTTGAAATCGCTTTCGAATAAGATTCACGTTTATTTATCATTGGTTCTTTTGACGTTAGAATGGTCATCCTATCTAAATTCCATAGACTATAAGTGAAGTTCGCATAGATAAGACTGCATGTCGGATTAGTTTCCCGTATCTTCTTCATTTGAGAATAAAGATCTCTCCATTGTTCTTGTAGGTGGGTTTTTAGAGTATCATTTGCACAAAATATAGTTTTATCAAAATCATTTTTGAAAAGTATATCGTTGATTAATTGTTCTGTATAGTCGTTTTTAATTCCTAACTGTACGACGTTACAATACTCAATGGCAAATTTTTGGAAGTTTCTAATTAATTTTCCTTTTGTTTCTAACTGACAAATGGATAATTTGATATTATGAACAGAATTTTAAATTTTGTTAGATATTTTTAAGTTGTTTTGATTATTGAATAGACTGTTTCGACATGCTCCGCGTCGTACTGGAAAAAGTGAATCGCGAATAGTTTGAATACGATGGTCATGATAACCTTCCAGTTTTGAGAAATCAACACGGACACTGTTTATCTGTTCTTGTTGTAATTTTAACATTTTAATTTCTTATACTTGCGCTAGTAAATAATTTTCAAGTGAATCCACCTTAGTCAGGTCTATTTCAGTCACATCCTCAGTCAATGTATTCTTTTGTAGAGCGAAGTGTTGAATGGAAGTAAGCATATATTTTGATTGACGAGATGTTCATTAGAATTATTTCTCAATTGTAAAATTCGTTTGTAAACTTCATTCAAGTTAGTTAACCTGGTTAAATCATGTATATTTGAGAAACATGTAGTAGATATAATTTGATCAACTAGATTCTTTTTCTTTCGGTATCCATCCACAGTTGATACGTTATAAATTAAGCTCTGATGTATTTCATCTAACAGGTTATCAAGCTCAATTAGCTGATTCGGCAGTAATCATACAACAACAACAGCGTGTGCATCGCAAATAATTTTAGTTATCTCATGTGTTGGTAAGGTCTCCGATATGAATGGATTGCGAGATTTTATTTCTTCGACTGAATGAGTTCGACACGAGTCTGTTTGACTTTCTAAATAGATGTACAACATGCGAGTATGTTCATCGATAGCTCGAGGATAATCAATAAGAGATGAAGTGCCAGTTGGTTGTACTGTTTTTAAAAGGATGTTCAATCGTAATGAATCATCAATATCGATCATTTTAAGACAATTTCAACGTTCACCCGTCAGGTCTACTGATAATATACATTTAATCGTTTTTTTTTTGACGCAGACGATTTTGATTTGTAATCTATATACAGTTTACCCATTATTTGATCTTGACACGTGTCATACAGTGATCCGATACTTCCGGTCTGATCAATGGCAATACGACGCTTGACCTCTGCTACAGCTTCTTTGTTTAAATAAGATTGTTTTTCAGCACGAAATAAGTTTTTAAAACAATCAACGTATGATGCCATCAGTTATTGATTTAGTATTAGTGATTCAAAATGTTAATTATCAAGTGTAATAATTTGCTCGTAATATGCTTCTTAAAGCTGACTGAAATAAGTAATTGAGGGTAAAATAAATCCAACATTTTGGTACGAAAGTTATCAGTGATAAGGCAGTAAGATTTACCGATTAGAGAATTCCCGAGCTTCCTCAGCTTTCACAAAGCCCTAATAAATTAGACATCGTACTATCGTTGAGATGAAATTATTTCACAGAAAAATTTAGCAAAGAATTAAATAACTCAAAAAATTCTCTTCTATAACTTACTTTGTAAAGGACAAACCGTGCTTATATTCGAAATTATTTAAGCAACACTATGCCGAGACATTCTTCTTCATTTCATTTTGAATCAGAAAGAGAAGAGCGCGACAGAGTCATTTTGATTTCAAGCGTGAAATAAGAAAGTACCATTTATTATCGACCTGATCCTAAAAACAGCAAAAGACTAAAATGATGCTCTCGATAGGCAAACACACGTGGTGTGCATGAAAAAAAGAGTAATAAAAATGAAATACGCCGGGAAATAACAAGTTAAGTAAGTTATCTAGAAACTGTTCTAGTCGCCGCGTGCCTATTATTTTGTATTAAAACAATTATTAGTACTAGAGTGAAAAAACTGAGTTGTCATCTGTTCTTGTGCTTGTGAAATCCATCAGAGACTGCCTTTGGTGTAAACAATATTTGTGTATACGTATAAAGTAATTCATTCGGGGAAGGAAAAGAGTGAATCGACTTTGGGAATAATCTTTCTAGTTGCATTTAATTTCTTCAAAGTAAATATTAACGATTCGATATTATACTAAATTCGATAGAGAGAAGCGTTGATCATGAATTCTATAGTCATTCGAGGCAATCGTTTGTATTTTTCATGATTTTATCGCCGGATATGCTGGCCACCGTGTTTCGGCCGTCATTTTTATTTATAATAGTAAATACTCTTGGTTTTTCATCATGACTAATACAAGTTTGCTATGAATTTGTTGTATTCAAATACCACTGGTATATATGTCCTTGTTGTGCTACTGCAAAATAGAAACATATACCAATAGATTGCACTGTTTCAAACAATTTATGGAAAGGAATCAGAAAATGACTCGGTAAAAATTCTTCGCCAAAACTGATATTCTGATTAACTAGAAAAAGAAATAAATACGTTTTAAAGATGCCCAGGTCGTGGACGTACGGCGGGAAACGGCCGGAAAGCACAGGAAAGCGCTGGAAACTGGAAGCAGTATTCCAGTTGGAAGTTACCGGATTTTCTTCCTGTAGATTCCGATCAACTTCCAGATGTAAAACACAGAAAACTGACCGGAAAACACAGGAAACTGACCGGAATCCACAGGAAAAAAATCCGGTAACTTCCAACTGGAATACTGCTTCCAGTTTCCAGTGCTTTCCCATGCTTTCCGGCCAGATACGGTGATTTTTCCGCATCTTTCCGGCCGGTTCCTACAGTATCCGTCCTCCAGAATCATTGACCTGGGTGGCCTACATTTAAAAAAGAATCAAGTGAAAAAGTCGCATGTCTCCAGGAGTCAATTAAAAGAACTTGAGTTGATTTGTGTGCTTCTTCTGTATTCAAAAGTACTTCTGCTACTTCAACCGTCAATGTGACATTAATTGATGTGTTCAAAGTTTGAACAACTTTCGGCCTACTCAAATCAAATGGATCGCTTTTTTGTCCTACTAATTTATTTAACTTCTACTACAATATATTCAACCAAGAGTTTCAATTGACGTATTCTATGATGTTTCTAAAACAGGGTATGCATTTTTCATCATTCTCAATGCATCGAGTCAAAAAGTAATTTCTGGTTTTACCGGAAAAAATATGAATCATTTAATTATTTGTATTTTGTCTCAATCAGTTACTCAGACGTGCATATTATAGTGCACTATTTTCTCTAATAATTCATGTATTTATAGGAGAATTTCTACTCATTATAACGGAAAGCTTTTAATAAAAAAAGTTCCAGTTCAAAAGTTGAGTTGCCTCGATTGTATTCAAAAGTTTCTTTTTTATGATAGCTTTCAGCTCTTCAATTTTGATGTAAAATATACATTAAAATTGTTTAACACGGCGGCTCATATTTGTTTGATTCAACCGGAAATATTTTATTTTGCATGTCTATAATTGAGTCTGTTAAATATACTTCATATTATTCAAGTATAGATCAACGTAACCGTAAGAATCAGCAATAAAACAATATACTACTACAAAAAATAAAAAATAAAAAGGTTTTATTGAACGAGACCTTCCGGTGTATTGTTTATTGAAAGGGGTCTTTTATTGTATTGACGATTGTAGCCTAGAAAAAGTCTAAATCATCGTCTTGTAAAACATCTAAGCGTGAAATCTTCAAAAGAAAGCGAACTTTCGTGTAAACGACTTCGTTTTCTTTATGATTCGATAGAGAATGCGACGAATAAGATAGGACACAAATTTTCGCTGTTCAGCTTAAAAAAATGGCACCACTTATTTCCAATTGTTTAAATTTCGAATGAAAAGAGTAAAATTCTGAATTAAATAATTGAACAGGCGTGAATCTTTGTAAGTTCTTGACGATGAGCGACAGAGCTTTGCGCAACAGAGCAGCACGGATTGCCTATCAATGAATTCTTTTAATTCCTTTTTGCTTTTCAATTAAATTAAAAATGAAATTAACCACGTTGCAAGAAATCAATGAATTAGAAATTTAGTTTTCTCCTATTACATCCCATCCAGTAATGAACCAATTACAAATCTATGAATATATATATTTCAAATATCAAAATATCATTTATTTGATTATTACTAAATGATGCGAAAGTCCAGATGTAATATTAAAGAAAAACAGTAAAAAAGTACCTAGTTATTTAAAAACAAAACTTTAGATAAGCGAGGAATACAACAAACTTTTTTCTGCCGACAATTTTTACCGATACATATTACTTCAAACTTTTCGTCGGCTGCAAAATTTTCCCGATGTGTATCTTTGCATCTTGATCGCCTTTTTGTCAACAATCTTATTGGTTTTACTAAGAAAAACTTTTTCGAACGTTATCTCTCAGCGCATTCCATCAATGGTTGTTCTTGCTCGTTGTCTTTTCCCTATTAATTTTGACAAAACACCAAGAACATATGTCCGAACGATATTCACAATTGCATTTGTTAATGATTGCACACGCTGTGTGCGAACTTTAAATTTTGTCATGACAAAATTTATTATTGAATACAAATATTTTGAAGTCTTCAATCATCTCAATCATTTTAATACAGAAATTCTTTAGTATAGACAAAGAAACCATACGAAATACAGCGAAGCAATTATCATGCTTATACATTCGAATGCCATGAAATGCACCCTCATAATACCATGTTTATTCATGTCTATTGCTTATGTGCTAAGTATATTGATTTTTATATGAATGGGAATCCTCAAAAAGAAAAGAAGAAAAAGAAGCACATTAGCACATAACGTTTTTCAATGACACAAAACAGGGAAGAAAAAATTTGATTTTTTTCATAGTAAATTTCTCCTACACACGCAACCTTAGAGTCATATTTATTCATACCTAGTTGGTTTTAATGGCATGATCGGGAAGTAGTTTGTATTTTATTTCTGGTTGAGTAAGCGATAAGAAAATGAAAATAAAATTTTTTACTTATTCATGCTACGATAAAATAATATAGTGGCATATGCTTATTCTTGCAGAAATCGAGCATATGTGTCAATTGAAAACTCAGATCTACCTCCCTGGTCATTTATGATACGACTCAAAATTGCATTGAAGACAACTGATGATCAGCGCGTCTGAATATTGATGATATTTTTCTCCAACAGATCACACGTGCCGGCACATGAATGGTGCGCATGATCTAGTATTTGACGATTAATATAGGAATGAGTGGTGACTGTTAGGAATATTTCAATTTAGTAGCTTTCAAGAGGACTGAATTGTTAATATGACCCTCATTAGAACTTTGCTGTAACTTCATTAAACATTCATAAGTCGTGACTTGTAAGAATGTGTTTATTCATTTGGTTGCGTACGCCCACTGTCAAGAAGAATTTTCTTTTTCTAAAGGATCATGCATATTTCTCTACGTGTGAAAATATCAACAGATCCTAGATCGTGCATACGCACGTCGATTCATTTGACAACGACGAATGGCATAGATTTCATTCAAAACATTATAAGTATACAATTTCTATAGATATAAATAATAAACTCGATGGCTTCATTTATTTGAAAAAGAAAAATGATTAATGATTAACAATAATAGGATCCAGATTTTGTTTTTCGGCTATGCATTGTTTTCACAAGACATATGGCAAAAGTTTGTGCAAATCAATAAGAATATTTTCTAATCATCATCATTCAATGAATTGTTCTGCTAATCATCGATACACAAGTCAATATTTTTCAGGCATAAGAACTAAGTCATCTACTATTTTTATTCCATTAGTTTGACAGAACATTGACATAGCGAACAAGTAAAGAAAAAAACAAAAAGAAATCGTTGTTGTTTTATCACATTTGAATGCAATGAAAAACCGAGGCCCACACAAGTACAGTTAAGTATAATAAATCATTCTATGAATTACTCCGATTCTATTTCAACATTATTTAAATCATTTGATACCGGTGCTTTGTTCTTCATTGATAATAATGGATGATTAGATAATGGTGGTTGATAGAAAGCATCGACAACGGCAATCTATGAATATAGAAAAATAGAACCGCGAAATACTATAAATAAAACACTCCAAATAATCTCGAAGATTGTATTCGTAAAAATAACAAGAAAACGATAAGCTTTTGTTTATGTGTGCGATCCCAGCAGAAGATCTATGATTTGTTGAACAAAAACAACAAGGAAACGATTTGTATAATGACATATTAATATCATCCTCATCCTTCAGTTTGTTTATTTGTTTTATTGATATGGAATAAATCAGAAAGGATTTTTTCATTTGTTTTCATATTCATATTATTCGACTACAGATATGATTATGACCATGATCATCTTCATCACAAAGGAGAGAAGAATCAAAAAACCAAAAACACAGCGACGAGAGAAAAAAAACAAAAGAGAAGTGAAACAAAAAGGATAAGAAAAATTGAAGTCTACCTAGTCTAGGGACAGAGGTCTTAAATGGAGAAGGCATTATACAGTCATCATCACTCGGTGTATTTTAATCTCTTCTCTCGACTTAAAAAATCGAAGTATAATTATTATATATATATATATATATAAATATACTCTGTTTTTTTTTCGTCTTTTTTGCATTCGACATTACCATCCATCTGATGTGTAGCACCGCTCGATTGTGACTGACTGATTTTGCAAAGAGTGAAGATGAAGAAAAAAAAGAAAATTTTTTCTGTAGCTTAGAATTTAAAAAAAAGAAAAAGAAAATACTTTATCACACGTTTGCAAAGAAAAAAAAAGAAAGAAGAATAAACGAGAAATACACATACTCTAAATGCGCGCAAATATGTAAGAAAAAAAACGAGCAATAAAGAAATTAGAAGGAGGATACATAGATTTATGGATAGAAATAAAGGAACAAAAAATAGAGATTGGAAGCATGAGAAACATACGAGCCCACCAATGTAAATGTTTTGCTATTATTTGGTTTGTATTTATACTCTAAACTTCAGTTTCTTGAATGATCTTTTTTGATAGTGGTTGGTTATCAGTGATAGTTGAATTATTAAGAGGAACATCGTGATCAGCGTCGTTATAATACGATGAAGCTTTGGATACATTTGTGACTCGTAGCCTATCTAATGTTGCAAATTCTGGTGGGTATCGATCGATTGAATCTTCAAATGCTTTTATCACACGAAGCTAGATTTGTTGGAATAAAGAGAAAAAACATCCAATCAATGTTTTGTTAAAAATAAACCACATGAAGATACACAACCGATAATGGAATTAGTGCACAAACAAAAAACAATAAGTATGAAAGACATAAGTCAAGAAGAATTGATTATATTCTACATGCACATACAACATTGAACAGATGAAAAGCAATTAGAAAAAAATGACAAGCTAAGATACAAAGCAGTGAAACAAATAATTAAAGCACTCAAGCCTATAATTTTTAATATTTATTAGTTCAATCATTTAGAATGAGCTTATCTATCCCGTTACTTGTTCCGGTTGCTTTTGCTTAGGGTATAAAACACTAAACCACAACAAGAAACAAACACATAACAATGAGTGCAATCAAAATATATAGGGGAGGGGGAGGTAAAGGAGACATTTATCGAATAAATTGATCAAACCTCAAGAAAAATGGATGCATATGATGTATATGTTTTAGTGTTTTTAGGATGATTTAATCGATAAATGGAAAACGCACATGTGCTTTTATACATATGATGGTAGTTACCATTGGGAAGACGGCGATTTGGCGACATGTTCTTGGAAAGTTTTAACGACTTGTACCTGTCATAGGGATTATAGAGAAATAATATTAATAAAACAATAAAGAAACAAATAAAAAAAAAAACGATTATTAGTTTTTAGTAGAAATATTCATATTACCATGTAAATATATACTGTTTCTTTTGTTTTTCTCCTATTCTTATTCGATATATAAGTATTATATTGATCAATCAGTAAATTTAACATCAAAACAATTTTCTTTTCTCTCATCAATTCTAATTTATATTCAATAATTATTATAAAAAGAATATAAAACAAATAATCTTTTTTAATTATATCATGTCATCTTAGATTGCAATAAATTTTCTATTTCGTATTCATCACTAATGGTTCTTCAATTTCTCGATTAGGCCCAGTCATCAATAGGCATACTATCATTATTCAAATGCACACATGCACTAGAGTAAGCGAAGTCAAACTTGTGTAACGTTATTGATAAAAAAAAAAGAGCGAGATTAAGCAAGTTTCAATAATATATATATATATATATATATGTATACAAATTGACATTATTTCTCAAGAGAATCATGATTAATGGCATAGAACAACAAACATCCATGATATTGTTGGCGTACGTTTTTTTTATTGCAAGAAAAAGAAGAAGAAGAAGAAGAAGAAGAAGAGAATAAAATAGAACCTAAAAGAAAGATTCTTCTTTTTAATTTTTGTACATACCTGTGTTTGAAGACGTGTTATTCCTCTTAGCCAAAGTATTTGTCCCTTTGTGAGACTGGCTCCTGGTCTTGACTGTCCTTCGGGGCCTAAATCATCCGGTGAATTGGGTTCATAAACTTCGCCTGCACCCCATTTTGGCATATGATGTGTCACCGGGATCAAATTAACTATCTACAAAAAGAGAGTTCCAAACTAATAGAAGCAAATCCAAAAGAAAAATCTTCATACTTGATTCCATAGAAGAACTGTAACACCAAAAAACAAACACCACATCCATTGTTCAAAGGTTAATGCAACACAAGAAAATGCCACTGAACCATATTGAACAAGAACAATTTGTACAACAAATGTTACAACCCATATACCATAAAAAATCGGATTAGTAAATATTCCTCGAAAAACATTTTGTTCACCATGGATTTTTCGACAATTTATTTCATTAAATAATGTCATTAAGACAAAAACATTAAATATCATTGTAAAATGTTCTGATGGTTTAAAAACGCTATCAACTGGACGACCATCATCCATATCAAATACTGTAGGTCCTTCAAATTTCAAAGCAAAAAGAAAACATGAAAGAACTATTTTCGTTTCTCTATTCTTACCAGCAAATAATATAAAAAGCATAACGCCTAATTGATAAATAGCATGGCCAAGAATATTTTTCATCATTGTTCGGGAAATCAATGGTCGTGTCCGTCCATATGGTAGACGTGTTAATAAGTCTTCGGTTGGAACTTCAGTAGCAAGTGCTAATGATGCCAATGTATCCATAATTAAGTTAACCCATAACATTTGAACGGCACGTAAGGGAGATTCTTTGACAATACATGCTCCAATAAAAGCACAAAATACAGCAACAACATTTACAGTCAATTGAAATTGAAGAAATTTTGCTATTGAATCATAGACATTGCGACCCCACATAACAGCTTTGACAATTGAATTGAAATTATCATCAACAAGAATAATATCTGATGCTTCTTTGGCTACATCAGTACCTTGTATGCCCTATTTAAATAAATAAAAATCATCAGAGTGAAGTAAATGAAATTCATGCATTTCTTTTTTTAGATTCGAGATCTATAAATTGAGTCAAGATTATATGAATTCTCAAGTTTTTAATAAGTTTTATCTCATCCTTACGTCTGTTCGAAGCTGTTTTTTTTTTTTTATAAAACTAACTATAGCCAGTGCACGCGGGGGGGGTGGCCTTGATTTTTGAATTCGGCTTGGAAACTTTGCATATACGTATATCTTAGATTTGCTCAGAATAGTACTTCATGAAAGTGTTTGATATTTTTTCGTTTGAGAAATATGATGAATGTAAGAGACAAGCTTTTCCTATTTAAAAACTTAGCTACTAATGATTTAGTTTCATTCTGTAGAAATAGTATAAAACGAAATGTAAAACTAACCATAGCAAAGCCAACATCAGCTTTTTTCAAAGCAGGTCCATCATTTGTTCCATCACCGGTAACAGCGACAACTTCTCGTGTCGGATTTATTTTTGATGCAATAATACCACGAACTAATACATATTTATCTTGTGGTGATGAACGAGCTAATACACGTAGATGTGGCCAAACTTTATCAAATAAAGCTTGATCAACCTAAATATAAAAAGTTAAAATTTCTATATCGTAAAACGAAAAGAAAAGTTCTCTCTTACTTCTCCATCCGGTTTTGATCTTATACGTCGATTGAATTCTTTTCCTTCGAGTACTAAGAAACTGTCATTCGGTGATATAATTCCACATTTCAGTGCAATGGATCGAGCTGTATTGACATTATCTCCAGTAACCATACGTACTGTGATGCCAGCATTGCGACATTTTGCTATGGCATCTGGTACCTCTGCTCGTACAGGATCTTCAATACCACATATACAAATGCATGTTAATTGATCTACACAATTAGCTTCATCGTCCCAGTCTGGTAATGCATCAGGTGCGAAATCTCTATATGCAACACAAATTGTACGTAAACCATCACATGCCATTGGTTCGATAACTGTTTGTACAAGACGATCGTACTCAACATTTGAAAATGGTACAACATCGCCATTACGATTTAGTATTGTTTTACATTTTTTCAAAACAATTTCCGATGCACCTTTTGTGTGCATGCGTACAACGGAGTCTGGCCGTCGAATAACTGTTGACATATTTTTTCGTACTGAATTAAATGTATAAACATGAACGAATCTTTCTTCGGGATAACGTGTACGAATTTCATCATAACTACCACCAAGAACTCCAACAAAACCTAATAAGCCACATTCCGTCTTATTTCCAACTTGTTTAGCTAATACTACTTCTCTTTCTGGTGGAGGCTAAAAATAAACGAGAATAATAAATTTTCTTACCAAAATTATCGCTTTTTGACTTACTAATAATTTTGATGAATAACTACTATTAACAGCTATGCCTTCAAATACGATTTCTTTTGTTTTAGCTGGTACGACTATTTCTTTAGCTTTATTTGGATTTTCGACATTTTTCCAATGTTTTTCGCCAATATAGATTTGCACAACAGTCATACGATTGGTTGTTAATGTTCCAGTTTTATCTGAACAAATAGCTGTTGCATTACCCATTGTTTCGCATGCATCCAAATGACGAACTAAGTTATTATCGTGCATCATTTTCTAAAAGAATTCATCGATTTTTGTTTTTTTAATAATATTATTGAATAAATCAACGAACTTTAACGGCATAAGCTAATGATATTGTTACAGCCAATGGTAGACCTTCAGGTACAGCAACGACTAATACAGTTATACCGGTGATTAAGTATCGTACAAATCGACTCCAATATTTATTACTCCATCGTTCACGTCTAAATATTATCAAATCAATGCGTTCAAAAAAGAAAATAGCAACATCATCGTGAAATGTTACCTTTGAATAAATTCTTCAATAGAGAATCGTATCAATAAAACGAGTACAGTCATAATAGCAATTGTCATGCCTAAAACAATTAAAATCATTTAAAAGTCAATTGTAAATCGATTTTTAATCTTATGCCATCAGAATGTTCAACAAACTAGGAATAAAGAATGACTTGTTTAGCAATTTAAAACTCCTCTCGTGGCTTTCTTTTGATATATTTAATCTTTTTTTTCATTTGAAAGAACACATTAGGATCTGGGATAAAAGCAAAGTTTATCTCTATTGTTTTTATTTTTGAAATCTTATGTCTTTAGTGTTTTCAATAGACTAAAAGAAAACCAGGAACTCATTGACTATAACAAATGCATTTTTTTGTAATAATAATAATAATAATAATAATGAATCCGACAAAAAAGATTCTATTCATGTCGTTAATTTTGAGATACGCTTTCAAAACAATTGCCTATAACAAAACTCCTCCGAGAATTCTTAGATGCACAATCAAAGAAAAAGGATCAATAGAGAAAGAGAAAGACTTCCTGTCTTATAATACTTTTTTTAGACATCAAATAACATATTTTTCAAATAGGTGATGATAGAAATCATCAAGTTTTTTGCACAGAAAAGGACGTATCGTACGGAAAATCGTGTCATGTATGAAATATCAGGCCTCCAGCGATTCTTTGATGGAAAATTGTGATTTCTTATGATAGGATGACCTTCATCTTCGAGCTAAACTATACAAATTTTCCATGATAACAAAAATATGATATTCTCTTCGAGACAGTCTCTAAAGTATATTTCTTTTTTTGTCATTTTAACTCTTCAACATCGTACATCTAGAAATATCAATCAAAAACAGAACTAATTATTACTATTCCTAATAGAATGATTCATTCATTCTTTCAATTTCTTTTTTTAATTAAAAACATATATGTAATTGGCTTATAGTGTTACCTGCATATCCAATTTGAATAGCCAATTTTGTTAATTTTGCTTGTAAAATAGATCGTTCTGTAACTTTCATGTGCTCTGGGTCATCATCACCACCTGCTTGTTTATCATCATCAAGATTAACTTCTTGTAGTTCAGTTGCATCATGGTTATTAACTGCTGCTGCACCTAAGTTAGAAGAAAATACAATTTCTTGTTTCCTTAACATAATAAAGCAATTCAAAGCGAGAAGCCGTCATTTTTTTAAAAGTTAGTAATCAGTTACAATTATTGAGTGAGTATTAACGACAGTAAGTTTAAGAAAAATACCTTTAGCCGGCCCTGATTTTATTAGACGTTCTTTAGCGTCTGCATCAGCAATTTTATCATCTGAACAAGCATGAGGAAAACATTAAGGGTACATTTAAAGGGTAAAATTGAATCCTAGGTCATACTTTGGCTTTTACTTTCGATAGGTTTTTTATCAGTAGTAACTTCTTCTTCTTTGGTTGCGCCTAATAATTTAAATATCATTCCCGTTTGACTATGTTCGCCAACGGCCAATACTAGCATTTTACCACTACCCTCCATAATATGCGTACCTGAATAAATTTAGATAGAAATTATTTGATAGTTTAATTTTCTTGTTATTCTCCTACCGGAAAGAAGAAATGGATCTCTTGATTCATGTTTTTTGATTAAATCTGATTCTCCAGTTAATGATGATTCATCAACTTTAAGATCATTCGATTGTACAACAACACCATCGGCTGGTAATAAATCTCCATATTTAATTTGGCATATATCACCAACAACAATATCTTTTATTGGAATTTGTCGTACTGAATTTTCTCTAATGACATTAAATTTTTGATCAAGTTCAATTTTTGATTGAAGACCACGAAATTGTCGTTCTTTTGTCCAATCATTAAATGCTGTTACAAGGACAACAACAATGACAGCTATAATAATTGCTGCACCTTCGATCCATTCAACATTTGCTTCTTCTGAAAAATAAAAATAAAACAAACAAAATACACATGAGAAATATTATTCTTATCAATATTCTATTTACTTGGTTTGACTTCAGCTTCGAATGTATCTCCACCTGGATGATAGAATGATAAAGCAAATGAAATGCAAGCACAGATAATAAGTATAACAAGAGTAACATCTTGAAGTGCGTCCATCATGAGCCGCAAAAATGTTTTTGGTGGTTTTGGTGGTATTTCATTACGACCAAATGCAGTCAGACGTATTGACAGATCAGCGTCCTCGCCAGATAAGCCTGTAAAATAATAAACAAAGGAAACACTCGACTGTTTGTTTTTTTTTTCATATTAACTTACCATGTATTAAATGAGTTTTTAGTTTTTGTGCAAGACCACTAAGACCGCCATATGTTTCATTGAGTTCTTTGACACCTTCATGACCTCGCGTTTGCATTAATGTTTCTAATTCTTTAAGGGAAATGCCAAATTCACGTCCAGCGTCTTCAGGAGATAGTTCATTCTGACCGGGAGTAGGTTTTTTCTTCTTTGCCATTTAGAAAATTTAATGATATATATGGGAAATAAATATATAGGATTCTTTTGGTAGAATTTAATTATCTAATTGAATGTTAATAAAAGTATGTCGAAGAAGTTATTCTGTCGTTGAATAGAAGGTTGATATAAGTTTGTGATTCATTCATTTATTCAAAATACAACGACAGATAGACCTTGAAATAAAAAAACAAAAAAAGTTAGTAGAAAAAAAAACCAACTGATAAAGAATGTCTCGAGAGAATATCAGCGAACACAGATCTATTCTCTATCATATCTCGTTCGGTCGTTTTATTTGGCCACAAGAGCAACACATACATTTGCTTACAAGTAGCTTTATTTACAAGAAAGTTACTGTCGTTCTCTAGGTTATTTTTCTTTTTTTTTGCATTCTATTTGTTCCTCAAATGATATTCTTAGTACCGAGCAGCAGCAACAACGGGATAACAAAAAAAAAAAAAGAAAGAAAAAGGTAATAGTACGCGATCTCGGATTCCCACGTGGAATGATCCAAGGAAACAAATCTAACAAATGCAATGAAATATTCTGCCCTTTACATATTAGATTTCTTTCACTATTGATCACACGGCTTGATCCTAAATAGGAGTGTCATTGTACAGATATATGATTTGTCACGAAGGTTAACATATACAATTACTCAAACAACAGAAGAAAAAGAAGCAGAAACGTAATTAAAATATTCGTCTCGATATTTCATTCATATGTCGAAATTTGACATATGACAAATAGTATATTGATCAATCTCGTATTTTATCTTATGTCGTCAGCTGTAGAGAATTCATTTGTGACGTAAGAAAAAATTCATCAAAAACTATCACATCATTATTATCACCTGTCCTGTTTTGTCATTTCAGTATACAACTTCTACATATGTCTACGCACATATAAATATATCGTTATAGAATGGAATAGAACTTACTGGTCTTGTTCTCTCGGAGTTCCTCTTCATATTTTTCTATCGTCAGTTCTCATTTCTCTTTTTCTTGTTTCTTGCTCGATTATTCAATAACAGGGCCTCTTTTCTCCGTGTTGCTCTGTGCGGTTAGTGAAGCGAAGGAAGAAAAAGACCATGAAGAGTATGTGCTCTGACAACAAGAGCAATAGTAGGAAAATCGGGTCGTTCGGCGATGGTGATGTATGGATACGAACTATAGAAATACTAGTAGAGGAAAAAAAGAAAAAGAAAAAAATATAGACAGATAGAGCGGGTGGGAGAGCGAGAGAAAGATCGGAATAATCACCTAATCAGATAATCTTGTTCAACGATCGGCCACACTGATTTTCCTTATGTATTATCTATTATTTTTTTTGAACGAAGACGAGTGGCAGAAAAAAAATAATAGAAAACAATGACTGAATATAACAATATGATGAATATTGAAAGAGGAAAAAAAGAAAGGAAAAAATGATCAAGAGAAGTTAAGGTGTTGAAGAAAAGTAGACAATTAGCTTGTTTTTAATAGAATTACAAGAACAACAAAAAAAATTAAGAAAAATAACGCCGACTATTCAGATAATAACTTTTATAATGGCATATTATTACTTTCGGGTAGGCAGACTTGCTTCTATTGCATTCAGAAGTCAGCAAGGTTCCATTCGGATAATATGTAGAAAGACATTATATTCAGATAGCAGCTAAGCTATTTTTTTCTGTTTCCAAAAATAAAATATTTGGAAAATATTCAATTAGTTGAAATAATATATCATTATTATTAATTTCTTCATAAGAGATTTTAAATCAAAGACTTAACTTTCCTGTGAAAATATACGAGTGCGACGATCATTATTTAAATAGGCGCCTAGCAGAATGTTTTCTATTGGTTTTAAAATAAACTTATATGGATTTGAACGTTTTAAATAGAACGAAAAAAAACTGGTTACAAGTTATTGTGTCATTTAATCAAATCTCTTTTATCAATTTACTCTTTTCAACAAGAAAAAAATAATGCTTTTCTACATATATATGTTTTTCCCTTGAAATTAGTCTAGTTTGAGAGACTATCTATTTGAGAGTTATACCTAAATGGTTCATTTTCGAAATACATACTAGAATTTTTAAGAAAAAAAACATAACTTTGCTTACCATTAACTTCTTTTTCGTTGAAAATTTCGTTGTGATAAATTGATCTAAAAGAACAAAAATGACGAAATAAATAATATAATACACTACATAGAAAAAAGATGCTAACTCTTGTCTACTTTCACAAGCAAAATCTACATATTTCTATTGCCATTGATTTATGTTACGAGTTTCCATTGACTCAACATGTTAATATCATCGTTGTAACTAATACTCACTATAGTTATTCATAGAAAGTGAACTTGAAATAGATTTCTTCTTCGTAGAGACTCGCGAAAACTACACAAGAATGAATTATGTCTCAACGCTACTTCGACACTAGGATCAATTTTATCGCTTGTAATACTTCGATTTGAAAGAGAATAACTCAAGGAGTTTCATTCGAATAGAAATATTTTTTTAAAATAAAATAAACTATACAAACAGTTAATCAGCAAAGATGATTGTATGAATAAACTCTTAGTTTTAATCATCTAATATCTGAAATGATGTAAAGGGAAATGGAAAATTGTTATTCTCTTTCATTTTTTTCAATATAACTCTTGTCTTTCTTTCTACACCAGGGCTCATTTTTTTCATCAACGTCATCATCATAATCATCATCATCATAATCATAATCATCATCATCATCATCATCGTCATCATCATCATCATCATCATCATCATTATTATTATTAATACTACTTGCCAATATTATAAATCGAAAAAAGAAAAGAATAACAAAGAAAAAGAATAAAGGTATAACAAGTTATTTATCCGTATAAATAGATTGCTTGTCAAAACACAAGAAAAAAAGAATATTATATATATATATATATATATATATATATATATATATTTATTTATATGGACATACATATTTAATAATGACTAACGTTTATTTGCCTATATTCTTGAATGAAACACCATTAAAGTAGATTATATCATAGATTGAAATAGGTAACAATATAATGATAATTTTAATAATCTAACTAAAGAACGAGCAATATATATATATATATGTATATATATGATTGTTTGCACAATCAACTGATGTGAGAGATTTAAAATACCAAAAGAAAAAGAAAAATTCATTTTTTTTTCTTCTATAAAAAGAAAATATAGGAGAAAATCTTCCTTGTACTCACAAAATTTCGTAGGAGTTTTGTACAGTCAATCAGTATCATTGTTTTTTTTGCTCTCAAACGAATCGCAGCTTAGCTACAGCTCCTGTCTGTGTATTTCTTTACTTCCTCTCTTGATTTGTCTTTACTGCTGTGGCTGAGGATGATGATGGTGTGTGATGGTTGTTGTTGTTGTTTTCCCGTTACCGTTACCGTTCTTCTCGCGACATTTTCTTTTCCATTCACTCTTTTTTTAGCGCACAAGAGCACGCCATCTCGCTCTTCAAATCAACAACACATTTCTATCGTTGTTCTACTATAACAACAGCTACTACTCTACACTACCACATTCATGACTGCTGTTTTTCCCCTTGCGACGACATGTTCGGAACTCGATTTTTTCTCTTCTTTTCTTTTTTTTTCTTTTTTTCTCATTTCTTTATTCTTGTCTGTGTTTCTTTTTTTTTTCTAACACGCCTTTGCTTGATGTACTTCGCAATAGCTCGAGTTCTTTTGTTAGCAGCATCACATACAACACCCACCAACACAAGATGAAAATCCCTTATCATCGCATCATTGTTGTCCTTATACTTAAGAAAAAAAAAACGAGAAGAAGAGCAACGAGCAAACGATGATTATTATTGATACTGAACACATTGAGGAGTAGTATACGAAAGAACAAAAAGAGATAGAAAAAAAAACGGCTGGAAAGTGAAAAAGAAAAAGAGATTTCTGATTAAGGAAATTGATATGTGCTGTGACGAGTACCACCACACGAATCATTTCCGCTTGGATAAGTTCTTTGTCGAATGAATCGAACTCATCGTCATCATTAAATATTGATAGAATTTTTTTATTCAAAACAAAAAACGAGGGAAAATTCTATTTTCGTAATGAACAATCTTAAAGACAAATATAGATGGTACAACAATTGTGAAATCGACCATGTGTAACATTATTTAGGCGGGCATGAATGGAATGGAATAAGTAAGTCTTCAAAAACGAACGAGATTTATGGCGACAACGCACCAATTATCGATTTTCGGATGATTCAATAATGAAATTAATAAAAAATCTATAGAAAACATGTTTTTTTTTTCTTATCTCAGAAATGGAAAAGAGATATAAGATGAAGTCTGAAAAGACTCTTAAATAGTTAATTCAATTATGAGGTCGCTAATAGACGGTTTCCTACGTAGTATGAATCGAAGGAAATGCATGATTTTCCTTCAAAGAAATCTAAATAATTGACAGTGGCGTAGCCGGGATTTTTTAAGCAGGTAGCAATTTACCAGCTAAATTATTTTTAGTGGGTAATAATAGTGGGCACGTAAAAACTCTGGTTAACAATAACTTTTTTAAAAACATCTGCATTACAGAAGCCGTTGTTAACGGGAAGAGATTGAAAATTGGTTTTTGTAAATCGCTTGATTAGATTTCATCAAGAGAAAATGTGTTGAAATAAAATACTCCTTAAATCTTTAAATGTACACAGGTTTTTATATTTTTTAACAATGAGCAATTGACCACGTTAAAAACAATTAGGTGGCAGTAAAATTTGGTTTGACTGGGAATTGTTCAATTGCTAACCTGCTGGCTACACCACTGATAATTGACTAATTAATAATGAGAGAACGTGAAAGATTTGAACAGATCTTAAGATTTCAGTTCACCGATGAAGAACCAATAAAATCAGCAGTATGCTATTTATTAGTTAATATATAAAAATTAAAAAACTAATCAAGAGAGAAGACTTGTCGATTCATTTTTGTTTGTACGTCGACGGAGAAACACTTTATTATGTCGCGTTAGATTTATTTTAGTATGATAGAATATGATAGAATGACATCTTTATTTTATGTATGAAATATTATTCTCTGAAAAAAGAAAGAATTCGTAACTGGATAATCAACGATCAAATTTGTATAAGTATTTGTGTGTTGTCTGTCTTATCCATACCATATAGATGGTTTACGATGTTTTGCTATTGTTGGTATGCTTACAAGAAGAAAAAATTGTAATAAGGAGTTACTTTTTTTCGAATCAAAAGTCAGATTTATAATTGAAATTTTAGAATAATAATAATTTTAGTGTTACTTCGCTATAATATAACACAAATCATTTTTTTTCTCGACATCAAATCTATGTAGTGTTGACAAACTCTTCTATTCTATACTATTCGATATTATAGTAGAGACTTCTTGAAAAAATAATTTGATACATACTCTGTACTTTGCACCACGGGCAGTCAGTCATTCGATAATTATTTGCATGATTGTTTGTATAATTTTATGCGTATTGTTAGGTTTTCTATTCTATTCGTACTATTTTCATAAAGAATAACTTTGCGTTGTTTATTGTAGACCATGCAAGTGAAAATTTGCACGTGCCGAAAATAAATAAAATATCTTTTTCTATAACTAGATTATGGCGTAAATCAAAGCTTGATACTTGTTTCGCTAATGTATGAAGATCTTACAAGAAGAAAAAATTGTAAATTGATTATATTATAATAAGCTCTTATTGCAATGTTTTCATATTAAAAATCGACAACTATGTATAGAAATGAAATAAGCAAAAATACGCTAGGAGGTCTTAGATGATTCGGAGTAATACACAAATAATAAAAAACAACAAGAAGAAATTCTATCATTTTCTATGATCAAACTATAATTAAATCAATCTGTTTTTTTCTTGTGGAACAGAGAATAACAACTGACGTTAACGAATAGAAATCAATCAATGAAATAATCTGGAATCCGTCTGATTCTATGCAGTTGTTTCCTAGAAGGAAAGCACCCGTCGTGAAATACAATCTAAAATAAATGTGGAAGTATTACGGTAAAACAATTCAATTTATTTAACTCTCCAAGGACTGACAAACGGGCAGCACTCAAAAAATTGTATTCTAGATCATGACGGACACATTGATGGTCTACTTTTAGGGTGCGAATAATAATTTTACTCTGTTGCATATTTCATACCGTTGGGATTCAACTAACAGATGGTATTAGATGAAAAAAAACAGATGGAGTGTTTTTACTGACTGATGAAGTTCAAAATGTAGAGTTGGAGCATGTCTAATCATCATTATATATTAAAATATATTGAGAGAGAGAGAGTATAAAATTAGCTTCATCAGTAAAACTGCAACACGAAGAATAATTCTTAAGTATTTCGAGCAATTGAAGTATATTTATATTTAAATAATACTAGCGCCTATTGCTTGAAGGTTGTGTTCTGTATATTGATGTAATAAATACCTAGGGTCATAAATATTTGATTCTAGATTGTCTTTTAAATACCAAGATCTGAATTATCGTTCGTTCGTTGTAAAAAAGAGAAATATAATATATTAAATAGAAATGCGTTTGTAAAGTCAGTTCGATAATAGCTAGGCAACCATATGAAAAATTACAGAAGAGAAAGCCGATCAAGTTATATGACAATGCATGATTATCGTGTGTATTTGACATTTTATGATAGGTTAATCTATTGCACAAGCAATAAGAAGCCATATTTTAACTCCATATATTCCTATACAAACCAAACAAGATGTAATTGACTTAACAAACCTTACAGAAACAAATTTCTCATAGGATCGAATTGACTTGTGATCATGATGCCAAAAAACTCCATCATGAAAAGAATATGTTTTGATCTTTTTGAAAGAAATGAAAGGATTTATCGAAAAAACTTGTAATGAAATCCTATATGTAGAATTCATATATAAAGATTCTTTTTCAAAGGTGTGTAAAAACGATCGAGTTTATATATTTACATTAATGACAATTGTTTTTTAGAGTATTCTCAGTATGTTAGGATCATTATAGGAAATAAATATTTAACGGATATTATATTATATTGTGGAAAAAATGTAATTGAAATTTCTCAAGAACTATTCCTGTAAAGTTTCGAAGTGAAACTGTCTAGATGAATATTTTCATTTTTTTACATTAATGGTAACATTGGTTGGCCGTCAAAAGGTTGAAAGGAGAAATGTCGAAAATATATATATTGTTGTGGAAAATGGCCGAAAAGAGTGTTTTCAAATTCTGACTTGAGAGAAATATGTTTTATTGTGTACGTTAATACTAACATATGATAATCGAAGTATATTCATTTGCTATTAGCAATTGTTTTCCGTTTTGTGAATTAATAAATGAAATAGTTGGTGACTTTGATTGAGTTTCATCTTCTGAAGATGCGACAGCTGTAGCCATAATGATAGAATTTTAGTTATATATTTACTCTTTTGTAGTTGTTCACTTAATCTATTATCAAATAGTAATCATCACTGTTACAAGAGGTGCAAAATCTAGACTAGTAGAATTATGGGAAAATAAATAAAACATGAATTATTCGTGCTTAGAGTCATCATTTACTGTAGATGTAGACACTGTTATTTCGTTTATTTTGAATTTTGACATCTTTTGTGGCAAAATATATTCTTCGACATTTTTCCCCGTTCTACAATTTTTTTCGTCATTATTCCGTTTCGATATTTTTCCCTTTCGACATTTTTCTTTTCGATCTTTCTACGGCACACCGTAACATTGAACAACTACTCGATTATGTATTGACTTAATACATTTGATTCAAATCACCATGAAGAATTTCTTTCGACGTCAATATTGTAATTCGATCAACACGTAAATCTAGTTAATTATTAAAAAACAACAAAAAAAAAGCACTGTTTTAGTCTCTCAGGCCGAAGTTCCATTCTGTATGATGAAAACAAATGCTCAGTAGTAAAGTCCATATGTTACAAGTTTTGAATAACAAACGGATTAGATAACATAACAATCGAAATTACGAGATAAACTTCTCTCTAACAACGGAAGTGCTTTGACTGATAAATCCTTTGTTTTTGTCGAGATTAAATATTCTATGAAAAACGAAATGAATATGTTGGGAAGAGTGTATTCTATCACCGGGACACTGAGCTTTCACAGTACTTTCTAAATGAATATTATAATCTACGTAAAAAATAGAGGAGAGAATTATTTCGGCTTCAAGCATTCTACACGAATAGTCCTTGATAAGAATAATGCATTAGAGAGATCAAAGAACTTGAGTTGTGTAATTCCATGCAAAATTTTAAATCAACTTTTTCTGATTATTTCTCATAGGGAGCTATGATATTTAAGACTAGATCCATAGTAAGTTTGAATCTATACAATTCTTGGTTCACAAGTAATCTATTACTTGGAAGATTTCCCGTATGTAATCTTACATTTGTTCAACACATCGATTATCATCAATCAAGTATTGACGCAGAAAATACATAGTAAAATATTAATTGAAAATCGAAATGAATGTATCAACAGTAAAATAAATTTCCAGATTAACATTTATTCTGACGATTCACTTGACTCTTTGGCGAGAGGAATTCGAATATGACCGATGAAATCAATCATAAAATATATATTTATTAAATCAATATTTTAAAAGCATTATACAATATGCAGTTTAATTACAATGTAATTCATAGTGCGATTTATCTCGAGATTCTATATAAAAAAGAACAATTTTTTTCGATGTTAATCAAGTCCTGATTAAAAAAATATTTAACATCATCATATAATAATTTTGTTTCTTTTAGCAATATTTGAAAACTATAAAATGAAAAGAAAAACAAAAGCGGATATAGATAAACAAATCTAGGATGTTGATTTTTTTCTTGCTAAAAATCGGTAGCTCCTAGATCTGTTGAACTTAACCTATTCGCTAGTGTACTAGTTTCTGTTGGCCGTTGTTCACCAGTCATCTCTTGTAAATATTTAAATGAACGCGATGGATGGTCATTTATTCGATTTTTGTTTGTTAAAAAATTTTGTTCATCATATTTATTGAGTAACGATTGCTGAGCTTTAGTATAATTGTTATTCGGTTTTAAATCATCTTGTTCTTGACTATCTTGTGTCATCATTTGAAGAAAACGAAATGAACGTGACGGAACGGTTGCACCTGAATAACGTGGTGCTTCAGGTTCGCGTTCACGAAAACTTGGTGGCACTAAAATTTGAAAAAATTCCAAAGATCGAAAAATTCGATGGGGAAAAATAAATGTACCTTTATGATAAATTTCCATAAGATCATTTCGATTATTAACGGGTCGAGATCGATTTGGTGAAACTTCTTGAGTTACATCATATTGATCTTGTAGAAATCGAAAGGCTCGAGATGGATTATGTGCGTCACTGCCTCGGCGTAGACCAGTTCCATTAGCTGGTGTTTTTTCAATCGTTCTTTGAACAATTTGCGGACTATTATTATTATTATTATTATTATTGTCATCACGATCGACACTATATTGTTCTTGAAGATAACGAAATGATCGCGATGGAAGTGATGTTGTACCACCGCCTGAACTTGAACGACGACGATCAGTATTATTTTTTAGATCAAAGCTATTTTGAGCGTCTATACAAAAATATGAATGCTTATTTAATGCAGTGTCCTTCGAACGATACTCATGTAAGTCTTCTATGGTCGCTTAGTGTAAACAAGACTACTCTAAGGACTTTCAGTATATAGAGAACAACAAATTTTTGATTCTAACGGAATTTATAGGGCAATCCATTATAGATGAATCAAACAAATAGATTTATTATTATTCGATGTCACTGTGGAGAAACGATTGATTTAAGATTTGATTTTATCAAATCGGATTTATGCACATATGAAGGGAAGCAAACACTCTTTATTCATCGCATGTTTGTAACTATAATCGCATGTTTAAACGCTTCTTCTTTCTTCTTTATTTTTTTTTATTATAGTTATTTGATATTTTCATTCGATTGACCTTCTAAATTTCCATCGTTCGATAAGAATTGGACATGATCCAACATAATAATTATCAAAGATAATAAAAGAAGGGAAACGTCTTAGAAAGGTCAAATATTCACCTGCTGATCTATATGTTGAATATTGTGTCGATGGCGATGATGACGATACCGTATTAGGTACAGTTTTTTCACTATCCGAAATCCATCCTTGAAGCATTTGAAATGAACGAGATTGTGTTATTCTATGAAACGAAACAACAGTGAATAGCTTTTTTTTTGTTTTAATTACGCAGAATTGTGCTTTTCTTTTTTGTTGAAATCAACTTACACGTCAGTGTCGTGCTCTATATGTTTCTTTTGTGGTGGTGGTGGTTGTTGACGAGCATAACTAAATGGTTGAATTGGATTAGCAGCCGTATAATGATGTTGATTTAATTGCTCTGATGGTACAATCATTCGTCGACTCATTACTGGATCGAATTCTTTTCTATTTTCACTGGTTGATCTACGTTCGGGATGACTAAAAATAAATCCAATAAGTAAAATTATTTTAGAATGGTTCACAAGAACTGCCCAGTTGATATTTTCGTGTTTGATTATTTATTCCTCCTATTTCATGTGACATTCTTAACATGCCGGAAAAAGCGTTTAATTCAAAACAAATAAAATCCTTATCAGACACTATGTGTTAAACTCACCATTTTTTGATTTGTAGAAAACAAAAAAAGCGTTGAGGCAATAAAAGTGTTGGTTATTTGTTGTTGTTGATTTGCCTATGTATGTTTTGTTGAATGATTATACTTTTTAAGTATTGATTCACACAAACATTGCTTTTCTCTCTTTTTTTTGTTGTGCTTTTTCTCTCTTTCACACAAGATAAAATACAGTTACTTTCAACGGTGAAGTAAAAAAAGAAATGTGTGTGTGTGTGTGTGTGTGTGCGATACAAATCGTGGCATATATACTAAAAAACACATGAGTGTACGAAAATGGAAGAATGTTAAGGGGACAAAAAAAGACGAAGAAGAAAATCGTGCGTAATTCATTTTACGATGGCTCTCACGGTAGAGTGCGTAGATCTAAAAGAATTTGATTCAAGAAGTTTATTTTTAATACTTAAATATTTTCTTTTTTCGTTCGTCCTACTCTTATGTCTTTTTTTAGCGATTACAAAGTATTTCGCACCTTTTCAATTAGCTGAAAAAGTTCATATATTATTTTTTTGGTCCTCTGTGTAATTTTAATGTAAGAACAAATAAATGAATCATCATTATGATACATAATCTTACCGTCTAGTACGAGCTGCGTCAAGTAGTTTAGATAAATCGAGACCACCTGGTGTGTACGTAAATGGTTTTGGACCACCTGGACGATTAAGAAATTTAGCAAGAATAGGAGACATTTCCTAAAAGTAAATTGATAGAAAACAACAAATTAATTTATTCATATCTGTTTTTTACTCCTGATTGCTCATATGTTGGATAAGTTTCTGTACTTGATTGTCGATTCATGAATGAATTTGTTTTTTTTGTAGTGAAATTAGGATCAAATATCGGTGCTTGTGAAGTATTTCCTATAGACGTGGCTGATGTATTATTGTACGATGATGGTGATGATGAATCATAAGTATATGATGATTGCTGTTGTTGTTGTTGTTGTTGTTCTTGGTCAGCAAATCCGCATGTTTCTGTTGCATTTGAGTAACCAGCTCTGGAATTAGTTTTTTTTAAACGTTAATAATAATAGAAGAAATTAATTGCATAAAAATATATATTTACTTTTGTATAGTAAGAAAAAGCGCATTACCACAACGTTGAATGAGTTCAAGCGCATCTTTATGTATCATTTGCCTTACATTATTTCCTGCAATTTCTATTAGCATATCACCAGGGCTGATCTTGCCATCAGCGGGAGAATTTGGTACAATCTATTTATATATGTTTGTTGTTAATCACACATGAATAGGATATATATTTCTCAACAAAAAACAAATAGCCGTATCTATTTTGTCACTCATAAAAGGGCACAATCACTTTTCGAGAATAAAATCGATATTCAGTTTCTTTTCTATGTAGAAAAATTATTCAAAGTAAATCTTGTCACCATTCATCCATGCGATAGCTATTTTTATTGATTGCTGAAAGCAGAGAAATACACGTACATTTGTAATTGTCAATGGTTCATTATATTCCAAGCCACCTTGAAGTCGAAAACCCCAAGAAACACTACCATCTGGTCGACTTATAAAAACTTTATTCATTGAATCTTCTTGAATTAAGGTCAAACGTTGTGCGTAGATAGTTATACGTGTGTATGTATCTTTCCTAGAAATAGACTAAATGCGGCGACGACGTTTCCTTCTTTTTGTTTTGTTTTTGTTGCACTGTCGGTTTTGTTGGACGTACTATAGCAATATGATAAATACCGGAAAAAATACAAGTAGCAGGGTGAAAAAAAGAAGAAGCAAACGCCCGTTCGCTGTTCTTGTATTGCGAGCGATGATGTTTGTTTGTCATTGTGAGAAAAAAAGAAGAACAAGAAATAGGTTTCCCTTCATCTTGATAGTATGTTTAGACTAAGTTGTAAGACAAGAAAAAGAGATAACTGAATAAGAGAAAATCATTGTTTCTCTAAATATTGACGCTTTTGTTAGATAGATATAGATATCGTAATGTGAGATGAAAAATTGAAGCAATTTGTACAATAGAATACGTATAAGTGCGACCTCAATAATTACAGATGATTATGGAGTGGATTTCAATGAGAGCTTTTCTGGGTTGTTTCTCATCACCTGTTTTTAGTATTATTATTTGTCCTGCTGTGTAGCTAAATACTCTGTATAGCTTATGCATTTATGTGATTAAGGATGATGTTTGTAAATTAGGTTTGAAATGATTTTGAATGAATACTACTCTACGTAGATTATGATTGGAACCTGATGATGATAGAGTACTTTTTCTCTGTCAACAAGTCAATGGCAAATGCTTTTCTATATTAATGTTTATCGTTTGACCCAGTGGCATAAATATGTCATTTGTTTGTTTCATATTGTATTATCTGAGATATAGTCAATGTTTCAGTACGTATTAGTTGCAAATGCTACATGAACACATAGTAGGATTACATCGCCTTCTATATTGACGCACGTGATAATCATCTTGAGACTTGTATCTATTCTAATTAACTTGAGACATATGTCTTTGACCTATTATGTCAGATTAGAGAGTCTTTGCATGAGCACTGATGTCGTCAAAATCCAGATATAATTTCTATCTTGTTGCTATCATAAAGTAAATCTATTAATTCGATTCAATATCAAAATTTGGATTCTATCACTGCAATTAAATTTTATCTACTGATCATCCATATTCAATCTAGGTAACTTCTATATAAACTGATATTTAAATGCTCTAAACCTTCTTGTTAAGTAAGATCACAGTCAAACTCTTTTCTGTCTTACAATCATGACGCATTTACCAAGTCCTATTAAAACATATTATTCCTTAGTACGTATGATATTTATTCTCCAATTATTCAATCGTATAGTTTCATTTTCACAAGCATAAATTTCTTCTAATTTTTTTTTGCACAAATAAATAAAAAAAACAGGGTCACATTGAATTAGAAATGATGCTGTTCTTTGTTGTATCTCACAAATACATTATTTAGTTCACATTTATTCGTAGAATAACTCTTTCTCTAGATTACACACACACACACACACACACATATATATATATATAAATTTTTCAATAAAGAAAGAAAAACATGAGGAAAAGAACAGAAATTCAAAAAAAAAGATCTCGTGCAAAGGCGAATAGTAGGCCATATAGAAAAAAAATTACACACAAACGTATGTTGAACGAATGGGTGCACAAAACGAAGAGCAAAAAATTCAAAGAAGAAAAAAAGAAGCGACCGTCAATCAAAGACCGAGGAAAAAACACAGAATAAATATTTAGTACGAACAACGGAACGTTGTTTTAGATATACAGTAATACAGTTAGATTATTTAGTTAGCATCCACTTGACTTGATAATGTACTGTGAGGTAGTTGTTGTGCACCGAAATTTCTAAGTACTTGACATACATGATCATGCTGCTGAGATTCAGCTAAATCATATGCTGTTACATCTTGTTCTTCGAACCGAAATTGTTGATCAACATTTGCACCACGTTCACATAGGACTCGAACTGTATCATCATGACCCATTGCGGCCGCAATGTGCAAACACGAAAGACCACTCTAAATAAATATCAATATTATTTATAAACAAATCCATACTCAAAATGCTAGTTCTTAATAACATCTGTTCGTAATCAATAATATTGATTGCCTATAAGCAAAAATGGAGTTGATCTCGATTTTTGATCATCAACATACTAGCATTCTTATAAACAACAAGGTTTTATCCGTTGACTTCATTATCTTTGAATATCGAAGGATTTTAATCTCCAAAAAAATAACGTTCATAAGATTACGATAATGCTAAAATATTTTCAAAGAAATCATTACAACGATTAAAGTTTTCAAAATATAATCAATTAGCATTCGATAGAACAGTAATAAGATAATTGCTTATTGTTCTGGTTTTCTGTCAAACATATTCTGGCACAACAATACAAAGGTAACCTTCGTTTTAGCACTCATCTGTTACAAGAAGATTGGCGTTAGCAATACTTTCTTTGTGTTTTCCAATTGAGAACATTTCTGTCAAGAGGATTAAAGGTCAACAACCATATTATTGCTTTAAACCGTGTGTTACTGTTTACCCTTTTCGGAGACTTTGATAAACGTACCCATAAGAACTGTCGTAGTGTTTCGATAAATATTACCCTATAGCATTTGAACGCTCTTACCATCATATAGTATTATACTGATATCACAATGCATTTGAGTGGCAAAAGAACTTCAGATAGTCTATTTGCAAGCAATTATTTTGAACTTAGCTCCTAGTTCGAAAACATTCAAAACTCTAAATGTGCGCTAATTTAATTATTCACTAAATTATTGCTTAACTATCAATTTTAATCTCTAGTCAATCATATAATTACTCACGTTTTCTGTTCCATTAACATCAGCTCCTTTTTCAATTAAATATTCAACAATATCTTGAAAGCCTTTTGCACATGCACAAAATAAAGGCGTTCTACCAGCGGTTTCACCCTAATAAAGAATTGATGCATAAAATTAATCAGCAAAATTTGAATTTATTATCTTACTTTTCCTTCTATTTTATAATTAACATCTAATCCAGCTTCAACTAATAAACGTAATATATCATAGGAACCAGATTCCGCAGCAACAATTAAACCATTAATTTTTCCATCATATAAATTTTTTGCTTCAACATCATGTTGTGCTCCACATTTAATAAGCAATCGAGCTAGTTCAACATTATTATGCTGACAAATGGCAAGGAATGGTGATGAACCACGTTCAGATGTTACATTAACATTTGCACCAGATTCGATTAAAAATCGAATTATGGGTTCATGATTTCTCATACACGCTATTAATAAAGGTGTTTGATTTTCAATGTGAAGATCACGTGCAACTTGTCCTGTCGGTGATTGATTTACATCAGCACCATTTTGTATCAGTAAAGCAACGACTTCTAAGTGACCTTCTTCTGTTGCTGTGTACAATGGTGTGGCGCCAGTCTAAACAAAACAATACAATCAATTAATTTTATTGATTATTATATGATCAGAAATCATTTTACCATTGTTACAGCATTAACATCGGCATTATTTTTAATAAGATATTCACAAATTTCTACATGACCCTTTTTAGCTGCACCAAAAAGAGGCGTCTAGAACAAAAATAAAAGTAGACATATGTATATGTTTATCTCGAATTCAATTAATTGTCTTATTAAGATTAACCAAGCAAAATAAATTGTATGTTAATTTATTAATTTTTTATTCCATAGGCGAACTTACATTCGATGTCAAAGATTGAGTATGTGGATTATCTAATACATTTCCCGTACTTTCATATGAAAACACATATTAAACACGCCCGATATATTAAAATTAATGACATCCGCACTATCATATCGTCTAGATCGCTTGAAGAAATTTTCTCGTTTTATTGGCTGATAATTGCAATAGTAGTCTTCGTCTGTTTGTTTTTTTTCAAAGTTAATTTATTCATTTTACACTTATAATATCAGTAATCTAACCGAAGCCCCCTCTCAACTCTCAAAAGAAAAAAATTCATTTCGCTTTAGTAGACTTCGAGCTACTCTTTCATTAATCTTAATGACCTTGCAATACCCGAGAAAAGCTTTTTTCTTTATATTGCTAACAAGGTAATATACTTATTTAGTTCTTTTTTACAGTTTTATGTCATCTTCGTCACCTTGATGAAATCATTTCGATGAACTGTTTGTCCTTAAAAGTAGTTTAATCGCCAATAAATAAAAAATATAATTATTTGCATGCATCTAAAGCGACGATTCTATACGATGAGAAAAAAGAAAATTTTCTCAAACTTTCGATATGATATAATAGTGCCGGCGTTTCTTTTTTTCTCTTTGATTATTCTCTCATTAGTAACTATTTCTATAAAAAAAGCACGTCATCAGATAATTCATACGGCAAACCCTTACATGTTAAATTTCTCTAAATGTTAATTTCAAAAAGAAAGAAAAGAAGACAAATTTCAATTGGCCAATAGAAAAATATGAAAGCAAATTTACCTGTCCTGCAAGGAAATTTTCTTCAGCTAATTCTCCTTGTGGTGTAATATTGACATTAGCACTAGCGTCAACAAGTGCTTCAACTAGTTCTCGATTACCCGATTCTGCGCAAAGGAGCAGTGGTGATACACCATAACGGTTTTGTACATTGACTTTAGCTCCTTTTTCAATTAAAAATTTCACAACATCAACACGATCTTTCAATGTCGCCATAAATAATGCTGTTTGACCAGTTATATTTAAATTGTCAGCATCTGAGCCACTCGGTGCAAAATCAAGATCAGCGCCAGCTATAACACATTTTTCGATGATATCTAAATCACATATTTCGGATGCGAGTAAAAATGGTGTTGAACCTAATTTTGTTACTGCATTCGGATCAGCACCACGTTGAAGAAGTAATTTAACAACATCGAATTTTCGAGATTTCATTGCTGCATAAAGTGGGGTCCAACCGGTTATGTTTAATTCATCAGCTAGATTACCAAACGGAGCAATATGCGTTTCAGCACCGGCATTTAATAATAATTCAACAACTTGTATAATGCCCTTTTGTGATGGAATCCATAAGGCACTAACACCGTAGTGATTTTGAACACGTGGATTAGCTCCACGATCTAATAAATATTTAACGATTTCTATTCTACCTTCTTTTGCTGCACAAAATAATGGGGTTTGACCACATAAATTCATTGTCAATGCTAATGGACCTTTTCAAAAAAAGAAAAGAAGCGATCATCATTTTAAGACTATTACCAAAAGTTTCTTACCACTGGGTGCTAATTCAAGATCAGCTCCGGCTAGTACAAGTAATTTAACACATTCAAAATATCCTTGTTCAGCTGCAAGCATCAATGCTGATATACCCGATTGATTTTGATGATTTGGATTTGCTTGATTTGCTAATAAGCGCTTCACACATTCAGGATGATTGTATTTAGTTGCACCGATTAATGGTGTCGAACCAGCTATTTTATTATCTTCAGCTCGTTTGCCAGACGGTGCTGAATCAACAATAGCACCGCGTTGTAACAGAATGTCAAGTATATCTGGCCAGCCAACTTCGGCAACCATTAATAATGGCGTAATACCGGACAGTGATGCTTTGTTCACTTCGACTTCGGGGCATGCTGAACAGAAGATTTCACCTTTAAACAAATATCAATTCATATTTGAAAAGAAAACTTACTAGCTAAAGCTTCAGTGATAGGCTTATGTTTTTTTCCAGCTGCTATACTCAATGCTGTTAAACCGTCTGCTTCTCGATAACCTAAAAGTAGAGAAAAAAAAACAATTATTTACAATAAATAGCTATGTACTATTCAGAAAGTATTGCGTGAGTGAAACAAAACGAAGTTCTATTAGTATATAAAAAAGACTTATAAACAATGTGAATGTTTTTCATGTGTAGAACGCCGACAAAAGAATAAGTCGTAATAGTAAATAACGATAATTGTGCAGGGTATTACTTCCATTGGGTGTTACATGATGCTGATCATATATTTTGATATTCCCATGTGAATATAAATAACAAATATAGAAGTAAAAATGATGATTATATATTTATTGAATTCATATCAACAATACGGTGAAATGATTTCGATAAATTAGTATAAGGGATCGATATTAAATTCTAAATGTTTCAGTTTATGTAAAATTAAACGATTAAGCATAAGTTTATTCAAATAGATGTTTTAGGATGGTTATAAAATTATCTTTCGTTGTAATCATGTTGTTCAATTTTTCGTGTCATATTGACCGCAACCTTCTTCGAATAGTACCCAAATGTCAATTGATGAATGAAATGAAAAAAGATCAATTATGTCTTTTTATTTATATTTGAATTAAAGTTTAGATTTAAAATCTTTTTTGTTTTATTTTCGCAATGTAATCTATCGATATGGTCAATAGCTGGTCTACAAGAAGTAACATATAATATATGTTGCGTTTATTGGTACAATGTTTATGTTTAATGTAAAAGCAAGTTCTTCATAATCGATTTTATTTGTTTTTCTTTGTTTACAGAATAAATATTGATTTTCTCGATAAAAATCTTATTCAGAATAAATCGACATATTTCTATTTGACGAATGATGATCAAATCTCCGTGTGATTGATGATTTTAAATCTATACGATATTGTAGATGACATCTATTGATGTTAATCTTGTTTGAAATTGTAATCGATCTAGATAAACACGTGGTATTCGTTCTAACCACACAATTCTCAGTATTCTTGAACATGGATTATAATATATTGAATTTTGTTCTTTATTATCTAATCGTTATTGTCCACGAGACTCATACCAATGATTTGATTAACTCCAAAGCACGTACAATGTTAGTCATTGCGTTAAACTTGTGATCTTATGTAAAACTTTAATTGATTCCATAGATATATTGGAATCGGTACGTTATTGAATACCAGGTAAAATAAGATCCAATAGGGCACGAATAAATTGATCAAATTTCATTTAAATTTAACCATAAATTTCTTATTAAATGTGGATACGGCATGTCATTTTTGTAAAAAATTATTTATCTATCGTATATAGCTACGATGAAATAGTACGCAATACACTCGTAGAAATAGGTAGAATAAAATGCTCATCGAAGAAATGATAAAATCGATGGAATAAAGTAATCAAAAAAACTCGACATATAATAATATTCAATGAATATTTGCATTGTAATACAAAACTCATTTTTAATCGAAACAAGAAAGGAACGGAAACAGTTCAAATTTTACTTTACATACCCATATTGAGAACTTCTTTCTTCGTTGTGAATGCTTTACGGCGATCCAATTCGTCAAGTATCTCTTTGAGCCGTTTGACATCGCCTGATTGTGCGGCGCTGAAAATGTCTTGATGGTATTGTTCTAAGTCACCTTCGCCTTTGCTTGCTTTTGTGTTTGTACAACCCATATTGTCTAAAATATATCAAACGATAAAGATAAAAGCAAATATTGAGTGGCTTTTTTTATGTACGATCATACACAACTGGAAAAAAATGAAGGTTATTTTTGATGACCGAAGTACAGATAACAGTTCTAATATTTTCTATAAATGGTAATCGAAAGCAAGTGAAAGATGCCTATATAACTCAACGAAAGAAAGACATACGGTTTACTCAATGAAGCGATAAATGAAGAATAAGTCTCTTAGGACGACCTAACTCGTTTTCTTTGTTATTTTCCTACATCCAAAAACTATTCAAATCCTACATAATTTTAATAGATAAATCGTTGCATTTATACATATATGTATATATAGTGTAAAAGGAGCAGTGAAAAAAATGATTCATGATAATAAACTTTTATGAATAGTTTTATAACAGTTATAGACATCACGGGCGAGAATATGAGAGCTACAAATCTAACAGAAATAAACAGAAACAACTTCTATACTGGAGAGAAAAAGAAAGAAAGAACGACAGAGACAGGCAGACATGTAATGTAAAAGTAAAAACAACAATGTGTGAGTCAGACAATATCTGTTTCAACACGGAATAAAATAAATTTTCGAACATTTTATTTGAAAAGAAGAAAAAAAATCAAGTTGAGGAAAAGAATCGCTGTGGTTTTTTTAGTTGACATTTATCGATCTATAGATGTCACTTTAGATATATGAAACATTTATGATCTAAAACAACTGAAAAGAAATTTCTATCGAATTCGGAAACCATGATTTTATATGAAAGTTCATGGGTAATATTGGTATATTCTTTTGTTCTGCAATGGACGATCGCGAATCTTCTACTAGGTAAAACCTAATGGTTTTTCATGAAGACGCAAAGGCTTCTCGTGTGTTTCTTTTTTACTTTTATAAATTAAAACTAAAATGATTTTAACGATTTATGAAGACATTTTTATGGTTTCAGAATCCCATAAATAATGTTAATATTAGTGTTTAAAGATTTTATAGTTTGAAACCTTGAAATATAAATATATTAATTGAAGTTCGAATTTGCTGGAAAGTTAATTTATTTAAGTGAGTCTACTTTAACAAAAAATATTTAATAGGTTTCTATATATTATGGTAGGATCTAGGTATAATAGTCGATGCGAAATATTTTAAAGTCAAGTATTATAGGATCATTTTGAATCAACTCTTCATGCAAAAAAAGCATGAAGTTTGATCGAATTTTTTTGCGACATTTAAGAGAAAAAGAAAACACAGTTATTCGATACATTCGTATAAATTTTAAATGGTAATCAAAGTCATGGTTATTAAAAGAATACGTTACTGTGATTTTATCTTTTTGCCTATTCATTATTGACGTACATCTCTGATTGATTTGCTTTGTTGCAAACTTTGTCCTTTCTGTCTATTTCAGAATGTTGTTTAACGAGATGATTGAGACGAAGATCGAAAGGATGGGAACGTAAGTTGCTACATTTATTTTCTCAAATTTTACAGCTCACGGGCAAAAGTATGGCATGCACAACAAATGTAAACCAATCGAAAAAGTTTATTTATGACCGTCGTACTGTTTTTTTTCCTAAGAGTACTTTTGAAAATAAAAGCAGGATGTCAAAGAAAAATAATGTTGGGGTTCATTTACAATTAAAAGTCAAAATGACGTCATATTAAGTTTTTGTTTCTTGAGGAAGTCAACTTTAAAAAAAAGGAAATTGAACTTTAATGATGATAATATCATAGGAAAATATACTATTGAAAAGTTAAGAACGATTCCTATCACGAATAACAAATATGAAGTTTTAGATAACTTGGTATTTAACTCTTTCTTTTATTTTATTACAAAGACTTATTTTGCAGCTATATGTATTTTGTCTGACCTTTCAAATGTTAAGCGGTTGGACAACTGATTTTAATAAGCACGATAGAGTAGTTATATAAATTTCGTATTTTGTTAAAAAAGTTTATTGCGTCGAGTAGACGACCTACGAACGTGCCAAAACATTTTCGTGCCGTTCAGTAATAACACAATATCCTTGTGTTGATAATTTCAACATTCCGTTTTTATTTACTCTACTATATGTCAAACATGAGATTCACTTTTGCTTTACAAGAATTTCTGCATCAAACAAGAGTTTTGATTGATGAGACACAACACGGTTCCCGTCTAGAGAGACTTTTAAAAGCACTTGGGAATCAATATTAATTCTTTTTTTATCATAGAATACGACAATTTATTCGATCATCGAAGGAGATTCTAGACCATGATTAATATGGATCTATTATAATTTGATTCTGATTGTTATTCTATTACAGAGGATAGTAGAACAAAAAAGAAAGGAAAGAAACTGAAGTATCAATATTAGTAACAAAAGAAAATATTCATTGAGTAGATTAAAGAAGGATCTTAACAATTAGATAACATTTTTAGCTTCAATCGTAAGAGGTCTATCATTGATAAGAGTCGATCAATGACCTAAACCTTATGAGAATAGTTATTATTAAGCAATGACTACATTCGATATGGCTTATCAAAACATGATTATTATTCTTTTCTATGCATTCGCTACTGCTCCTATCTCATCCTATCATTATGAAATAAGCCTATATGCAACATGTTGTTGCTATTGTGGTTGTTCGATTGGTCTAATATATTGACTGGCTATAATATCAATTCTTTACAACAATTATATTTGCATTATTGACAATCTCAAGTGTACGCGAGTAGAGTATTCATTAAAAACGAATTTCAATTCAACTGCTGCATCGCATGAAAGTGATGGGCTGAGCTCGATCTATATCGATAATAATATGAATTTGTTAAATAAAAAATCAAAACTATAATAGGAACATAGAATTACGATAATTTTACGTTCGAAACTCTCACGTGAAATGCTATCCATCTACTACATGAAAATTCACATCAAGAACGGCAAAGCATTTCTTCAACGATAAATAGTAGACCATAATGATTGGCGTATTAATTTTGGTATTTAAGCCTTTAATTCTTTTATACTTAATATTTTTTTACTTTTGTGATACATGTACAAATATCACTTATTTATGACATACCTCATGAATATAATAATCAGAGCGCACTAAAGAGGAACTGTACTGGCTCGAACATGCGTCGCTATCAGAAATCAGACATATGATAAAACATGGTGTTGGTATAAAAACCATGGCCAAACTACGATAAAAATTAATGATTTTTTTCTTCTTGTTGTATGACACTGCATAAAAAACATAAGCCATCATAGATTCTATATAAATGCCGATTCATTTAAATAGGAATTGTTTTCTCTGCTATTATAAATCAATAAAAAGTTCGCTACGAATTCAGAAATATGAAACAAAAACGCATCGTGTTTTCATTGGTTCTTGCGAATAAGAAAAGGATACTTGTTCGAAGCGCAACGGTGCCTGTGAAATTGATGAACAAGGCAATGGCTATTATGATTGTCACCAAACTGTCAACACGATACTGATTGTTCTGGCAGAGAAAATTGTTGTGCACCATGATATCGAAGTCTTGATGCATTAAATACATAAAATAACTTTTTCTTTAAACATACATTTATATACTGTTGTTTTTACATGTATTCAAAAACAAAATGCTCAGCTATTTTTTTAATGAAATCCTGCAAACACTCTTGAACTAAATGATAGATTTTTTTTTATAAAGTGTTGATCTAGTGTTTTTGAAAGAAAATACTAAAAATAATCAATATATATATATATATATATATATGAAACTATCGCAATATTAGATCCAGATAATGAAGGGTTATCAAAGAACCATTTGTATTGATAGCAATCAGGCGTGGAAAAAAACAACTGTCACATGAATACTATGATTAGTTTAATGAGCAAATTATGAAAGTTATTTTGAAATTCACTATTGTTAAACAAGTTTGGAACGATGCTGTTCTTCATTGTTGCAATATCTGTAAAAATAGAAAACGTTTCATCTTATACATGAATTTACCGCGAAATGATTGACATTAATATTTTAAGCTAATGAAAAACTAAGGGAGAGATTTACTTGTTTTGTTTTTCAAAAACAGACAATGCTATTTTTTTGTGTTGCAAAAGATAATTGAATTTTTGCGATTCAAACACACCTTAGCGATCGCAAAGAAAAACATTTTTCGGTGTGCTGAACGTTTCAGTCATCGCAATTCTCGGTTAAAACATGCTTTTTAATATAAAACAGTTATTCTGATTTGCCGAGAATCAAATTTCAATTCGTAAAAAGCTGATTACACTTCTGTTATTGCTATTATTGGCGGAAGAAATCATTTTCCAGCTGACAAAATCCTGTGTCTATCTATATCGCGTTTTATTTTTAATGAGTCGAAGGAAGTGTGTCACAATGACTCAAATGTAAGAAGAAAAAAAATGCATCTTGACATGTTGCCGAAAGTGATGATCAAATTTTTTTTCAATCAATCAGCTACCATGATATAATCGTTACTAATTCTCTCAAATTGAATTTACATATTTTCCGAGAAAGAGTTCATGCATGAAAAAAACTTAGCGAATTTCTAAGACATACAAGATAAATCGTAATAAAAGAAAGCCATAGGTAAAGAATTCTAAGCAAATATACATCAATGTTCGATGTAGTAAAGAACTGTTCTGCTAGAGTATTTCCCAAAGTATTCTTTTTTGTGCGACATCTTTCCAACAGAATCACAGCTGAATGATTCCTTCATTCGCTAGAATTTATGTAAATGAAATTTTTGATGCCATTGAAGCCATATGTAAAAACTAGCATCAGTTCTTTTGCGCATCATTGTTAACAGAATATGTCGTCAAATACAACTATGGGAACACTTGCGTCGCAAATAACTTCTGATGAAGCTGCAACAATTCATCGGCGAGCAACAGAGAAATGTCAAATTGTGTTAGAAACATTGTACGATTCCTACAACGGTTATAAACAATGTGGTGAAAATTGTGAAGATGTAACATTGAAATCACTGTTTCAACGAATTGCTGCGAGTCGTGCTGATTTGATTGTTCAGTTATCAAATGCTATCCAAGTTGATTTAAGTGCTCAACCGTATGCCATTTTTCATTCATAAGTTTATAACATGTATATTTATTGAATAATTTTAGAATAAAATCAGGTTCAGCTATTGCAGCAGCTCATCGAACATGGATTGATGTTAAAGTATGGTTTACCGATGGTCGAGATAAATCAGTTATCATCACTGAAGTTCATCGTGGCGAGCAAATTTTAATCCAATTTTACGAAGCAACTTTAGAAGATCAAAATATTCTACCCAAAGTTCGTGATCTTCTCGAAGAACAACTTACAAAAGTCAAAGAACAAAATTTATCTATTGATACTATCTAAAGTTTCAATTGAAACGATACATTTTTTTTCTCTTCAAGATATTCATTGATAATATTTAATCTTGCATATTTACTTTTTTTGATCAATTTTTCCTATACGACAAATTATTCTAGTCATAGAAAACAAGATAAATAAAGGATGACATAGGGATGACTAATAATATTTAATTATTCATAGACAACATGTGAACCATGTTCATTAGAAAGATTAACAAACAGTAATACAATTATTGGTAATTGTACAAGAAGCAATGCTATCTTGATCGTTGAGTGTCTTTGACTCTTTCTATTGAATGAGCTATTTTATCAATTGAGGAGAATAATGTATTTGCTTGATCAACAAAATAAAATCGTTTGGCCCTTGATTAGACACATAGCGATCTCAATATTAAATCAGTTGTTTTTACCGATTCTTTTTTCCAGGTCGTGTTCGTCGAACAAAAGATCATTGAATTCCCTGTTGCAATGAACTAGGACAGCAAACATAAGAATTGCTTTGCATTAATTAACGTCGCGAACAGGATGAAAGGAAACAGTTCTACGATGATTTCATCTTGAATAGAGATTTTTAAGCGATCCAAATGAAACAGCTAATAAAATATGAAAGAGGAAAAAAGCTTTTGTGCCCCTTTGACAAGCAAGTATTATCTGGAGATTTACATTTTGCTTATATTCTATTAGCATAACAACGTTACAAAACATTTATAGTTAACAGTCTTGGTTTTTTTAAGTTCATCATCAGTTGATTGTACATTGATCATTTAATGGTAAACCATAATGAATAAGTTGATTCATTGAAGAGTCGATTAAATAGAGTTCATAGTCCGATGTTAATATCATATCGTAAAGAGTAGGATAAGGCATTGACATATTCCACGAAGCAACTTCATTGCCATATATTCGATCATATATACGAATACCGAAACCTAACATGAGTACCCACAAACGATTACCACACGAATCAACGGCTAAAGACATGGGTATTTCTGTACTATTATAATTCGGAACAAGAATAGACCACATGAATGTACTAGTAGACAGTTGATAAATTGTTGCGTTATTTCCACTAACATAAATGATTGCATCATCATTTGACTTTGCTAAACCATAAGGTTGACTAAATGGAATCGGCACTGTTTGATTGTATGTCAATTAGAATGAATATGAATTCCAATTAAAAAAAATTAATGTTGAGTTCGAATCATGTTGAAAAATAGTACACATGATGGAATTGTTAAAAAGCCAAACAGCACGTTGAGGATCACCTTCCGAAAAATCCATCGCAGTCAACGGTGCTAAAGTTGAATCATACTCGTAGAAATTAAAGGGGTTTGCTCGAGTTGGAGGATTAATACCGGCAAAATAAATTCCGTCATGATAACTAATTGGTTGTGCATTAGCTCCTGCTAATGTATTTTGTTTAGCAGTCATACTTTTGGATGCTTCTCTCATTTGTATCGATCTTTCAATTCCATAAGTGATCGCGAACACATTAAGATCAGCATTGAGTGCTAAACCAACTGGCTGTGTAACATTAACACTATTAAATGTATCTGATAGTTGAATTTTGTACAAAAGCCATGATATATCCGAACAGCAGATTGATTTTAATGAATTAAAAAAACCCTTATTGAGAATATAAATCGCAGAACTCGATGATGACGTCATATAATATGTTCCATTCGAAGGAGAACCATTTGGAATCAATTCACATGCTTGATAATTAATAAAATAATTAAATGCTACAATAGTCGCTTGTTCATATTGAAGAGCTTGGCACATACAGTAAGACCATGATGATTGATTATATAGCCATAGACTCACAATATTACTGGTTATCAATTGTGCTCCAGAGACAGTATCATACGGCACACTAATGATCGAATCAGGAATGAGCAGTATCAAGAAAATAGAAAGAAACATGATAGAATGAAATGAGTTTAGAAAAATGGAAATGTTGGTTTTATATTTATTCGATAAAAATGCGCTATTAATATATTACAAAACTTTGCTGTTTACATTTAATGGACTTTTAAGTGTCAACTTGAATGTGATACGATGAATAGGCTAAATAGAGAAACTTAGTTCTGAGTGCTTCATTAGGCCACGGTAGAAATAGAAATTTTGAACTTTGAAGAAGTTCCAAACTATTGCAACCTGGAAATAGCTAATTTTTGATAATGAAAAATTTAATAGCAAAATAGTGCATCTCGAAAGAGATAATAGCAAAATGATAGTGATGAGATATAAAGAAAACTGTTTGCATCTAAATTACAAAATTTTCATCCAACAAACATATGAAGATGTTATCAATGAATTTTCTAACGGTTATCGGATGGTCATTTCTATGATAATTTTTCATCCTCTTCCTGGTCAGATTTCTTCGATAGACGACTTGTGAATGTAGTGGTACGATGTTTTTCCCCAACGAACTGAATCGTTTTTGCAGTTGAATGAAGTAGAATTTGACAACGCCTCAATCAATCTCAGAAAGGCGACGTTTATTATTGAAAAGAAGCTAGTTTAGTAATACTCTTTTTTCTTAGTTAAGTGATAGACATGTCCATATTACCTTTAAATTTAAGATTCAATTCTTTCATATTAACTTGGCATACTTGCTGAATACATGACGGAAGTAAGACTTTTGGAAATTCATCATTTTTACGTATTCTTGGAACGTCATTTTCGATACAGCTAAGTTTTTAAGAAAAAAAATTGAATCTAAAACATAATTTATTATTTGATGAATCAATTTTCAGATTTTAGAATCTGAGACGAATTTCGATGAAGTATTGCGAATTTTGAAACAAAACCAAAGTTATCAATTAGATGAACCATATTAAAGGACAACAGTGATATAAGTTGATCCTTTATATAATGCAATCCTCTCATCAATCTACCTGGACAGAGAAAAACACCTCTAGAAGAACTGCAATGAATACATCAACAGCTCGTTCTAGTATCTCGACACTTATAAATGAAGCAAAAATTCTCTACGTCGTTATTACTTCAATTAGACAATGTAACGATATATTTTTAGCCAAGAAACCTAGATACTGGTTGTATCGCTCTCAGGAAAAAGTCTCTATGATTCATTATAATGAACGACCTGTGTTGTTGTTGGTGCCTTCTTTTCTTTAGTTCTATTGACTCCGAAAGTAAAAAGATTTCATTTGAAATCGATATTCTGATTCAGAAATTCTTCAGATCTCGCCCATGATTTTTGTTCTTCTGTCACTATCAAGAACTATAAGTTACCCGGAATCAGTCGGAGACCTCCCGAATCATAACTCTTGACATTGGTGGACTTCAAAAATGAAATTATAGCTAGTAGTTGGTATACCATTTTTACAATAAGATACCCCACAACTATACATTATAACATAAATACAGTTTTGAACAATAGAAGATTATTTTTGTTATACATTGTCGTTTAGCAGGATTGGTTAATTTAATAAAATGGAACAAAGACAGTTTTTAATGTAAAATAAAAATTTAGTCAATTTTATTTTTTCACCTAAAGAAGAAGAATAACAAAAAAATTAACATCCAACAGTAAAGCGGCCAACCGTAGAGTAATTGACGAGAATAACATGACGAATAACAAGAAGCAAGACGATCACGAGCAAAAAATTCACAGTATTGAGACACAGGTGCTTTCTTCAATGAAAATTGTAAATTATTTTCCTCATATCTATTGTTAGACAAAAGTCTATCGATGTCATCAACTGAGTCTTGGATTAGGTAAACTTTTACCAATACATACTTGAACGATTCCAAAAACAGTGATGTTAATAATTGTAGTTCTATTAGTATCGTAACGACAAAAATAATGTCTAGTAGATGAAGTATAGAAATAATAGCATCAGAAGAATTTACTAGTACTTCTAGTGTAGATAATACTACGACATTAATGCTATCACTAATAATCAGCAGACATTTTATTCAAGCATATATGAGTATAAGTTTTGGTCGTGCTCTTTCTAGTGTTAAAACAGTAGAATTTTATAGTAAACTAACTATACAAGGAAAGAGATTTGTGAAAATTTTAATAATTAGTAGTTTTTAATGAAATCTTTATGATTGTTTCTGCTGAAGTTATAAGTTAAATAATTAGTTAAGGAATTAGGCTTGTTGGTAAATTTATAAATCAATAAATAAAGGTTAATTATAGTGAAATACATCGATGCATAAATGTAAAAATTGCAATACGTCATTGTATGTTTTTGTGTACTCAAAAAAAGTGAGTACACTCTAGATTCAGTCAGTGTGTCCGTCCGGCCGTTAACACGATAAGCTTTGAAAGCCTCATCCGATTGTCATGAAACTTTGTACACAGAACGATCTCATCAATATCTCAGCCGAGTTCGAAGATGAGAAGGATCCGCCAAGAAATGGCTGAGCTATCGAAAAAATTGTCATTATTGACCAAACCATCCCTGAGGAGGGAGGGGGGTACAGGGATTTTTTTTCTTAGAATTATTCAAAACATGCCTAAATCGACTCAGTTTTTGCAGTACACATAACAATCGGATGCGAATCCGATGTTTCCTCATTTATTATCTGTATTTCCTTCTTTCTTCTTCTCTCACTACGGCATGTGATACTTGTATGGATATGCGCATTAACAAATTGTACGTACTCTATGCCTCTATCCTTCCTCCGAATTTCAGTTTATTGTCAATGAGTAGAAAAACGTTCTAAGTAACAAAAGTATCCATATGATTTTTTAAATTTATCCTTCAATCATACGTTTGCTGTACCAACAAAATCATAGTTTATAAAAGAAAATAGCGTATGGGCGTGCCATCTTAAAGATCTGTACGAGTAATATTGTTTTTTTTTGTGTACAAAGTTATGTGACATCAACGTATTGTAGGAGATGTTTGCTGTTTGAGGAACAAGTGAAAAGTTTCATGGAGATAAACAAGATGCTGCTGCACACGAGTAGTTTATAATGGCTAACGAAGAAGGAATGTTGGCCTGGAAAATCAGAATATGAAAAATGTTTATTTATCCTAACAAAAAAATCCAATTATGTGTTCATTATTCTGAAATCTATCTATTTGAATTCCGTAGTTTTGTTTTCAAGTAATGAGCAAAAACAATCTTCCCTTGTATGACTCTATTTTATAAACAATATGTCAAGATGCATAAATGCTATAAAAATAATATCTAGTATGTCATGTACCTGACTGCCGGTTAATATCAGAGAAATCGTATGGACTGGTTCTAACGCATCACCAAAAAAGGCATAGAAACCATTCTTGCAGATAAAAGTAAAATATCAAATGTTAATAAATGAAATATTTTGCTGGAAGAAACAGTTTTATTCTAGGATAAGGATATACACTAGTTAGATAATTGATATAAATAACGTTGAATAAAATGTATCGACAAAGATTCGCTGAATATACAAAAATGCATAAACGCTAACCATTAGTTTTAATTATACTTAATGTAAGAAAAATAATGAAAAAATAATAATATTCAAAACAATCAATATTGTAGATGATACATAATGTTGACTATTTGATTCAAGTGATTCATCAAATGGCAGCATATCTGCTAATGATTGTGATATCATCGGTGGTAATACTTTATTGCAATAATCTGTAAAACAGCAATAAACACGATGATTAGGCTCATCTAATTCTTGGCAATTTTTTTCTCCACGTAAAATTATTGTTTCTTTTTCAGTTAATACTTGCAACAAATGATCACTCTAACAAGCAAAAATGAATTTAAAAAGAAAATTATCTTCCATTTTATTTTATATTCTTACCATACAAGCATACTCATTATCGTATTCCGAAGTTGCAATATTATTTTCATTGCTTTCATCACCAGGATCAAGATTCAATGGTAAAGGACAGTAACCACCCGGTTCGACACATTCATAACAATGAATCGAAGATACATGTTTAACTGTTCCTATTCAGAAAATAATCGAAATCGAATAGCGACCAAAGAAAAAACAATGATTTTCTTACCAAAACAAAGAAATATCATTGTAATCATAATCATCATAAACGCTTGTAATCTTTCGTGAAAATGAGAAAAATAACTAATGCTTCTCGATAGATAAGAGAACTAGACTTTTTGTTTTCTTACATATAACGGAAGAATAAAAAAAAGTGTTATTTATTTTGTTGTTTCCGATCTGGAATGTAAATAACATGTTCCAAAAATGTACATAATGATGTGATCGATCATAATTGAAGGTATCGTATTAACAAACTTTTGCCTAAAATTATGATCCATAGAAATTCACTAATTTTACTGATCAAAGAATTTCCTTTAAAATTCTAAAGAAAAAAACGATGAGGGCAAAGAACTTTATTTTTCAGTTCTCGCGACCTCATTGAATTTTTCTTCGTAGTGCTCACTGTTAGAGCAATGAGAAATATTGATTTCCTGTCGTGCAAAATATTTTAATTTTTAATAACTGCATTCCGTAAAACAAGTTATTGAAGTATTTTTCTGAAGTATATTTATACAGTTGCCATTGACGAGTTTCTGTTTCTTTTATTGACAAAAAGGAAAAATCAGTTATACGTACGAATACAGGCGTTTGCTCTCCTTGCTGTTATGACATGTTATTCACAAAAATATCTTGCTTCTATTTCTTCTTTCGGTGAACTTATGCTGCAAATTCTTGACCTTAGTCTCTAAGACGAGTGTCATTAAGATATTGTAAAATATGATCGAGAAGGAATAATGAAGTGTTACAGTAGAAATTTGAAATTTGTCAGATGTGCTGGACATTTTACCAATGATATTTCTCTATCGGAAATACATTTATGAGTCGTAAAATTGACTCCTATGTTTCTCTGAATTGAAACGGAAATATTTCAAAAGTAATCATTTACAATCGGAGACCTATATTGTTTAATTGAATAGTTCCTAAAGCGACTATCACAGTCGTGTTTCGCCTTGTTTGTTGAGCAAACAAAAGAATTTTTTTTGCTAAAATGCTACTTTCAAAAAGAATGCATTCATCAGACTTTTGTCTATGATTCATAGATCTGTTATCCGATCAACGCATAAATCTCTATCTGTCTCACGATTTTATGTTTGTTGTCAATATATTACTTATCGTTGATAGCATGAAAATCACATGATCGATGCATTCCGTGAGTTGCTTTGCAAACAAAATTCAACTATAAAAAATAAATATTGACAAACGCCTTTTGGAATTTTACTCGAACAACGATTTTATTTTTATTACATCAAAAATCGATTGATTCTACTTTGAACTTCGAGCATTGAAAGAGGATAAGACGAATTGGATTTGCATGGCCTTGAGAACTTTCTAAAAATCGTCACGCATTTAGAAAAGCTCATTAGGTTAGAACAATAGAGCGGCTTAACTTCAAGCGCGAATAGAGTGTAATATTGCAAATGTACGTTCTCTTTCAAACAAACTAGAGAAAGTAATTTATCGTAGCGAACGTTGTTCGAGATTTTAGAGTCATGCAACTAACAAAAACGATCATAAAGAATTTCAGATCATGTTATCTAACAAAAATTCTTTTTTGATGACTCGGAGTTTTAATCCGAAATGAATTTGGCAAACTCTCTTTCCTATATTGATCAATTGATATTCGAGAAAAGAAAGCAAATTTCATTCTAATATGAACACGACGATAAGATTAAGTTTATTGTTCATCTAATCTCAGTAATCATCTACAATGTTACTATCACACGTTCATTGTGTTGTAGACATTAGATATTGATCTAGATAGTTATTTGTCTAGTTCATGATCATTTAAATAATCAAATTTAAAATGATGTGCGATTTTTCGACTAGCATACCGTGTTGAATAAATGACAAGAAGGCAAAGGTTATCATTTTTACGCGTAAAATTCTTTTCGTTCTTTCGAATGATCAAAGGTCAATGAGAATGTTATTTTCAACGTTCTACTCGAATGAATATCTGCACATAGGTTAACAAGCGTCAGTACACATGGTTATCAGCGATTATGGCTACACTCGATTCCGATACCCTTCGTCTCCAATCTCTTGGTTATAAACAAGAACTAAAACGAAGATTTACGTGTTTAACTAATTACGGAATGTCTCTATCTGTGATAAGTATCAGTTCTGGTCTTTCATCACTATTTTCCTATGGAATGATAACAGGTGGTCCTGTTGTTATGATATGGGGATGGGTTGTTGTTTGGTTTTTTACTCTTTTTGTTGTTTTTGGCATGGCAGAATTATGTTCGGCTTATCCAACATCTGGTGGTCTTTATTATTGGGCAGGCATTCTTGTACCGCAGCGACATAAAGCATTTGCTAGTTGGTTTACTGGATGGTTCAATTTAGTTGGACAATTTTGTGTCTTAGCTGCAGTCGATTTTGGCCTTGCAATATTAATTGCTAGCGTTATTTCATTCAGTTTAAATTCGCAATGGTCACCTCAGCCGTATCACATAATTCTTATACATTTAGTAATCGTCATCAGTCATGGTATATGTAATTCATTAGGAACACGTTTTCTATATTGTTTAACATATCTATCGATATGTTGGCAATTATTAACACCAATTATTATATCGTTAGCACTTCTTATTGGTGCTAAGCCAGGTCATCAATCAATAAAATATGTTTTTACAGAATTTAAAAATGAAACTGGATGGAAAAATCAAGTGAATTAATATTATTCAAGTTTGTTTCATATTATTCTTTTTTTTTTCTTTGTTCAAGATTTATGTCATTTTAATTGGACTTTTACCAGCTCAATATATTTTCAATCGTTACGATGCATCAGCTCATATGACAGAAGAAACGAAGCATGCCGATACAACTAGTTCATGGGCTATGATTAGTGCCGTCGTGGTTTCGGCTATGATTGGTTGGCTCTTTCTTATCGCATTGTTCTTTGGTATCCATGATTATGAGGCTACAATAAGAACATCAGCTGGATTTCCGATAACACAAATTTTACTTGATAATTTTAGTAAAGAATTAACTTTAGTATTTATGTGTCTACTTCTCGTAGCCTGTTGGTTCTGTGGTTTCGCTTCGGTAACAGCAAATTCAAGAATGATCTATGCTTTCAGTCGTGATCATGCTATGGTAATAGAATATTTGTGAAACGCTATCCGAAAAGACTGTTGAAGTACATAGGGTAAAAATTTGAACCCCCTCTCTACAGATCGTTGCAGATAAATTAATTAATTTCTCTCTAACGGTCTGTGATGGTCTCTAGCGACATCATACATCATGATATAGATCGTGACAGAAAAGCTCCACAGATCACCACAGACTATGGCCGAAAGGCTTCATATATAATTACAGACAATGACAAAAAAGCTGCAAAGACTCACAGACCGTGGTAGATGGGTTCCAACAAAGAAGTTTCATTGTGTTCACATTGTAATCCCACAGGGATTGCGCTAACAGCTTTTTTTTTTAAATGTATTGATTTCTGCATTAGAGTGCGATAGAGTTATATTATTTTATTTATTATTGCTGACTTTCCTCACATATGTAAATAATTTCCTTTCTTATAGCCAGGTTCGTATTGGTGGTTTAAGATTCATTCTCGTACAACATGTCCATTGAATGCTGTTTGGCTATCATGTCTTATTGCATTTATTCTTGCACTTCCTTATTTAGCTAATACAACTACTTATATGGCTATTATCAGTTTATCTACTGTTTGCTTATATATATCGTATGGTCTGCCTATTTTATGTAAAATTCTTTATCCACATACATTTCTTCGTGGCCCATTTCATCTTGGAAGATTTTCCAGATTTATTAATGTAATATCACTTATTTGGATTAGTTTTATCGTTGTTCTTTTTGCTCTTCCAACAATCTATCCAGTTTCTGGTGTAACAATGAATTATACGCCAATCGGTGTACTGAGTGTACTTATATGCAGTGGATTTGCCTACTTTTGTTCAGCAAAATATTGGTTTGAAGGACCAGTGACTAATTTAACTTTCAATTATAATAAAGATAAACTTGATTTTGTTGTAAAAAATTTCTAAACATTCATGAAATAAAAATGTACATCAATGAAACGTTGTATTTTTACTCTAAACATCTGCTTTTGTTCTCACGCAATATATTAACCTAGGCCGCTACGAAATTCTGTGTTTTGATAAGCTTTGTTTTTCAAGAACAATTATCGATATAAATAGACATCGAAAATATGTCTTAGAGAAGCATCTAAATCGATTGTGTTTATTGAATATGATTACAATGTTAGGTTTACTATATGTCTTTACATCGTGCTTTGCATCAATTTATGGTCATGGTTATCTATTAGATCCTGTAGCGCGCAGTTCAGCTTGGCTTGTTGATCAATCATTTAAACAATGTTGTACTTATCCTAATCATATGGAAATGTTTTGTGGAGGTACTCAACATCAATGGAATACTCAAGGTTAGATAGTGCCCAAAATGAATTCGATAACATTGAAATAACTTTTTATCGATATCGTAGGAGGTAAATGTGGTATCTGTGGCGAACCATACGATAGATCGGCTAAAATATTTGAGAAAGGTGGAGCCATGTATACAGGTAAAATAGTCAAGACATATAATCAAGGACAACAAATTGATGTAACTGTAATGGTAAGTTTTATTTCGAGTTTATGTTTCTGTGATGCATTTATTCTTGTTGTAACAGTTAACTGCTAATCATAAAGGTTACTTTGAATTTCGCTTATGTAATTTGGATAGCACCCCCAATTCCGATGCCACACAAGATTGTCTTGATCGTCGTCTATTGAAAATTGCTGGCACAGACTCGACTAGATATCGTGATGTTGATAAATATGGTTCACAAGCAATTACTGTTCGTATTCAACTTCCATCCGATGTTGCATGTCGACATTGTGTATTTCAATGGAGATATACAACAGGAAATAGTTGGGGTACAGATCCTATCACTGGCCAATCAGGTCTTGGGATGGGTATTGAAAATGAAACATTTATGGGTTGTTCGGATATTTCCATTGTTGCTAATGGTTCACCTACTCAAACAGTACCTCCTATAGTTGTAACGACTGCTCGACCACCAGCAGCAACAACTGCTCGACCACCAGCAGCAACGACTGCTCGACCACCAGCAGCAACGACTTCTCAATCACCGGCAGCAACGACTGCTCGCCCATCAGGTGGTGCAAATACATGGTCACCCAATGGTATTCAATATAAAGTTGGTGATATTGTATCATATGGAGGCTCGCGATTTCAATGTGTTCATGATCATACATCGTTTGAAGGAGCTCATCCTAGTCCCGTTACATGGGCTTGGTGGGCAGCTATCAACTGAACGCATTTTCTTTAATTATTAGATATAAATAGTGTTCATGCTCTGTCTGAAAGAGCAAGGTTCTTACGAGCATGCAATAATTTATTCTAATAAATACAAGGATGAAGCGAAAGTAAATTTTCTACGTATCCACTTGAGCATGTAGCTTTCACTTGTTAATGTGCATCTATTGTTTGAATTAAATGGCTACAATTTCTAAAGAAAATCGAAGTCTCTCAAAATGAAATCAACTGCAGAAATCAAGTTTTTTTTGTAGTCCCATAGAACATAGGCTTTCACATCAAAATATGAGTAAGACGATTAAGCCTACTTTCAAATTGAAGTCCATCCAACCTTTCATTGTGAAGAACGCAATGTCTTAATGTTAATCTTATGGTTCAATCGTTGAGTGCATTAAACATGCTAGGCATTGTTGTTAATTCAAGAACATAGTATTCATCATTCATTTGAAATTGATATCTCACTTGATTTTGAACATGTACACAGCTTTAGATAAATATTATGACATCAAATTTTAATCCTTACGATAGGATTATTATGCAAAACGATCAATGATTTCATTTTGTATTCGAATGATTTCACATTTTCCTTCGGCAATCATCGTCATGATGTTCAACATTTGCATTGTGTTTGCGTTTTATCTTGTATCAATAAATGGCCACGGCTATTTATTTGATCCAGTTGCTCGTAGTTCAGCTTGGTTGATTGATCCATCCTTTAAAGAATGTTGTACATATTCCAGTCACATGGAAATGTTTTGCGGCGGTGTTGGACATCAATGGAATACAAATGGTTCGCTCTTTTCTTCTCCTTGTAATAATATCTTTCATCTGTAATTCAGGAGGTAAATGTGGTATTTGCGGTGAACCATACGATAGGGCAATCAAATTATTTGAAAAAGGTGGAGCAAAATATACAGGAAAAATCGTTAAAACATATAATCAAGGAGAACAAATCGATGTACAAGTCAAGGTAATTGCGCAAATAATAGTAATAAAATAGTTTGTTTGTTTTGTATAGTTATCAGCAAATCATCAAGGTCATTTTGAATTTCGATTATGTAATGTAGATAATACTCCAAATTCTGATGCAACACAAGAATGTCTCGATCGTTATTTATTAACTATTGCTAATACAGACTCAACTAGATATCGTGATGTTGTTAAACATGGTTCTGACACGATAACTGTTCGTGTTCAACTTCCGCTAGATGTGTCTTGTCATCATTGTGTATTTCAATGGAAATATACAACAGGAAATAATTGGGGTCGAGATTCTGCTACAAATAAATCAGGTCCTGGCTTAGGCAGAGAAAATGAAACATTTATGGGCTGTTCTGATATTACTATTTTGGCGAATATTCCAAGTACTACTGTTCCACCCATTATCTCTACAAGGTAAGTAAACTGTTTTGGTTCTGTTCTTATTAAAAAATATTTTAATAGTACTACGACAACAACAAGCAGCTCAACGTTACGATCGGCAAAGCGTGGGTCGATCAAACCGACGCAGCGTTGGCCAGCACTAACCACCCAACGATGGTCGGTACTATCAACTGAACGATGGTCAATGTTATCAATAAAATATTCTTCGGTACCATCAGCCAAGCAATCGGCAGTGCTAACAACGATCATTTCATCATCACCAACAACAACAACAACAACCATGAGTATGACTACTACTCATTCGCCTGTTCGTATATCACCATGGTCAGCATTATTAGTTGCTTATCAGAGAGGTGACGACGTAATTTATAGTGGTATAAAATATCGATGTGTTACTTCTCATCGATCATATGCAGGTGCTGAGCCTGGTCTTCTTACGTGGGCTTTATGGCGAAAACTGGAATGATTATTGACATTTATAAATAAATAAATCTGCATAATTAGTATGAATAGTTAATGCAAACATACGATTTTTACTTTAGTTTTTTTCCAAGTCAAAAATGGATTAAACAGAATTAAAATATGCAAACAAAAGAATATGTACATGAAAAAAAAAGACAATCACCAGGTTAATTAATTATCATCATTTGAGTAATTGTTCTGATGCAAGAGAATAACTTTTAACTCGTGAAAAGATCATTGGCGGATACGCATGTCGATCGTTGGCTGCATCAAGTAGGTTTGAACGTTCATCACCAGTTCGTCTACAAAATAAAATAATTCTATTGAAGAAAGTGTAATAGACAAATATAGTCTTACTTATCAATGGATTTAATTTCATAATGTGTCCATATAAGTTGATGATGTTTTTTCTTTCCAGCATCACACATTTCAAATTCCTAGAGAAACGCAAAGTCTCAAAAATGCATTGAACAATTCAATGAAATACTAATACCATATCCATGATTTGTTCAATATCGGATATTTGCGAATCTCTAACACCACGTCGCTGTGGATTATTCATAGTTAAAGTTCGTTGAGAAATACGTTTTGCTACAATTATTACCTACGCGTTAGAGAAAATGATGACTAATTATGATATTGCATTTGTATTTACTCGGTCGTTTTGTAGACGATAATTTCCATATATAAGTGCAGGATCACGAATTGAATATCGATTCTTCAACCGAGCAACTGATATACGAGGTTCATCAGCTATTGTACGTACATATGCACATATAAGCTATAATTTTATATTACATTTATAATTGAACTTACCACTTGTATAGATCACAACAATACCTGTACATGGAGAAAAAGAATTTTATTATAACATAATCAAGTAAAAATACAAACCATCAGGAAAAAATCGCATGTATCGATAATATTCTACTAGATGCCATGGTGAATAAAATGTATCTAACGATTGTTCACCTTGACGAATATATGATGTTCGACTGATATATACGCCTAAATTAATCATAAGTATTAACTTTAGAAAATTCTTATTGTAACCCCTCGAAGAATTCTTAGATTCATCATTCGGTTACACATAGTTTTCTTACCGTTAAAAACTACATGTGGTCTATTGATAAACATATAACGCCAATTGACATTAGTAGATGTATTTCCAGTTTGAACACCCCATGTTTTCAAACAAATCATTTTCCATAATTGAGGATCTCGTGCACATAAATAAAAACCTCGGCATGTACGTGCACATTGTTCTAATGAACGAATATCCAAATCTGATGAGACAACCCATCGCAATATGTAAATTAATACTTCCGATGGAAGACATGACATATGTGTAGCCTAGATTTGAAAACAAGAAAAAATTAACAATGACTTTGATTCTTCGATTCAGTGACAAAAAAGAAAGATGTACTTGTTGAGGAAAATTTTTAACACATATAGCTGAAAGTTCACCGTCATCTAGATGAGCACGTTGTAATGCATCAATAAGATTTTGGTCATGTTCAGATACTTCATTTGTATTATTATTATTAGCTTTATCATTATTCTCACTATAAAAGCAAAATAACTAATATTTACAGAATATAGAATATCTTGGCATAATACTTTTGATTGTTTGATTCCATTGTTGTCACTGGTTGTTGTCCTTTGCGAGCCATACGAAATTCAATATCAGGTACTAATTGCATAGCAGCTCGATAATATTTGATAGCTAAATGAAAACTTATTTCGGATCAATATCAAATTATTCTCTTACCATCATATAACTTTCCTTCGCGTTCTAAGTCACTGGCACGTTGAAAAAAATGTATAGCCTTTTAGAAGAAAATTTGAATCACGCTAGAACTCTATCAATAAATTATATTCACCTGCTCTTCTTCATTGATAGTTTTTTCGGGGTCTTGTTTTTGTTTATCATTAATCACATGTCCATAAACAGTTCGTTGTTGAATTTCTTTTTTCCATTTATTAAGAAATTCATCCAATTGATATTCAATACGACGTTCATTAGTTCGCTGTTCAGTCGTTTCATACTCACAATCATCGCTATCGCGATCAGAATCCTATTTGAAATAATTCAATAGAAAATAAACGATGCATCTATCGTACTAACCATGGGCAAGGAGAAAAGAATGGTTTATAAATCACGGAAAGAATATTGAATAACTGAATGATATAGTTTAGCTCGTCGAGCACCAGCCATTAACTGAAAGACAATGAAATTACCAACTGCAATACCTTTTTACCTTAAAAATATTTATATTTACTACAAAACGTTGGATTAAATCCAACTTTTATTCAATATATTACTGACATCTATGAAGTCAGAATAAGAATATATATATATTTATTTCTCAGTTTCAATTAGTGAAAAATAGAACAAACAGTAAAGTAATTGGTGTCTGTACTGTTATTTTTGCAAAGACTAATGATGCATCTGAACTACGCACCGTAGTAGAGACGGACCTATTGCTATCAGATGTGGCTGTTTCGACCGTATAATCCATGGGAAACGCTCTCTTCATCGTGTCGATCAGAAACTGAAGATTCTTCTTTCTCTCTTGTACGAAGGTTCGATAGTCATCATCGTTTGAACGATTTGCCACGTACATAAGATTTTTTCGTTCGCATGATTCCGTTTCGTTTCGTTTGTTCCAGTCGCACATTGCAATGTAAATTTCGTTAGATGAACATGTTTGCTCTATGTCAACAGTAGAACTTTCAATTTCAGCCATTGCTGTATTAAAACAATCGGTATATTTTATAAAAGCGTCGCTGCGAACCAAAATGAACATTTCATCGTATACTTCGCAAGGTTTAACGAATGCTGAATTTTGTGGATCCGCAATGCATGAGATGAGAAACGCGCTGGCAAAGTCAACCACACTACCAGAATACTCGGCTAAATGTGGTTTGATTTGTGGACAGCAGCTGTCTATCATGGCACATTGAAGAGATTGCATTTTATGGTAAACAGCTGGTGAATTAGCAAGGAGTGTTCTCTGCATACTGACGATTTCCGTAGCATCCATGTGAATCGTTGAATTTGAAATCAATGCTTTCGATTGATTCGTTAACAATAATAATATAATACACCGAGTAAACATTGATAACAGCGATTGACGTTCTATAACGGAGAAAATAGTTACTGGGCAAATACCAATATAGTATACTGAGCTCTAACGGAATATTGAGCTTGTCTGTCGTATATATATACCGTTGGAGCACAGACATTAATTAACATTAAGTCAAGTGTTAAGAAAAATGTATTGCTTGACAGTCGTGATATTTAGGTTCAGTTTATCGACCGAATAAATTTAAACTGTTTACCTTGTTGAAAATATATTCTCAAGATTGATGCTCTAATCAATGAGTTTCTCTGTTTGTCTGTATATATATATATATTCACATATATTTTATGAGGGAGCGAGAGAAAATAAAAAGATGATTAATCGAGAAGGAGTGTGATGTTTATTATATTAAAGTAAGACTCAATTTATAGAGGATCTTTAAAATGGTTAATATATAAAATAATAAAATGTAATCACCGGAAAGTCATATCGTGTGTCTCTTATCATGAATTTGAACCATGAAAGAAAGCGCAGTGTCCCAGGACTGTGGAATAAGAATTCTCCATCAGTTCCCAGAATATTAAAATTAAAAAATACAGTATCCACGATAGTTTTTGCTGTTATACTCATTTTCATCCGGGAATTTGTGTACTGCTGTTCGACATTGATTTTCACTAAAACATCCACTATTTTCTTGAATTTTCATTTGTTTTTGAACTTGATTCAAGATTTAAGATAATTTTTTTTTAGTATATGCTTTGATCATATCATGATATACCATACAGCGTATAATATCGTTTAACCTTTTTACGAAAACCTGTCCAAGTCGGTTAAATAAACACAAAATGACAGCACCATTGCCATTATGATAGAAAGATCTTGGCCAGTCGTATCCCATGTTTGTAACTCGATTATAGATAGAATACTTATCAGCGCCGATCGTTGCTACATATTCAGCTGAGCACTAATCTTGGGCAAATCAGTGTAAAATTGTAGTTTTTCTAATGAAGTCAGATGCTCAGTTATGTGTAGTTACGAAGAAAATCAAAAGAAGAAATACATACTCCCAACACCATTATCATCAACATTTAATCTTTTAAATAGATAGGTATATTCAGCATCGGTTTCTAACTTGATAATACTGGCTGTTGTTCATTATTCAAACACTCTTTTTAATACTTGTCAAATGTAATAAATTTGATACGATTTAAAAAATAGTCATTCGTACAAAATGAAGCTAAAACTTTTGTGATCGGATGATGAAAAATATTTCTCAGAAATTAGTCACTGTTAGCTATTTAGAAGCCAACATTTTTTTTTCGGCTTCTATATCCCAGTGATTCTAGCTATTTTTTGTCTCACACTTTACGTACTCTTCAAAACTTGCATTTTTTGTTTCATTGCAAAACCTTTCCAGAGTACGGAAGTCTCACTTGTTTTTTCTTTCAGCGATCCCGGAACTGGCCTTGTACATCTCTAGCCAACTGGTTACACTTCACATAATGACCAGTTACAAATTAAAGAGGAAGATTAATTGCTTTTCGAATAGCTTGATATTATATGTAGGGAATGACTTTTTCACTTCAGAAATTGATAGAAACTGTTTCGGTTAAGTTCATGATTGATCATTCCAGTTAAAATCTTATAATAAGAGACAATATCCAAGAATAGAATGTTATAAATATCTTGTACAATGAATTCTTAGTTTGTCATCAGTTTTTCTCTATTCGTTCTTAAATATATACAGCATTGTTATAAAAATCCTTCTTCTTAGACTCATATTTTAAAAGAATTTCTAAGAAAAAGGCGAAGAAACAACAGAAAATATCAGGTTACAAAATGTAAGAAGCGAGTCATTTGAAAAAATATAAGCGACCGACAGAAGTAATCGAAATTGTTATGTACAATGAAACATTAAAGCTTCCAAAGACACTTTAGTTGTTATTATTTGACTGTGGTGAGTAATTTTTTGGGAATATTTCCAAAGCGGAAGAATTCTTTTGTCTTGCACAAGGGTGTGAGATATGAGAAAAGGCGTTGAGCGAACTCAATAAAGCCGTAGATTCACGCTTAAATGAATTTTTTTGCCTGACAGCTCCCGTAAAAACATGGTATCATTTGATAGAAAATGGAATTATAAGTATAAAACAACCGTTTTCAGTCCCAACACAGAGTGGGAAATAATGGCGTATCAAGTTAAGTTTCGTCACGTCATTGTGAAAGCATCGCTTGTAATTGCCACCAGATTTTAGTCGGCAAAAATTCCATTTAATTGGAGTAATTTGATGATCGATATTTAAAACTAGAACTTGCTCAAATTTGAGAAGAAGCTATTATTTATTTTCTATTTTGATTGTTCCTGAACTGATAAGATTTAGATTGAATAGTAAAGAATCCGTAGCTAATTATATTACTGGTATATTATTTGCATTTCTGATTATGAGAAAACAAGCTAATATCGTTGGCTTTTTTCTTAGTTTTCAATTGAAAAATAACTATCAATCAATTTATTCACAATTTTAAAAGAATGGCTGCAAAATTTGTCGACACCGACGAAAAACAACATACACAACGTTTTTCTGATATAGCGGGAGAACGTTGCCGAATGCTGATGCCTATTGAAGGCTATCAGACAAAGCCGATTGTTTCACTCGAAGAGGCTGTAGAACCCATCCTTGAACATGTACCTGATGTGAAACGAAAAGTCTACGTTGCGAAAAAGAAATGTGCAGAGCTTTCACCAGGAAAACTATCTATTGATGAAACAGCTTCAATTACACTCTATTCAATGGAATGGGAGCCGCAAGACGAATGTCTTTACTATGTTGTTTCTTTCTTTCTGTTTTTTATAATTATTCTCTCTCTTTCCGGAAAGAAAAGAATAAGTAAAATAAAAATTTGTGTTTACTTCTTTCTTTAAAAAAATTATTTTTAGAATCAAAAAATAAATAAAAGATTACGAAAAAGTACACTCGAAAAAAATAAGTTACAAAAGAAGAGAGAAAGATATACCTAACTAATTTTGAAATTGCTTCAGTTGGATGGATGGAATTGTTGAACTTTGATTAACTGGAATTGGAAATTAAAAAAACGATAATTCTCATGTTTTTTTAAAGTAATGAAGAGAATATTTATTCGAGTTTGTCGGATTGTTGAAACTGAACCAAAAAAAAACAAATTAATTGATTGAAAACTTTTTTTACTTACTTTGAATATTTGCTCGGCTGCATGACTAAGGAGTAATGTAGTGGTGCCGTAGCGAGGGTAAACTCATCACGTCCAAGCATAGATCCATCATGCAAATTTCATCCAACTATGCTGAATATCTATATGTGCAGGCGAATACGTGTGTTAAAGACACCAAGATAATCTTGCGCAGTGTTTAACGTCTGTCTTGAAGACCTCTTTACTCTCTGGGACAATGAAGACAATCTATGAATGAGAGTCCTACCCTGCCCTAGAGTAGGACTAGGGTATACCGGTCGTAGGTTAGGGTACCAAAATTCATACCCTTGCAGGACTCTATATCTAATAATACGCTTTAATTATGTCAAAGTCTGAAAAACACTACGGCACGTAATTTTTTCGAAATAAAACAAATAAATTTTCACATGTCTAGAAGGATAAGAAAATCCCTATCTATTCATAATGAGAAGACAAATATATGAGAACGATGTCACAGTACGTGTTATGCAAATATACACGGCCGTTCGTAGTACATAAAATGACGCGCTTTATTCGTAATGCTAGAGTCGTATGAACCGACCGCGTACATTCTCTTAGTAATGTTCGTCCTTAATAGACGACGCATTTACTCATAGGCACACGTGAATAATGCCGTCATCAACGACTGCGTATCTATACATGTCACTTGCTGTCATTTTTTCTGTTGTTAAAATCTACGAAAATAATATTAACAATAAAATTAATTTTATTTAAATAACAAGTCAATTCTTTTTTCAAAACCTTTAAGTAAACCACACAATCTCTTATCTCAAATTTGTTTGGAATGAACTTTTTGTGGTAGTAATGAAATAGATTGATTTTTCAAAAAGTTCTTCAAAGTTTTTATAGGTTGTCGTTTAAAATGTTGATAAATTAATATCAATTGGTCCATATGATAATCAATCGTATCATTATGATCATATGCAAATATAAGTTTTTTTAAATGTGGATATAATGGTTTTGGTAAACTGGGTAAATCATAATAAAGTATATCTGCATGCCATATCAATAATGTTACACATAAACCAAGAAACATATCAACTGAATAATGATGAAATTCAACTACGGCACGAATCATTCGTTGAATAACTTGAATCCATATAAATAAACGTATGAATAAACGTAACAATGCAGATGGATACGATGCACAAAGTATAGTCACAGCTAATGCTGATATTGTATAAACAATAACATGACCACTATATAACAAATCGTTACATGCACCACCTGAAACGAAATAAAAAAAAGATTCAATGAAGAAAATAATTTCAAATACAGAATATAATTTACCCGGACTCAAATTGAATGGATCAATCGGTCCAGTAAAGTTACATTTTGGATTTGGATTAGGTAAAATAGTTAATGAAAATGTAATAACACGAAGTGTTCGTGCTAAAGTTAAACACCGAACACCTTTCTGTAGAACCTTCAATCCATTTGTTCCATGTAAAAAACAATAGAATACCCATAGAAATAAAACAGTATTCGTATTGACCTGATATGTATCTTCACCAATATAAGCGAATTCAACAAATGTTCGATTTAAATCATTTAAATATTCTTCAGCTATATCACGCAGTGGTGTTCGATCATGTTCTAATGATGATATAACTTGTATCATAGTATTTTCAGTAAGTAATTCAATACCCATAAATAAAAGATCACGTAGAGATTTAACGGCATATACAGCCATTTCTGGTGTAATACGATCACGCCATGGTTGTAAAAAAGTGCTAATAATAGCTAGAAATGATAAACTATTTGTTTGCTCATAACGAGCTTTGGTGTGACGACGTTGAGGAAAGGTAGGCATATGCAGTATTGCTCGTAGTTATGCATCACCAATTTAGCATTTTTTTGCCAATGCAAAAAGGAACAGGAAAAAATCAATCGAGCCTGTGTTGTCGACGGTACACGTACATGTATACGGAGGCAATGATAATGATCAACGAAGATGGTCTAAGCATGCCGTTGACTATTTGTCAACACACAACAATGTTTGATCTACTTTCTTCTTTTTCTTCGTGTACTCTCTAGCCGATCCATGTGTACATACATTGTTATCAATGCTAAAATAAATATCATACTTCTCAACATAGAAAAATCGATTACTCGGAAAATATTTTCTCTCATACTGTTTAAGTAATTGAATGTTAAAAGGTATACGAAGGGTAACTGTAGAAAAATATGCTTTCAAAATTCAATCAAATATATGTCACTATTCTATAGCACTTAATAAGAATATGAGCATTTGCTTGACCTTTACTTCTCATTTAACATTCAAGTACATAATACCAGGCTGATATTATGTACAGATAAATAATTTTCGAACATATTGAATAAAACTGATTCATTCGTTCACTGTCATAAACCTGCGCTGTGAAATATGTTTCTAACGCGGCTTGTTCACGCAACGCGCTAGTTCGCTGATCAAGTTTAAAAAAAAATATTCGATACGGACAGATCTAAACGTGTTTTCTGGTACAGTTTTTTACGCTGATTATGAATTTGGACTTTCTTTCTTAAAAAAATTGAGCTTTGGCATCAAAAACCGCGTTTTAAAGTTTTCAAAAATCGTATTTTCAATTTTCTAACCAAGAAATTTAAAATAAAAGTACGGACTAATATACCATCCGATGCAGAATTGGATTCTCTACAATATGACCTGTTTAGTTTTTACTGTCATTCATCAGGACACCTTTTAAGCTCTTGTACAGTTTCTAACTTACTGTACTATCATTGAGCTGCTATTTCAATGTAGCAACTTGATTTTTTTTACTGAACGGCAGTGATTAATATATATAAGCATTCAATATTTTTAAGCATGTTAAGTGCTTCAAATTTGGTCGACAAAAAAAAACGCATCACAGCGTTACGTTTGCTTTTTGTATTGTTTATCTGAGCGAAAATAATTTAGCAAAAGTATTTTTAACTGTTTGAAAGCCCATTCAATTCTCTACAAAACTGATACCATAAGCATTTAATTTGAAGAAATAATTTGTCAAAAAATTAGAGTTTTATAAGCAGTCCTAGAGAAAAAGGGTCCTTTTTTGTCACAGTTTTACGCGATGATAAAACCTTTCTAGAAACGCGAGAGTTCAGTCAAACTAGATCATTTTTGCAGCATAAATAGATTGTGATGAGCTGCGTCGAATGATGTTTGAACGACCTTGTTAGCTCTTATGTCTTTCGAGATAATTGCAAAACAATTTTCAAAAATGTCACAGCGTTACGTTTGGACAAGCCGAACGAGACTGTTTGTCAGAACAGTCAAGTCTGATATTGTTTTGACGAATGAACATAACATATAAATAATATAGAAATCTTCAAATGATAACAGGAAAAGAACTTTCGATAAAAATTGATGCTGACAATCATTAAGGTAGCAATTCATTGAAAATAGAATCTTTCTTTTTTTTTTGTTGTTTTTAACTATTTGACGAATACTTTCAGAGAAATGATCGTATACGCAGAAGCCTGCAAAATAAATCATATGAATATTCAACAGTGTTGCATATTTTAACTGTTTTACTGGCATCAGATGCAGTGAAACGAACTACATCCACTACTTGGATATTGAGAATTCAACATATTTTGAAAGAAAGATCATTTCTAAGATTGAATTCCGTCAGTTTCGAGTTTTTGATGTTTTGCTTAACAAATCTATTTGAAAGCAGAGCAAGTATCAGGATTAATTCCATTTATGTACTATGCCCACGTTTCTTGAGTACAAAAAACATAGTGAGGGGAAAGTCCATATTCAAATACGTCATAAAAAAGATTATGCAGTTTCTATGGCACAGCCGGTCTTTTGTTGCTGTTAAACTTATTCATTTGTGAGTATTTTCAAAAAGTATATAGTAGTGCTTCAATTTTCGTATACTTCTTTATTAAATCACAAGTAAGGGAAGCAATGAGTAAATCGATTATTCTACTTTTTGCCTTCGTGCATCTTCTTGCTATAACTATTCGAGCTGGTGATGTCGAAACAGTTACCAGTGATATTGCAACCGACTCCTCATTATCAGATGGTCAAGCTTCAACAGATGACAGTGCTAGTGTCAGTGCCAGTGATATTTCAACCGACTCCTCATTATCAGATGATCAAGCGTCAATAGATGACAGTGCTAGTGTCAGTGCCAGTGATATTTCAATCAATCTCTCATTATCAAATGATCAAGCTTCAACAGACGCCAGTGGTAGTGGCGGTGACAGTGACAGTGACAGTAACAGTGATAGTGACAGTACTGAAAATTACTTGGGTGAAGTTCTTCAAAAAGATCCAACTGTTAAAAACTGCAATAATGGTTCAGCGCGCGACTCTTCTTCATCATCATCATCATCATCATCATCATCATCATCATCATCATCATCATCATCGTCGTCGTCGTCGTCGTCGTCTTCGTCGTCATCGAGTGAGTCACAAGATGAAAGTGATTCGGATCAAGAACCAGACATTGTTCGAAGAGACTCCTATCGTAGCGAAGCTAGTGAATACGAAACTGAAGAAGTCGCGATGGATGTGCCCGAACCACCATTGAAATAACAGCTGCCAATGTAAAACCGAATGAACATTTCATCAATGACTATTAATTTTTTCTGGATTTATTTTTATTTTTATTCTTATTATATTATGCTAATTCATTTCTTCATCTATATCCATTTCATTATAAATTATCGGGGTAGTCCCTTTTCGTCCCCTCTTTTTTTTACGGACATCGGGTTTTTTGATGTTCGGAAGTGGGGACGAAAAGGGACAAACCCAAATTATCATATGTTATCTATTTCTATATTCGGTCATTGTCAGAGTAATAAGGATTAATGAATTATTTTGAGATTTGTATCTCGTTGAAAAATACACGATAGTATACTTGTCACAGTAAAAGGCAATATGTGGTGACATCTATCGAGAAAAAAATGTCGTGCCCATTTTCGATGTAGCTTTTAAACAACTAGCATTTTCCTATGGATATACTTTATATCTTTGATGATAACGAAGAATGTTTTATAGTTTAATACTGGTCATCATCAGTGTGCAATGAAAATATATAATCGAAATTGCATGAGTCATAACCAATATATATATATATCATGAGTACATGAATAACTCAAAACAATCACGTGGTAGGATCTTGATTGACCGTTTTTTTTTATCTAGGGAAGCTATCAGTCGTTAAACGAATATAAAAAGAAACGAGAATTATCCTCAAATAGTTTTACTCTTGAATAGTTTACATTTATTTCTAATCATAAAATGTATGCCCTCGAAATCCTTCGTACCTCTTTTTCTAGAGTAAGATCAATCTAACCCAAAAGATGCATCTACATAATTACTATCGTCTAATAAATTTAATTTACTGAATCAAATTTATATTGATTATTTACAATTAGTGTATTAACATGTGAAATAGAAAGTAAAACTAGCATAGGTCAAGGATATACAAATGAATTTAGACAATGCATACTGCCGTAAATATTCGAAATCTTATTTTATTTTGCAAAAATGAATATGAATAATCATTTATCAACAATAGAATCATTACCGAATGAAATTCTAATGGGCCTATACGAATATTTCGATGGTCGAGAATTATATAATATTTTTTATAATCTCAATTCTCGTTTTAACTCACTTCTTCGATCAGTTCGACATCTTTCACTTTATTATCAAGCGCCATTCGATAATTTAATTGATTGCCATACGATTTATTCATCTCAAATTCATGCACTTAACATTTATTCAAAACAAAATTTGAAACTTGATCAATTTTTTAATGTGCATCGTCTTACTCTATGGTTTCCAACTGACGAACAAATCTTTCAAATAGATGCAAAATCTTTTCCACGTCTTGAATATCTTTCTGTATCTTATACGGTTTCAAAGCCTTCAATATGTTCTTTGTATGAAAAAATATTTTCAAATGATTTTTCTCTATTGAAATCTTGTTTTCTATCGGGCAATGAATCTCCAACACAAGCCAGCAAATGGACACAATCACCAAATTTAAAATATTTACATACAACATCTATTAATCCATCAGTTCTAATTGCTTGTCCTAATTTGTATGCTTTAAATTTAATATTGCCTACATTGCATGACATATCACCGAATCTCATCATTCATTTAAATCTTAAACGATTGAAACTCATTCTGACTAGTATTGTTTGGTTTGAAGATGAGAAAAAATTCGAAGTTCTGTTTTCAGCAATGCCAAATATTCATAGATTATCTTTACATAAATTATTTTCAATTATAAATCCAATTGATTTACTTCTCAATTATGATTGGTTATCAACAGTTATTATTCGATGTTTACCATTATTAAAAGAATTTATTTATCATGTTTACATTTTTAATTTATTTAATCTTGATCAGTTGGACATCGATAGAAGTCTTCCTGAAATTAAAGAAAATTTTTCTAAAATGTATCAAAATCAATCCGAATATTTTCTTAAAATAAAACCATATAATACATAGTATAATTCTTTTGTGTTTTTCTAGATATGCGTTCGGTATTAGAACATTTACCAAATGAACTGATCATTGAAATATTTGGCTATTCAAAAATACGGGATCTGTCATTTGGTTTATGGAATTTAAATAAGCGTTTCAATGCACTTATTCGTTCACTTAAATATTTATCTTTGATTTTAACCAAAGACTGCACATCCGAAGAGCTTTTATTTTCTGAACAAATTATTCGTATGGTTATTGTGACATTAGAGAGTATTAATTTAAATCCATTTATTAATTTACGGTCATTAATATTAAATTTAGCGACTGAAAACCATTTAAAACAAATTCAATCTCTTGTGTTACCAAATCTCGTTTATCTTTCGTTACCGCTTTCGTTCGATTCTCGATCAACAAAACAATTAGCTTCAGAAGTCTTCTCAAATCGATTTTCATCGCTGCGATTTGCAGATTTAGGTGTAATTGATATGCCAAGGAATCTATCGTGGTCACAATCACCATCTCTTCGATCAATTCGTATTTTTTCTCCAAATATCAATATAATCCCATTAATTCTTCAATCTTGTACTCAATTAACTCATTTTCAAGTACGTATAACTGGTGAGCATCCTTTAGATATACCCTCTCTACCAATAATATCAAATCATCCATTAAAACAATTCATTTTCCTACAAGCTCAAAATTCAACTAATGCTTTTAATATTGCAAATATAATTTATTTAATACCCAACGTTAAACATCTAGATCTAAGATTATGTACCATATCATTTATTGATTTAATTAAATTAATTTCGAAATATTTGATGAATTTAAATAGTTTTGATTGCCATATTATCGAGTTTCCAAATAAAGATGAAACTATCGATATTAATGTACTAAGAAAAATTCATCCATGTTATTCTGGTATTCAGTGTACGTTAAGAGAAGATTGCTATTGTTTATATGCAACAAAAAAAGATCAAAAATTAAAACTAACAAGTAACTTTTTTTGAATTGGAGTGCTAATCCTTGATATATCTTGTGTGCAGTGAATTGTTTTTCTTACAGATTTTTTTATAAATAGATAGAAGTTTTCTTTAGACCTTTTTTTGTTATTATAGATTATGGGTTGTAAATGAATTTTTAATACATAGTAAGCACTTTTTTTTCGTTAAAATAATTATAATTATTAGTTATTCTTCACACGAAATTAAATTTTGTTTTTGTTTTCTTTTTGCAGATAAAGGTTTATTTCCATTACACTAGCATCGTATCACGTTCCTTTCATAAATTGAGTGTATGGTGAAGTGATTCTCCCATTCATGCAGTAGAAAATAATGCATCCCATGAATGAAACTACACTTGCAAATTTATTGTGTACTCCAAAAAAATGAGTACACTAGATTCGGTCAGTGTGTCCGGCCGTCCGGCCGTTAACACGATAACTTTTGAAAGCCTCATCCAATTGTCATGAAATTTTGTACACAGAATGATCTCATCAATATCTCAGTCGAGTTCGAAGATGAAAGCAATCTGTGAAGAAATGGCTGAGTTATCGAAAAAGTTGTCATTATTAACCAGACCATCCCTGAGGGGGGGTACAGGGATTTTTTCAAAAAAAAAGTTTTTCCTCAGAATTATTCAAAACATATATAAATCGACTCAGTTTTTGCAGTACACATAACAGTCGGATACGAATCCGATGTTTCCTCATTTATTTCTAGATTAATATCAAATAATGACTACGATATCTTCTCGATTGGAACTTCTATTGAAATATTTCAATATCTTGATTTGGTGTCACTTTTTCGAGTAGTTCATACTCTCAATTTTCGTTTCGATATACCCCTTCGAAATGTCAACAATCTTATTTATTATCTTTGGGATAACAAGTATGCTTCAATAAAGAATCTTATTCCTTATATCGATACTTTAATAGTTTGTTGTCCAATCCTTATTAATTTAAATCAATTTACACATATTCGCTATTTAAAACTTACATCGTTAACAGATGAATTCCTCTACCGTGTTTCGAACATCTGTTTGTTAAACAAGTAACTTATGATTCTGCAAATATTTTATGTGAGAAAATCTTCACCAATATTTTTTTTCTTATTTAAAATCTTGTTCTATATGCAAAAATAGTCTGTAAATCTTCCCGTTCTATACAGTTCATATATAGGTATCATCAATCTGTCTATTGATCGAGCTATTCTATCAAATTGCCCAAATTTATATGCGTCTCAATTTCGATTGAAATCGAGTAAAATACCTTCCGTTTGTACATCCAATACTAATATTAAAACAATGATAATCAAATCTGACGAGCCTGATCGCTTACATCTGTACCGAAACTTGAACGACTTTGCATTGATCACGATTTTTGCCATGCGAATATTCCTAAATATTTAATCTATGATTGGTATGTATCATCAATCACTCAATATTTACTGTTACTTCGTCGATATAATTATTATTTAAGTACCTGGTATCTAACTGTGGACGATACTAAAATTATGACCATTTTTGATGGGTTGCAAAAAAGTTTTAACCGCACCTGTAGTGATCGATATCAATCAAAATTATGAATATTCTTCTGATTCAAAATTTGTTGAGTATGAAAATGTGATTCGTTTTTGCTTTGTTTTAGGAAAATCGATTAAACCTGATTTGTATTTATTCTTGATTTTTATAAGAAAAATGATAATTCCTTTTTAGATATATCAAAAATAAGATTACACAAATTCTAGCCATGTATACCACTGCTCACATAGTATAGTAGTTCAGCGTAAAATAGTTCTCAATTTTTTAATCGAATCTTTTGTTCGTACGCTGAAGAATACCGTAAAGCTATCTTATTTTTGTTTTACTTTCTAGATGTCATAAAAATGAGCCACACTATTAAGCAATTGGAAGATTTACCTCATGAAATTCTTACTGAAATATTTGAATATATCGATGCTCCGAATCTTTTTCGAATATTTTCCAATCTTAATGGTCGTTTAAATAAAATTGTGAAATCTCTGCACACTCTTCATCTTTCTCTAACAACAACAGATGTTCATCAAATTTGTGCTTATAATCGTATTGCTCCACATATTAAGATTCTATGTATTTATGGACTAGCTCAATTAAATTTAAAATACTTCACAAATATTCGTCGACTTATTCTTATACAAGCATCCGATGAACTTGTTGAACAGCTCGGAGTCATTCGTCTTAAATCCTTAGAACATCTTACTATTTTCTTAGACAATCGTCAAGAAGAAGATTGTTTACCTTATCTTTGGAATCGAATATTTATATATGATTATCCTGCTTTAATATCTTGTTGTTTGTATAAAATAAATTTAAAATGGACAAATTCACAATGGAGAATGATGCCATCATTATCTATACTAAAGATTGAAAACATTGATCTACTTATATATGAATCGATTCTATCATCGTGTCCTAATTTGTATTTTTTCAAGTTTACAAGATTAACATCTAAGTATGAATCAAAACAAATTAGACAACATCTGAATTTAAAAAAATTAGTTATCGTCATACCGTGGTTTGAAGATCTTTCACATGATTGTCATTCGCATAAATACTTTTCTTATGTACCAAAATTACAACAACTTATTGTTCATCGAACCAATGAAAGTAAAAGTATAGATGAAGCTTTTTTAAAATTTGATTGGTATATAACAGCTTTTAATCAATATTTACCATCACTCTGCCGTTTTGTTTATTATTTTCACATATTAAAATCTGATCGATTAGTAAATTCCGCTACGCAAAATAGATTTGATCAAATTCAAGAAAATTTTAATTTGGCTCATCGTCGTTTATGTCAACGTCGATTAATTCTTGATTTTATAGGATAACTATAATTATTATTATTATTCGATCTTTTTCATTTAATTCTATAAGATTAGTTCTAAAAGGTTGATCTTCGATGTATGTGTTAATCGTAGTCATTAATAAAGCAAATATGTCCGTCGTTCTCTAACAGCAAGTATAAGTCATTGATTCCTAGTCACTTCATCCACGCTTGTTGCTTTCTGTATATGTTAATCGAGTGGTTGCGCGCTTCTAATACTTTTTTTTGTCCAGCACGAGATGAAATTTTCGAAATAGAAAATAAAAAGTTTGATTTCTCGTCTCCCGGTGCGACAGACTTTATCGATATTTGAGCGCCGAGAGTATGCGAATAACGCCGCATTGCTCAAAGTTTTAGCGGAAGGCTGATAACTTGAGTCGAAAAAACAGATCGAATAAAATAATCTCCCTGTAATTAATTAGAAATAGCAGCTATATCATATTTCACAATTTAATTCCGTATAGATTCTTCTAACAGTTTTCAAGCAAAAAAAGAGAAAAACTGAATTAATAACAGATCATTTCAATATCTGACTGTGATATTTATCTGTTGAGTTTGTAAATGTGATGAGCATAATATTTTACTGCGTCTTAGAGACTTTAATTTTTTCCTAATTGTGCATTTTTCTGTCGTATTCATATTGTGATACATTCCCGAAGACTTGTAAATGAAAAATTGTTTTCAAAGGAGAATTATAGGGCAGTATAATAGTGCTTCTCGGATTACTTTAAGAGTGACATCCTGTCCCCTCTCCCCACTGCTTGGTTTGTTGACACGATGCATATGTCCTACCGAGTTTCGCATAATATTGTAAAACATCTCTCATATTTTTTATGAACTTTAGAATACTCTGTCCGTTTATTTGTAAGCGTTATGAATATAAATTTTGAAAAAGAGTTGTCATTTTGTGCTTGTGCATATTGTGAGTGTGTTCATCTAATTTATAGCTTTTGAAATGCATTATTTGTAAACTTTGCCATTTTGTTTTAATAGTAAACAAATTGATATTATTTGCATGACTTATATTTTTCTTTTAGATATTATTTTGTTAATGTAATTAAACAACCAAACATATCGTTCGTTATACATAAAATTCTTCTCGATCTATTATTTCAATGTTCGAAAATTTATTTGAATCCTGGTTCATAAAGAAAAGTTTCGTTTAAATGAACTATTGGAATTCTGATGTAATATTTTTAATGTGGAAAAACGAAGAAGCTGGATGGAATCGGTATGATAGTATCAGGCATTTACATTTTAAAATATCTTCGCGCAAATAATCTGAATTAAATTCAGATGCAGTTAAGACTCTAGATAAATTCATCCAAACCAGCCTGTAGTTAAATAGAATTAGGTATCTATTTTTCCAATTGAAACGAAATCGTGTTCTTCACATCTCGATTGTAAAGTAGAATTTTTGCACGTACAATGCTTTGACCTCACGGATCAAATAAAAGGGCATGTAAATGCGCTGTATTTGACCCCTACAGATATAGCATCCAATGAGATCGCTGTATTCGATAGCCGTTGTTCTGCGTTAATCATGTCCTATAAATGGCACGTTATTGAAGAGCTTATCATTTGCAATTTGCAACCATGTAATCATATAGAACAGATAGCTTTCGTCGACTTCTGTGCGACATAATCGCTTGTAGTGGCGTTAGAAAAAGCGTCTGAGTCACGTTTTATGACGAGCAATATTGAAGTCATTGTGACGTGCATAAGGATACATTTGACCTGTCCAATAATGGCACGAAACATCGTAAAATTATATATTTTTTGTATTAACGAAAGGGGAAACAAAACAAAAACTACCTTTCTTCTCATTAACGAACGGCGTCAATTGATAAGATAGCACGTGGCATCTGATAGACGAACAATACGAGACGTATGCGACGAAATTACACATGCCTATGAGTAACCATTTTATTTTAGTCGTAAGTATGCCGTATACACTACGATATAAATACAATTATCAAGATGTCGTGTAAAAATATTACCTGTTTACCTCACCTGTAAATGCGAACATAGGATTGGAATACAAAAAAAAATTGATAATATACCGTTTATGATGATAAGCAAACAGTTTTTTGCACCTGTTTTAGATTCTATTTTTATGAAATGAATACCGACGTGTCACGATTGAAACAGATACCAAATGAAATTCCTATTGGATTATTTCAATATTTGATGCTCGCGATCTACTTCATGCTTTCCATAATCTCAACTATCGATTCGATACATTAATTCAACCGTTTCCATATCTTACTCTTACCTTTCATATGAAACATTTTATTGGTAATCAAATAGATGAGAATGATTATTATTTTTCTTTGTATGTTTATTTGCTGATGATTGGCCGAGTCATTAATGTTAATCTAAGTCAATTTTCAAATATCCGTTGTCTTAAATTAGAATGTCCGTTGAAGAAAGTATTGGCACAATTGAATTCTAACATCTCAACGCATTTAAAACATGTTTTCATATCGAATTTAGGTATTGGCAATTTTCCAAGCACTATTATTTGTTAATTAAAATCTTCTATTTGAATAGGTTTGTTTGAAATAATCGATGAATGGACATGCTTATCATGATAGCAGACTTTAAAAATTTCATTTATCACTTCGTTATCTTACAAATCAATTTTAGCAGCATGTCGAAATTTGTTGCATTTAGAATTTAGAATTTTTAATGCAGTTCAATTCAAATTAGATATTAAATCACATAGAAATCTCAAACGAATGACAATACCTGTTGTAGATATGATATTGCCTTGGAATGATCAAGTTTTTGATAATTATTTATGTTGTGTACCGAATTCAGAAAAGTTAGTTATCTATCGATCAATATTTATCTCAAAAGCTGACGAATTCTTACTTGAATATGATTGGTCAGCATCGAAAATTGCATTATATTTATTATCAGCTCGCCGTTTTTATTTCTATTTCCAAATTATTCAAATAGAAGAAAAATTTGTAAATATTGATATTAATCCGTAACAATCTCGCCGTATTATTTATGAATATAAATAATTGAAAATTATTTCTTTTTCTAATATATTCCAGCATTTCATAGTGCTTACGTTAGTATTTTATTGTTTTAGATTATCATATAAAATGAATAAATTTTCATGCGGAATGTAGAGAAATATCAATTCTTCGTATTGATTATCATCTCAGATCTACAAAATTTTGCCAAGCTTTTACAATACAAATGAACCAAATCTTCACAGCTCAATCACATGTAAGTTAGTAAATGATACTGTTCTATTTGTAAACCGATGACATATGAGACATTTACAAATTTGATTTTATCATCGTTTTCTCTCAAACTATGTCTATTCAGCTAACTGAATTCTCATCGTTTTAGATCATGAATACGCATAAATCTCAATTGGAAGATCTACCCAATGAATTACTAAGTGAAATATTAAGAAATCTTGATGCTCGAGATGTATTTCGAGCATTTTACCAGGTCAATAGCCGCTTCAATGAATTAATTCAATCATTTCAACATCTTCAACTTACTTTTCATATGAATTCAAATAATTTTCTTAAAACCAACGATGAAATATTCTCATTCTATGTTTACACATTAATTATTAGTCCATGGATTAATTTCAATCTTCAAAATTTTCCTCGCGTGCGTCGTCTTCGTTTAGATAATCCATTGCCAAAAGTCTTAGAACAACTACAACCAAATATCATGCCTCATTTAGAATATCTATCCGTTTTTTATACATATAATATGTATGAGATGGTAATTTTACATGAAAACGTTTTCTCCAATCGTTTTGTTAATTTAAAATCTTGTGAACTCTATGAAAAACAAACTCTAATAACCATACCGCATTGGACACAATCCCCATCGTTACAAGTATTGAAAACTGAATACATTGATTCAACTATTTTTAAAATAATTCTTGGCGCATGTCCGAATTTATATTTTTTTAAATTTTACTTGTATCCAACCAATGGAATGACAACAGATATTCCGTTACATAACAATCTTAAGCATATGATAATTGAACTACAAGACGTAGATTGGTACTATGACGATAATACAATCAACGCTTTTTTAAAATCTGTCCCAAAACTCGAACAACTTGAAATTCATCGACGTTTTTATTCTCAGCATATGAGAGAAAACATCAAAGACTATGATTGGTTTTCATTAATAATTAAACATCGTTTACCAATATTAAGGCGATTTAGATTTTATTTTCATCTATCCAAAGAAGAAAAATTAATCGGATGTATCGATGAGAATATACAAATTCAAATTGAACGTAATTTTCATGATGTACATAAAGGACTATATCAGGCGCAAATTTTTATTGACAGAGAATAATTGTAAATAAATGTGCAGTTTGGTTTTTGTCTGTTTAATTATTTAAAATCCGTTACTCGGATTTAATTTAATAATAAATTCGATTGTTTATTTTATTGCAGATACTTTTCTATTCATTTCTAGATGTTGTCGTAAATGCTGACTATTATTGGATGTTTTTTTAAATTCGTTCACGAAAGACCACGAGTATTCGGTGATCTGTGGATGATTTATGTTTCCCTTTAACTAAAATACAAATTTCTATATCTTATTTATAGATTAGTTGTGCACATGACTAACAATGTATTTCTATTTGAATCTTTACCCAATGAAATAATCATCGAACTATTTAAATATTTCGAAGCGCGAGATCTTATTCAAGCTTTTTATCATTTAAACTCTCGTTTTAATTGTTTGATTCGATCTCTTACTCATCTGATTTATTCGACAAATAAAAATGACAATTATATTCTTTCGTATTCATTTATTTATACTCTAGTTATTAATACAAAACTCGAAGACAAACTTAGTTGTTTTCCTAATATACATCGTATTCTTCTGGATTATGTAACCGATGATTTAATAACGCAATTTAATAGTCAGGTATTACCTTGTTTAGAATATCTTTCAGTTTCTCACAAAGTTAGTCCATTCTATATGCCTGATTTACGTGGAAAAATTTTTTCAAATGGATTTCCAAATTTAAAATCTTGCTATATATCTCGAATGAAACCAGCATATACGTTACGTGAATGGACACGATCGCCGTCATTGCGTTTTCTAAGATTAAACGATATTGACGCATCGATTTATACATCCATCCTTTTGGCATGTCCAAATTTATATTATCTTAAATTTAGATTACCAGAAAGATCAAAAATCGAATCGAATATTGTGCTACACTCTAATCTTAAACGATTGCTAATTAATTTGAATCACGATGAATGGCCATGGGATGACAATTTTCTAGACGGTTATTTAGCATGTGTGCCTAATCTTGAAAAACTACGAATAAACCGATCAGTATCAGTAGATTCCAATGTAATGAATTTTCTTCAACATTATGATTGGCTTCTATCCACAATTTCGAAGCGTTTATTAGTAATTGATCGATTTGAATTCGATTTTAATGTTAAACGAACGAATGGATTCATGGAGTATGATTTTCAAGAGATTTCTCGGTGTCTTAAGAACAAATTTAATAATGTTTATAGAAACCGGTTTAACAGTCGATTGGTGATTTTTTAAATGTCAATGTAATTAAAATATTTTTTTATGTTGTTTTCGTAAATGCAATACTATTTATTTTAATTAGAGTATTCTTTTAAGCGAATAAATAATTGTTCATTTCAATTAAGATATTTATCGAACTGAATAATCATTCATACATGTGATCACTTGAATAAACAATAGAAGTTAATAATTTTCATTTACGAATGGAATGACTTAATTCAATTATGTTCGCCTAGGGTTACACCACGAAATAGCGCCATCTATGATATCTTCGTTTCCATTGGTGGACTGCTTTTTACCATTCATGGTTTTTTTTAGCACTTGCACATATTTTGATTTTTCACACGCTAAATATCGGATAATAATAAAAATAAAACTGAATTGTTTTTCATTTAGATGTCTCAATTTCTTCGCCGTATTACTTCATTACCTATTCAATCGATTCGTTCTTTTCATTCGTTCGATGACGTAACACCAGCAAAATATATTTCAACTCGCCTTAAAAACGGTGTTGGCTCTCGATATGTTTGTCAATTACAACGACTAACCATACAAGTCTGTAAAGAATTTCGTACATCTTTCGGTACAAGAGATTGGATTGCTAATGATCTAACGAAATTCGCACGTGAGCACCCATATGTTGTTGTTTATGTTCAACCACGCCGCCATCGTGCACCAAATATAGTTGGTGAATATCTCACTGGTGATCGTCAATGGATTCCACTTTCGAATTGTGATCGAGAGAAAGTTAATTGGTGGATTCATTCGTTGTTAACACAAAAAGGTGATCCACAATGGAGATTATTAAAGCAAATGCACACAGATTCACCATCAGTACAAGGTATATGGACACCATTTACTAATAAACCAATTGATCGAATAACAAGAATGTATCCAGATAAAGATCTTACTGAAATGGAATATCCACATATAACAGCAACGCAACAAATCCAAGAATTATTTGAACAAGAAAAACTGAATAAAACTTCTTAGTGTTTTCTTTCTTTTTTAAAGTTTTTGTTATTAAATTAGGAGAATCATTTCATGAAAGCTAAAACAAACAGCAGTATCTGATACTTAATTCATGATTATTAAAGTAGTTTAATAGTCGAACGATTTATTAATGTTATCAAACAAATGCTTTTTTTTCTTTTTGTTTTCTAGATCTATTAAACATAGTTTTCATATGACTCGATATCTTTGTGTCTTCACTCATTGGCTATAATGTTTTCGGCTAAAACCTCAGAAACATTTGCAATAAATGCCATTTATTCATCGTACAGTACAAAATCCGGTTGTTCGTCGTTTGATAGAACGGTGTCGTACAATCGATATTCGCCAATCGTTGGCGACACTATGTCTCTTTCTAATTCTCTCATTTTTCACTTCTGGTATCATTAATGTGCTGTTACACGTTTTATATAAAAAAAACTCTCCATCATCAATATCATCATCATCACTTAGTCTATTTCGAACCAGTCATATTTTCTTTCCATCCGATTCAACATCTTTACAATGTTCTTCGCCACAAAACAGTGAATTACAAACACATAGTTCGCATGAAAAATCTTTGAATACAGAACGAAAATATACCAAAGATCAATCAAAACATAGCAATATCTCTAGTGGTAAAGAATCTTATGGGATAAGATGAACATGTTTCATTTGAGAAAAAAAATCCGTCTATACCATTTTCGATAACAATTCATGACAAATAAGATCTTTCATTTTTATCGGGTGATAGTAAATGGCATAATTGAATATATTCACTAAATAAGTCATGCCTAGTTGAGTTTGATCTTTAGTTTTATATCTGTGTATTTTTCAAAAGTGTACTAGTGAAAATCGACACGTACGTTTATAAAAATAATTTTGACAGAGTAGTTTCTATACAATTATAAATTGTAACATTTTCCAGAGATACCATAAAAACAAACGAAGTAAATAGTTGAAGATTTTTGTCATATGTTAGATACAAAATGAAAGTTCGCATGTGTCTTATGATTGATTCCACACAACGGTATAATTTAGCTTTTCAAATGAAGATTGATCATTTTATCCAATCGATTTCTTCATTTTCCATAAATAACGATAAATCTTTTTCTAAATAGATCTTCGACAAGAAGCTGAAACTTCGCTTCATCTAGCACTTCGTTTAATAGCTGAAAATAAATTTGAAAAAGCACGAAAAGTTTTCGAACATGGATTAACACTTGATCCATATAATTCGGAAATTCTTGTTGAATATGGACAATTTCTTGAACATCATCATCATGATTTAATACGTGCAGAAAATTTATACACACGTGCTCTAGTTAAACAACCAACAAATCCTCGAGCGTTGGAATTAAAAAGACGTGCATCGCCGTTGGTCGAAGAAATTGATCAAAAATATTTTATTCTTATTGATAATCTTCTTCAAGAACTCTATCGAATACCTGATACAAATCCTCATTTACGACGTGCCAAACGTGATGCATATTATTTACATATCTATCATTCTAATGCTATCGAAGGTAACACACTTAATCTTCGTGAAACACGACATATTGTCGAAACACGTATGGCTATCGGAGGAAAATCTCTTATTGAACAACAAGAAGTGCTTGGTCTTGATTTAGCGTTACAGTATGTTAATTCGACATTAGTAAATCGTCTTGGTTCAATAACACAACAAGATATATTTGATATTCATCGTCGAGTTTTAGGTTTTGTCGATCCTGTTGAAGCTGGTCATTTACGTAAACATCAAGTTTATGTTGGATCATTTGTTCCACCTTCAGCCGTCGAAGTACAAAATTATCTCGATGACTTTCTTGTTTGGCTTAATTCATTGGAAGATACACGAGATCTTCATGCGATTGAATTAGCTGCAATAGCACATTATAAATTTGTTTATATTCATCCATTTATTGATGGAAACGGTCGAACAGGACGCTTACTAATGAATTTAATTTTAATGAGATCTGGTTTTCCTCCAGTTATTATCAAAAAGTCAGATCGTTTAGCTTACTATTCATATTTGGATCAAGCCAACGATGGAGATATACGACCGTTAATACGTTTCATTGCTAAATGTACTGAGCGAACATTAACAGAATTTATTCATCAATCACAACCAACGAGAAGTACTGGACAAGAATTAACACTAGCTGATGATGATGATGATGATGATATGGGAGATGAGACGAGTGACAGAAGGAATCGATTTGACGAACGAATTATTATGGTATAAGAATATATTAATTTAATAGTTTATCCAGTGAAAAATGTATATGTATTAAGATAAATTTTTATTTATTTGTTTGACTTTTTTTTGTTGCCTGTATTATTTCATTTAAATAAAAAAAGAGAGAATTATTTAATGAAATTGATGAAAATAATTCATCTGAATTTACTATCACATACGTCAGAGAAAGAAAAATGATGCTTGCACAATGAAAACATTTGGGAAATTTTCTTCTTTCAAGTGCTAGAAATCACTAAAATATTGCAATTGTTAAGATCACACTCATTGCTTGTTAGTTCTGGCGCGAACATCAGTATAAAAAAATTCAATCGAAACTACTTCAACATGGTTACAATTATCTTCGAAGATCTGCAAGTTTGTTTAATTTTTAATATTAGAACAAGGAATGATGAAATTAAAAATTCATACTGATTTCAAAGAAATTTTTCTCAGTATATCTTGTGGAAAACATGTTGAGTACAACTTTCAATAGCTATTTCTATAAAATTTTAAAAGCCTACAATCAAATGTGTAATTAAGTTGCGAGAAACATTAACGCAGAACGATTACCTTCATCCGTTATCGCTACATTATCTCTATTCAAATATTTTCTTGCACGATCAATGTTTCATATCTTTGTTTCTTATCGCTAAACCGATACTACGAATAAGTTTAATTTTTCTTCCTTTTTTTCGAACGCACCGCTCACGTTTAGGGAATGTTTGCGTGCATTTTCAAATTTTTCTTTTCTGTCGATTGCGCGTCTTCGATTTTACTATGAAGCACACGTGATGTATATCTAACTGTGTATAGTTATCATATTTAAGATGTTTTCGGCGAGGGGATATTGTACCCATCCAACATGTTTTCCTGCTTGGGGGGCTTCACCGGTTCTTATTTTTCTTTGTAAAGAACATTGCCGACGAATGTTGTGTTACAGACATTGGCTTTCTCATCAACCATCTCAAACAACAATAGAAGACGATCCACACGACATCAATCATACATCATTTAGTGGGTATTTTATTTTTGATCTATAGAGAATAACATATCGGCATGAATTTAGATTCAGATCTTGATGAAAATGACTGTACAAATCAGCACGAATATCCTAGTTCAACGGAAGATTTCAATCAATCTATTCAATCAGATGATAATAATGAAACAATCCGTAAGTTGTATGGGCAGATTTATTCACGAGATTTGAATAAGACCAATCAGAAGAGTTTTTAATGATAAAAACGCTCGTTGTTTGCGCATAATTGGATTGTTTACTTATAGATTCGAATGATGACAAAGACATGATCCAACCGAAAATGTAACAATTGACTTGAGGAATTAATTTTTAATTTTTATATTAAAATTTAGATATAAAAAAGAAATCGAATGGTGGAATGAAATAACACCATGGAAAAATGGTGAAAGTCAGTAGCTATTCCTGTAAATGAAAAAAACCTATCCTATCATCATTATTCATAATAATTTAGGTTTTTATGCAAAATTAAAAGAATCAAGTATAGAACGTAAAATAGTATATCTAAACTGTATTCGAGTATTCTTGTTTTTTAGGCATGAATTCTATGAAACAGTCGAACACAGACGAAGATTCAAATTATACGATCAAACAAAAGAGAAAAGTATAATTAAAGATTTCTTTTTCTTTTTTTGAAATAATAAAATCAAATAACATTCTTAGAAAAAATTTGAACGATCGATAACTTGTCGCTCGTATTGTGGTCAATGTCCATTAATATTCGATGGAGCATTTGGTTTAATTCAAGCTTATCATCAACATCAGCTTTGTTTACCATCGAGACATTTAAATAAAAAAATTTGTCTCTATCAACATTTTCATTCAAAACATGGATTTACAAATGAAGTCGCAATGCGTCTTGTACGAGCAATTATTCATCAACAAGATCCACATAAAAGTAAACTATTTTCATCTAATAGTGATACACCATTAACACTTCACGATCCATTTCATAAAGTGAAATGTCCACTTGCAAATAGACATGATATTATAAATACGCCATGTTTAATACAGGAAATTACTCGAAAAAGTATTCGCCGGCATCTATGTGGTGTACATCGATTAGATCAACAAACAATTAATAAACTTATTAAAGAAATGTTTAAATAGTAGTGAAGAAAAAGACGATATGTTGTTTTATGTTTATTGTCTGCTTTTTATGTAACTATGTTTTTTGTTTTTGTTTTTATACGCTACATAAATGAAAAGAAAATATCTTGCTTTATGAAAAAATGAAATATATAATTATTTGAAAGAAGTTTATCATGATGTTGGAGATTTTCTAACTGATTTGACTGTAAGTTGGATGTGAGTAAGTATGAATGCAAGTTCAATGCCCACACACTCTAATTTTATTTGATCAAGTTCAGAATAAATGAATTGTCTTTTTTTCGATATCGGTATATATTTTTATTCATAACAAAAAAGAACGACAGAAGATAAATGAAAAGCAATAACTTGCCAATAAAAATTCCTATACATTTTTATTTGCACACGGAAGAGTTTTTTCTTTTGATAGAATATCCCAACTGAAACTATTAACTCGACTAGAAACACGGGTGAAATCAAAAACAATAATAATCAGACACCACCGGTGATAAAATAGAATTTAGAAAAAAGAATCTTACAACGTGTTACTTAATTTTCATCCTTTATTTGTGGCCTTCTCTCTGTGTACTCTCGAGTGTCATTTGTTGTTGTTGTTGAAGTTTGTTGTTGATTTTCTGCTTGTTCTTCTTCTTTGATTGTTGTTATAATTTCGACAGGAATCTCAATTCTTTGTTCTAGTTTACCAGTGACGTTTGATTTGAACGATTCATTAGCCGTAGAAAGTACTGTTCGAATCATTTTGTTAAATGCTGAACGATATTCATCAATGTTATTTAATTGACCACTGAAATGAGCTGCTGTTAAATTAATACTACTGAACAGTTCATGTGATAGTTCTTCAGCAGATTTATTTCCACCTAAAAGAAATTTTTATTAGTATTTTTGTAGTAAAAAACATAAAATAATCAGAAGCATTAGTGAAGCAATTGGTTTCAATAGTGAGAGTCATTTTTGTAGCATAATTCACTTCGATTATAACTTTCATATTTGAATTAGTTTCGAATCACGAAATAGGTTTTATGAAAATATTTATTGGGAATCTTGCGGACGTTTTAACATTTTTAATAAATGCTGCTCTTTTGGTAATAGTCTCAGGAAAAAATCATACAACAATTGTGTATAGCAAAACAATTTGATGTGAACAATCAGAAAATAAAGCTTTTTCTCTTTTATTATTTTTGTGTGTATCACGGCTGATTTATGTTTTAAATAAAGTTATTTTTAGGTTGTAGTATGTTTGTCTCCTTTACACAAAGAGTTCCGATTGAAAAGGATGTCAAAGTAATCCTCTTGCTTCATATTAATAGAGCCCAATGAATATGGATCACAAGCAAAAATATTAGTAGTTCACTAGTCTTGAAACAGCCTAGCTAAAAAGCTAAGACATCATCTCTTAGCGTTTTATCTCTATCATGATTATCGATATTGATGATGTGTTGATCTATGCGAAAGTGATTTCCAATAGTGTATGTCATAATGATAGCTCATTCAAGTCCCTACCTGTGACATTTATAAAGCATTTGAAAATATCATGGATATGTCAGAACTCAATCAATCTCAGCTTAATGCTTATGATCCGATTTTATCGAGCTCTGCTGCTGATAGAAAGATCGATTACACAGATTTGAAATTCAACTAATTCTTATCCTTTTAGTCGAATGATTTTACTGTATAAATTTTTGATATCGAATTCGATGTATAGTTTTTAAACGAAGGTCTTTTCATTATGGGAAAATACTCATTCTATCGGCAAATTCCTTGCATTCATTCAGTATTAAAGTGCTCTGTAAACATCTTAATGATTTGTTTTTAAATTACACTTTTATTTAGGATCAACAATAATATAAAAATTTTATCAGATATCTATTGGCAATTGGAGAGGATCGATTTAACATCTATTCAAGATTCAGTAAAAATATTATCTATAAAAAATAATAACAAAAGTATAGAATAATAAAGTCACAAATAACTCTCGAAAGTCATATAAATCGGTAAAAATTTGATAAAAAAAATTCTTACTAGCATCAATCACATGTTCAATTTGAATAATCGGCTGATGAGTCAACATTCCAATTTCCACATGATCACTTTCTTGATGAATAGTCAATTCTAATTGCTTTAATTTTTCTGGTACCCTTGAACAAAATTGTTTCTTTGCTAACCATTCTATTTGTCCGTAAATCCATTTGTTACTTGTTTGATTAAAAGGTTCTAAAAGACTCTCTAGAATTTCCATGTGTTCATAAAAACTTTCTTTTAAAAGTTTTTGATCACCAATGTAAACAATTAGATTTGGTTGTTTTGATAGGAGATGTAAAAGTTGAAATGCTTCATCTTTAAACATTAATACAAGTGGAATATGTACATTATTATTTCCATCGCCCGTCATAGAAAATACTCCTCCATTAGATGCTTTAATTGATGTGTTATGATCAATAACAATACCCCCAGCAGCTTGAACACGTTCTAACTGACGAGCTTTTTCAATAAACATACAATCACCACGGCGAACAATAGCAATACGCGAGTAGTGATGATGAGGGAAGAATAATTGTGAGCAGCCAGAAAATGGTTGAGCAACATGTAGTTGAGCAAATATCTGAAGAAAATGTTAAGTAAAACAAGAAATATTATTTCATGAGAAATACGTTCTTACACCTAGTTTTCCATGTAATTGTTTACCGAATTGAGCACAGCCAACGGTAAGGCTAACTAGTTTGCCTAATGGCGGAGTTACTAAGGGAATTACACTCAATGGCATATGATGATTCGATTCCAATGATGCTTGACCTAGACCAGTAGTTTTCATTAGATTCACCATTTCTTGTACAAAAAGAAGACCATCCTCGGCATCCTCATGAGATGCAGCATTAGCTGCATTATGAACTAATTGAATACCTAAATAAACAATAAAACCATGAAAAATTGAAATGAAAATTTTTTTAAAAATTTCATACGGCCATCAGCGACTGTTTGAATTTGAATTCCCATTTGTGAAAGTTGAGCAACATGCTGAGGATCACCAGCCGAAAACTCAGCTGCAGTCAAACGATAATTTGTTACACTGCAAATAGTAAACGAAAAAGGAAATAAATGACATGCTATGAAAATGTTTGCTTGGTCCCTATGTTCTCCATTGAAAGAAAGAATTTAACCGAAGATCTAATTATTTTTTAGTGAAAGTTTTAATTGAATCATTATCAACAAGCAAAGTGCTCTTCTCTATCTAATAGTCAAAACTTAAACATCGTTCTTGAGCTTCCCAATGTCTATTGAGTAACCGCTAGGCAAACTTAGATACAATGTCGAGTAAAAACTTTTTTTTTAATTTACTCTTTCGTTTGTTTTTCAATTGCAATTGATGATGTTGTTACTGTTTCTGTCATATCTTGATCGCCTCGAATGTTCCTTCTTAATTGTTCTTTATATTGATGAGATTGAAATTTAGCATCGAACGCTGGACATTGATTGTTTTTGGCACGTTTATCACTTAATCTTTCTGTCAATGAAAGATTTCTTTGATCATAAATACGTGCTGACAATAAAGTTTTTTTATCAAATTCTTCTCTTAAAGTATCATTTATATTAAATAATAACAAATTAAGTGGTAGCAGATGTGCTTCAGTTGTAAATAAAAACTGATCTATGTCAATAAAAGGATTTGGGCTAGAATCAAATAATAAATAAAGATATTTAAATGTTTCCGCTAATACAAATGAATCCATTCGGTCTTCATGTCGACCTGTTGAAATATCAGATAATGCTGCATAACCACATGGTACACGAGCATGTTTTTCTAAATTATTCATTATTGTACGACCAACTTCGAGATAATGAGGATCACCAGTAGCCTAAAAAAACGAAATATCAATTGTAAATTGGAGCACGAGTCCTATTCAATTGATTTTCACGATTTGCGTGAAAGTAATTTACCAGATTTAACGCTGCATACGAGGTCGAGAAATCCCATATCGAATCCGATAGGAACTTGATAGTATCCTGCCATCCGACAGAATTTTATAGGATTCCGGGTCGAGGAATTGATGTCGGAACCCATTGAACTGCCAATGACATCCAACAGTGTTTCTTTGGAATTCATAGGAATCCGAGACTGAGGATCCAACTTCGAATCCGGGACCCGAAATCCGACGATAGGTCTGTAGGGTCCGACAAAATCCTACTGGATGCGAATCGGATCGGATGGGTTCCGATTGGTGTCTACTCTTGGATTGGCCGACCTGGGATTGATTTATAATAGTCAATAAATTTTTATGATGTTAAACTTCTTCAAACAACACTTTCTCATACGACATAATACATATATATTTGGCTTCACTTATTTCTACTTTTCAAGCATCAACCATAGAATATAATATAAGGAACATTATTATATATTTTATTTTCTATTCTTGCTTCTAACTGTTTATAGATTCATTGACTTTCTTACAAAGTATCACCGTAAAGTATTTTTGATACTAAATTTTCCTATTTTATAGTTGCAATACTAATCGATTACAAGAACACTTTAGAAAATAAAATAATACTCTATTAGTCATCATTTTATTTTTTCTCTTCTTCGTTCTCGTCGATAAAAAAAAACCTTAGAAATGCTTGCCCGAAAAGTAATTTAATCTTTCGTTGAGTTTTCAGTTGAATATCTATTTACCTTATAGAGAAAATATGTTGATTCGACAAATTCAGGTCTTAATGGATGTGAATTCCAATGTATTCTATAATCAGTTGTGAAAGCTTCAGGCAAAAATTTATGTTTTTTCACAACTTGATAAAGCATTTCATGTAATTCAATTGCTGGTTTTAAATCTCCTGTCATAACTTGTAGTCCAGGCCAAAAGGCTAATAAAGCGTCCATATGATTTTTAGTTGAACGATATGGTTGATGCATATGTACATTAATCATAGCTACACCTTGTTGAACATACGACATTATAGATGAATAATGCTGTTGGAAACGTGTTAAATAGTCATTATTTTTTTCACCTAATAGAACATAGGCTTTAAATAGATATTCATAATATGAATCTATTCCAGCACCAATGCCAGAGTCACGCACAATCCAATCACCTGAATGTACATTTAGTATTGTGCCCATTAAATTTGATTGTCGATGTCGCCTATCCCATAGATAAGACATGGCTCGATCGGCGTATTGTTCAAATAAATAATTTCCTGTTAGACGCGATAATGTTGCCCATTCTAATATGAGAGTCCCCGCACATGCTGTACAAGTAAAACGTTCACGTTCACTTTTTGACAATGTTAAATCAATACCATGACGAAGATTAACACGTGGCAATGGTAAACCACTGCTTGTATTAAATGCGGGTAATAAACGAATTGCTAAATCATGAGCTAATACCAAGAGTTCATCGCGATACCATGATAAACGAACGGGATGCCGAGAATTAATGTATTTGGCTGATATATGACCACCGAGAAGACCACTGGAGAAGAAAAAACGATAATTAATTATTTCTATCGACCATTGAAATTTGTATAGTTAAGTTATCAAAAGAAATCAAGGAAATATGGTATTCAATTATTTTCTAGTTATATTCTCGTTAGTCTTTTCATGGAAACAAAATAGTGTATAGCTATCAAAAGATATTTATTTGTATTATTTTTATGATGAGTTCGAATTGTCAATAATAAAATGATTTCTATAGGCTGAACTATAATTTTTGACGCTATCTTACCCGATCATGCGAATATTTGTTTCAAAAACAGACACAACCACATCACGGTCAAATGAAACATGTTGAACAACTTGACGAACAGCACATTCAAATTCATCAAACATTCCAAGCACCTAGAAAAGAAAAAATAATTGAGAAACAATGCTATTTTAAATATTCTTATTATAATTTACCGCTAATGTATCCAAACTATCAACAAGTGTTAACGAAAAACTAGTTGAAAAAAATTCAAAACAGTAGATTTTTATTTCTGCTAATAATATTTGTTTTTACTTTCCAAGAGCATCATCAATATCACCTCGAGATGGTTCTGAACCACGATATCGCCCTTTACAACTAGAAAACAAAACAGTTTATACTAATCTAATCGAAAAAAATGCTCACCTTAATGGCATTAATTCATCAGCTGGAAAGGCATATTTCTATAAATAGATGATGAATAATAAAAAAAAACATGACTATATATATGTTCTACCATATAGGAACCAAAACCATGTTTAAACATATCAATGACTTGTGAACGAAGTTGAGCTTTTTCTTCTGGTAACATACCAGCAGTCATAACTGATGTCAGTAAAAGTATTTGAAGTATTTTGATGAACATTTTAGTTGATTAAAATTTTATTAAAACTAAATAGATAAAATACAGTTAGAAGAAGACAGCGTAACACTCAACATACATTATTCACGTGTTTTTTTATCTTAGAAAACGATAGAATTAAAATATTAAATATTCATCATGATAGTTGTGAAGAATGCAAATCAAGACGCCACATGTTTGAGTTCTTATGCCTGAAAAAAATTCTGAAAAAAGAAAAAAGAAACATATGTACAAGGCCAATAAATCATAGATGAAAAAATTAAAACTAAAGACTGAACAGTTTTTATGATTGTTTTGTAATGGAAAAAGATTAATACTAATCTATACACAAATAGAAAGCGTTTTAAAAAGATGTCACTATAATTCATATACATTTGTATTTTATGCTCAAGACGCATGATAGAGCATCTTGACATAACGACAACAGAATCATTTTTTGAAATCTATGGAGTAATATAAAACGATAAAAAATTCTCTTAAAATAAACAATCATGTCAAATACTTACAACCAGGGTTGCCACCTCTTCCGCTTTTTAGACTTCATTAGGTGGCAACCCTGCTTACAACCATAATTTCCGTCAAGCGTGCGACGTCTATGGAGTACTTCTGATATTAAATTGATCAAAAAATTGAAAAATGTGACATTACATTTGAGTTTTTCCATGTCTTTGGAAATGCTTGTTAGGAGCCCTGGTGAGTGTATCCGATGAATCAATAAAGTTCGATTAGATTTCAGGTTGAGGAACTACTAATAAATTGGACACTACTTACTATCTATAGCTTACACTAGAGGTTACTCGGAGCCCAGAAGTGAGTGTCGTCGAATATTATAGATATAATCGGATCACAATACTAGAGATTCAAGTATCGATCCACACCCTGAATGCCAACAGGATTTCGTCAGTTATATAGAAATTCACATGAAGGCTGTAGAATCCGATTGTCGAAATTATTTTTGTTGGGAACGTAAGCAATGTTATTCACGATAAATAAATGATCGGTAAATCATCATTCATCTAATTTGACAATCTGACCATTCAATGTGGTATTGAAGCTCTTTTTCAATTACGCTTTCCTGTCTACAAAAATATCACTCGGAAGTTATCTAGTCCTCATTCTCATATCCGCGATGAGATTCAAAACGTGCCGGGATATTTTTTTATGATTTATAATTTTATTGCACATATAAGACTCTTTTTCTTCGATTAAAGTATCGCATGTAGTGTGAATTTAAACAGATCAGGACTGTGGCTATAACTGTTTATTATAGTGCTGAATACAAATATTCAAGGAGAAATAGAAAGCATATTTGCTTAAAGAGTCGTCAAGAGTCAAGAAAGATTGAGATCCTTACTCGTAAGAATGTGCAAGCAATTTTCATTTCTTTAATCTTTAATTCATAGATTTTTAAATGTTATATGGGATTAGTATAACATGAAGAGTGGGCGAATTGGCTAATGAGCAGCATGACCGCAATACAAAGAACTACCTCTTGAGATATGCGTTGCCACATGCGATGATCAGAGTATCTTTGTACTCAGAATTGGTGATTGTTTTGAATAGTGAACGGTGCTAGAAATTTTTCAGATAGTGTCTCGTTTAATTTTTTACAGCTAATGAACAAATAATGATGAGTTAATGAGCTTTCTGCGATGTTTTGTTCCAGAAAAATGAGGAATAGTGCTCAAAAACAGGATTTATGGTGGCATTTACTAAGAGATATTCTAAAATTTTTCAGAAAGTGTTAGCAGGTTTAAACGGAGGGACAGCTTCCTCTCCCCCTAATTTTTCAGCCTATTCGTACTTCAAAGTTATTTGAAACAGGATACTTTGAATCTTACACTGAGCTCTTCAACCATTATTGCGATGCGAACTGAATCTCCGTATAGATCTTGTTCTTATTTCTAAAATACTCGAGTGCCCATATTATATGCGATGCTTATTACTATAAAAGGTTCTATTAATTTCAAAAGTTAACTTCGAAGATGGCTGAACTAGCTCTCGTCCTTCTCCAGTAGTTACATCATTTATAGAGTTGCTCATGAATTATATCCTATTCGAGAAAAAAATTAGATTTTACTTGTGATTAAGATATGCGTGTAAACGGAGCTCACTTTCTATATGCATATAATTTAAATGAGATATTTCACTATCCGACACTCAATGATGCATTCCAGTAAGTGATAGAATATGATCTTAGATGATTCAGTTAAACTGAAAGAATAGTAGTAGTATTTATTATTTTCGAAGGAATACATATATATCTATTTCTTTCTTAATAACTTGGCAGAAACTATCTCAAATAAATGAGGGGTGGCAGAATTCTCACAACCGAAATGTAAGAATTCCGTTGTTGTAGCAGAATTCTGCTAGAACTTTGCTTGTATTGAACAGCAGAATTCTTGAATTCTGTTAGATGAGAATTCTGCCACTGTTGAAATAAATCTATTTTTTTATATTTTCTAGATGTTCTAGGTCTTTGGTAAACATAGTCTCAAATTCAGATGTTCCAGTGATTCTTTCTGCATCGCTCTAACAGTAAGAAACATATAGGTATCTTTGTAAGTTTGAAAGTATTTATTGTCACCATTGAATATGTTTCGTGTATGAATTCTACAAAAAAAGAGCTACACAGAATTTTTTTAATCATTCATATAACTATACATTTTGAACTAGTTATGAATCTCGATGATCTTCTAGGAATTTTAAAGTCCTAATGGCCCTATTATTCATATCTCTTCGACCTCTGGCGAGAACAAGAAAAAAAGACATCCATTGCATATAGATCTCTTCCAATCATTCAACCAACCAATTGCATTGCATTGCATTTAATAGTATATGCGATGATGATTCACTCATTCATAGTTTCCAATTGATCATTGAAAATCGTCAAAAATGTCGATTTTATCTTACAGATTCTTCAGATGTATTCCTCGTCTAAGGTTAATCTTTCACTTTTAATTTATTTCTAATAAATTTTCTTGATTATGTTTTAGGTCTATTACATTATCATCTCGACAATCATCTACAAGTACTATTGATCCTGCAGAAATTAATCGTTTTCGGCAATTATCATCAGCATGGTGGAATGAAACAGGAGAATACGCTGCATTACATTCACTTAATCAACTTCGAATACCGTTTATTCGTGAACAACTTCTTCAATCATTATCAAAAACAAACGATCCTATCAAACCTTTAAAAGATTTTAAATTACTTGATATCGGTTGTGGTGGTGGTATTCTAACTGAAGTTTGTGGACGAATAATATTTATAAAAATAAGCAATTAAAAATTATCTTTTTTATAGCCTTTAGTACGTCTTGGTGCTTCCGTATTAGGTATTGATGCTGTTTCAGAAAATATATCTACAGCTGAATTTCATGCTGATCCTATTTTGAAAAAAGATCTGAATTATAAACATGGTTTGTTATTGAATTTTATTTAAAATTATTTTTGTTTAATCTATTTCTTATCGTTAGTATAGTGACACTTGAAGAATTAAGTGAAAATGCCGAACAAATAGAAAAATATGATGGAATCATTGCTTCGGAAGTTCTTGAACATATCAATAATGTCGATGGTTTCATTGGAAATGTATCAAAATTATTAAAAGTATGACTTACTATCTTTTCAAATAGACATTATTGAGTAAACCAAATCGACTGTTTTTTTTAAATTTAAAACCCACTGGATACTTTTTTTAATAGATTGAGATGTGAAGATTGTGAACTATTGAAATGACTCTCTATCTATATCATAAACTACACAAAAGAAACATAGAAAAAAATAATAAAACTCGCGCGTGAACTATCAGCAACAAAAAGACTTTCAAAATATCACTATTTCTTTCATCAATCGTAATAAATAAACTATGATGAATATCGAATTCGAGATATTCATGTACACTTCGTAATCATATATCGTTGTTCTATTTTTAGCCAAAAGGTCTTTGTTTTATTACAACATTAAATCAAACAATGGCTTCTTATTTTCTTGGTATTATTGCTGCTGAATATGTTTTTCGATTAGTTCCTCCAGGTACACACTCTTGGAATAAATTTATTCGTCCATCTGATTTGATAACTCTATTTGATAAAAGTAAGACTTAGCTATCTGTTTCTATTCTATAATGTGAGTTTTTCTTATAGATGGTTTTACTGTTCTTCTAAACAATGGAATGTTTTACAATCCTCTAACAAATCGATGGTCATGGTCAGACAACAAAATTATTAACTATGCACTGTGTGCAATAAAAAATTAATTGTCTATGTATTCTACAGTCCATCATTGTTGAATTTATAAAGTAAAGAATAAATTTTCATAGCCCTTAAGAGGGCTGTTTGGGTTTTCTTTTCTTTTTGTCTTGTTAATTTATGAACCAAATCCGTATAATGTACGACCTTGTCGTTTAAGTGCATAGACAACATCCATAGCTGTAACAGTTTTTCGTTTGGCATGTTCTGTATATGTAACAGCATCACGAATAACATTTTCTAAGAATATTTTCAATACACCACGTACTTCTTCATAAATGAGACCACTAATACGTTTAACACCACCACGTCTTGCTAATCGGCGAATAGCTGGTTTAGTAATACCTTGGATGTTATCACGTAGTACTTTACGATGACGTTTGGCACCACCTTTGCCTAAGCCTTTACCACCTTTACCTCGTCCGGACATTTTTATTTTGAATTAAAAGTTCTTTATTTGAATAGAAAAGAAGAATAGAATTGTGTGATCTTCGGACAATTTCAAATGTTCATTTTATACTTATCTGAATACCATTTTCCTGTTGGTCACTTAAGGATAGTCGTTTAGTGGCCAATCAAATTAAAGTAGAGAACTGCAAACAATCAGCTGTTTAAGTGCAAAATATTGAAGGGTGTGAATCACTTCAGAAGTGTACGAATGCAACAGTCTGATTCCTTCAACAAACGAAAATGAAATCAAAAAGAGAGAAAAATACTTTTTTTTTTTTTTATCATAGGAATGTTTATACATGATTAGATTAACAAAATGCAGTGAAAATTTTTCAAGATATTTTTTTGCAAATCCCAACGTATGGAAGCCGTTCACTGCGAAGTTCATCATCGATTTCATAAAATTACTAGACAGTAATATTTTATTTGCAGAAGATTATTTTGTCAATCTGTCGATGAATCATAGCTTTTCACACGATCATTGAAATAGGTACCAATGATTAATATATTTTCTCAAGATTAAATTCATTAATTTCTAATATGAATAGTGAATAATTTGACACATTGCAACAGCTGATGTGTCAACAACGAGAATTAGTGCGTAAATGAATGCATGAGTAAATCAAAGAAGCCGTCACATACACAAATATATGAATCAGAATTTATTGTCATTTCAAAAATGATTGTTTTTAAATTTGAAAAGATTTCTATTTTTCATATCGCAACATAACTCAATTAGTTATCTTTCTCTTAATTTTAAGGGTATCTAAAATGTATTCAATCTGTTTAAACACGTATATCAACATTTGTGAATTTAGAAAGTACTAGCCCTAATGAGGGCTGTTTGGGTTTATTAATTAATGAATTAATTAATTGATCATTCAATTTATTTAGCACTTGTATATTTGGTAACAGCTTTTGTACCTTCAGATACAGCGTGTTTGGCAAGTTCACCTGGTAATAAAAGTCGAACTGCTGTTTGAATTTCGCGACTGCTGATTGTTGATCGTTTATTGTAATGAGATAAACGGCTTGATTCAGCGGCGATACGTTCAAAAATGTCGTTAACGAATGAGTTCATAATTGACATAGCTTTCGATGAAATACCAGTGTCTGGATGAACTTGTTTGAGTACTTTGTAGATATAAATTGAATAAGTTTCTTTTCGTTTACGTTTGACTTTCTTGTCGGTGTTTTTGGCACCAGCTGAACCTTTTGTTGTTTTGGTTACAGCTTTTTTTGAACCTTTCGATGGAGTTTTAGGAGGCATGTTGAACTATATGAATGATATAGAGAGATACGATTTTTCGTTTCTTCCGCATATTTATATTCATAGACAAATCTCTGTCGTTTGTTTGCAAAAGAACCAATCACTAGTGTTACAATTTGATTGGTTAGAAAAGTTGTTCATTACGCGAGCATATATATAGTTAAGTTAAGCATAGTTTCACTTATATCATATTCGATAACTTACACTTTTCGTCAAGTAAATAAACTAAACACAATGTCAGGACGTGGAAAAACTGCAGGAAGTGGTAAAGCTCGCGCCAAGGCGAAAACCCGTTCATCAAGAGCTGGTCTTCAATTTCCAGTTGTAAGTTATATCGTAACACCTAATGATTCTTGTTTTAAATATTTTTTTCTCTACTTCATAGGGTCGTATTCATCGTCTTCTCCGACGAGGTAACTACGCTGAACGTGTTGGTGCTGGTGCTCCAGTTTACTTAGGTGCTGTTCTTGAATATTTATCGGCTGAAATTCTTGAATTAGCTGGTAATGCTGCTCGTGATAATAAGAAGACACGTATCATTCCCCGTCATCTTCAATTAGCCATCCGTAACGATGAAGAATTGAACAAATTATTATCAGGTGTCACAATTGCTCAAGGTGGTGTTTTACCAAACATCCAAGCTATTCTTTTACCAAAAAAGACAGCCGAAGGAACCGTCTCAACACCACGTGAAACAACAACTGGTGCTGGTCCAAGCAAAAAGAAAGCCGACAAAACCGAAAAGTCATCAGGTGCCAAAGCAGCTGACAAATCTTAAATATGCTTGACCTATTTGAATAACATCAAGAAATATTTAAAAACCCAACAGCCCTCTTTAGGGCTACTATTCTCTAAATTCATAAATGTTGGAAAACGTACTACGAAGAATGAATAGCTGGTTTTTTAGATTGTGAATAAAATTTTAGAAAAGAAAACTTCTGAAATCTAATTCGAGTGATGAATTAAATGGGAAAAGCAACTAGTAATTGTTGTATTACTCATATACAAGAAAACGAACCAATAGGAAAACATGAATACTTGAAAACGACGTTCTTACATAGATGACCATTCAAAGAAAAACATCGGGTCGTATTAAGAAAAAACCTGCTGCTTGATCTGTGCTCGAAGTGTATGATAGAAATTTTAATCATTCATATTCTCGTCAAGTTATTAAAATAAATTAAATTGTACGGCGAGCTTTTTTTATTAGAAAGAAAAGATTACTTTCATGATTTTCGTTGGATATCATAGGAAAACAATATAAAGAAAACGAAATGATTCACACTATGTATAAACCAATCATAAGGAATCGTTCATCTATTCTTCTACGAACTCTCGAGAAATAACAAAGACAACGTTGAAAACGTGTTTGATACAACCGCTACATAGCTATTGTCTTTTCTTAATAACGTCATTTTAGAGATGACGGTATATTCTTATAAAAAGAAATTAAAATGATAGCATTTTTCGAAAGTGAATAAATGATTGCGATAATCGTTCTTTTTCACGAATCATACGAAACAATGTTATAAAGAAAACGCTAATCTTTCTGAGCGAATGCTAGGTCAATTCAAACTTCATTATTATTCTAGTGCCCTTTACTAATAATTAGTGCATGTAATTGTGAGTTTTAATTTATATTTTGCAATTAAATTCTCAAATACGTATATCATACGCTTAGCTTGAATTATTCTAGAACAATTTTTAATGTGAGTGGGTCTTGGGTGCTTCGATAAATTTTTCTTTTGCAACTTAAGATAATCATCGCATAAGCAAGTTAAAATAAAGATCTTCATGACATAGAAAATAAAACTATCGAGGAAGTTTGTTATTGGGACAAATACTCTACAATCGACTTCAACTTCTTTTTTGAAATCATCTGAAAAAAGTATCTGAACGAAAATTTTAAAACTTTATAAATTCAGCACAGCCTATGTTTTACGTAAGATTATGATAAATTTCATTTTCTATAAGATCGCTGTCTTTCTTCAAAGTATATAATTTAAATTTGTCAAAAATTTTCACTCAATAACACATACTAGAAATGAAAATATCATTTAGTTTACAGATTTTGCCTTCAGATATGTCACGTAATGTTAATCTATTGAAAGCATTCAATATGCAGTTGAGCATCCAAATAAATTATTATTCAAAATACAATTTTACTACTTGGTTCTCTCGAAGAAATAAACATATATTCCATTTCGACATATTTCCTTTGACTGACTTTTTAGCCGTTTGAACAAACTTGCATAATTATTTTAATGTAAAGTCTTATTTATCTTATCGGTAAGGACCATTTTAAGAAAGCTACATAATTACTTGTCTAATGGCTAATTTAGTCTCAGTATTTTGCCTCATTATGTTGTTGCAATTCTTACCTTTTAAATCATTAAAAAGTTCGAATCTCATCGATTACGATATTTGATTCTATCAGTAGAAATGCTGATATATTCATTTCATTAATCAAATGATTGTGCGACTAAAGGAATGATATTTGATAGAAGCAAGTTTTGATTAAAATCTATTCTTGGCAGATCTGTAGGAGATTGCACCGATGTATTGCTCGATTGTGTTTTCTGTCAGACAAGATTAAAAAATAGAGAAGCGCAAGACTACACATCCGTGTTCGAGACTGAACAAATTTTAGAAAATGGCAAATATTTTCATAGTTTTTGAAAGGGGTAATTACGAAAATAAAGTGTACTGCAAGATTCTTTTGAAATGGAATTGCATTTGGCAAATATACTTTTTTTGTTCTTTTTTTAATGCTCATTTTAGCATATTGCGACGGTTAACATACTTCATCATAGACAGACATTAACAATAGGCTGCAATTCAAAAATAAAAATAGGTGCTACTCAAGTCTTCCATTAAATATTTAAGCAACTCAACAATTTCTTATTTTATTCCAATCTATTAAGCATTGTATTTTCCGCTATTAGTTTACTAGAATTTCACTTAACTACCAGAATTAAGAATAGTGCTTGCGTTGTACTAGAAGTAGTTTCTCAATATTAGAACAATTATAGGTTGCAATAAGTTGAATAAAACAATCCGGTTGGCGGCTTGAGATTTATTTCAAATAGGATATGTCGTATAATAGAAATTCATGTTTTCTTAAATATGATATAGATGTGGTTTATAACTTCGAGACATACAATGATCATTTACGAAATTTTTTTTCGAGGTATTTTAATCGCCTTTATTCAAAATTGCAACGTGAAAATATTTTAAATTCAATAAAAATTTTCATATAAAATTGCTAATCTTATAAATAGTAGAAAATAAAAAGTTTGCACTTTCCAAGGACGGGTAAAAGAGGTATGAAATGAATTGTGCATCACAATACCAATGAATAACGTTGTGGGAATGTAAATGTGTGCTCATGTTAAATTTTGATATTCAATAAAAATATGCACGCATACAATCGAATACCAAAATAACTAACTTGAAGAATTTCTTAATTATATATATATATATATATATTTTTTTTTTTATTAGCATCTAAAAATATAAATTTCACGTTACTATAATACGATCACTCGGGTACTAGTTGATTTAAAGTACATTTTAATAGTTATACAATATTCCGTGGGTGAATACGATAGTAATTAACTAAAGAAACGGTCATTACGTTTAAAATTTAAAAGTGCTCAACGCAATATCACACCCTTTTTTGCCGTAAAAAGAGTTCTACTCTCTTAGCCAGCATTGAAACTTTATTCCACTCTATTTTCTTAACAGCAAACGTTAAGTAGGCGATGTTCTTGTTGGCCATTACTATGAGCTATCTCCGGCGTTATCTTAAATCCATCGTAATCCTATAAACAACATCTTACAGAGACTATAAATATATACAGTGAAACCTCTCTAAGATGAACACTAACGGGGCTGTTCAAAACGTGTTCATTAAAGAAGGTGTCACGTTGAATGAAGTTTATATATGCATGCAGTACATGGTTAGTATATACGAATGATAAATATACATCTTTTATATTAATATCTATTACGGCCAGTGCCAAATAAAAAAAATTGTTTTTACCAGATAAGGCTAGCGTGTGTTTGGTCGCATTTTACAATTGAAAGAAAAACGTGTGTTGTTCTCTCGCACAGACTCGATTAACTCATCGCGGACTATTCATTTTCATTGTTTTGTTTCAGTCATACGTACGACAAAGCTTGTTATGACGAATCAACCGTCCAAATTTGATTTATCATTGCTTTCTTATGTGCAATCTATTTTTGCGTCTACTTATTTCATACACGAAAGCGTAATTGGTCAGTGTATGTTCACTATAGAGAGGTATTTTGCTACAGAAATGACTGAAAAAAAGTGTTCCATGTTCAGAGTTGGGAGATGTTCATCTTGCGGAGGTCTATTTACAGCGAAAAATCGATCGGGGGGTTTCGAAAGATCTGTTCAAATGGGAGGTGTTCATTAATTAATAGAAGTTTCACTGTATTATAACGTCATTGCACAGAAAACTGGCGCTTTTCTTGAATCAGTAAAATGACAGTTAACAATACTGAACACGGCGTTGTGTTTGGGCAAGTATCAAAATCAATTGTTAGTGATCTTAATCTAGACACAGAAAGGTTTATTTTTTATTTTGGGCCTTATTGGATTCATTGGAAATAGTTTTACCTATCTTCAAGCGGCATTTCGTTCAAACAGTTGTTGTATCTATTCACTCTGTGGTTCTATTACCGACATAATGAATCTTAGTATTAATTTATTTTCAATTTATCTTAGATTTAAATATCAAATATATATTCCATGGCATATTTCACGCGCTACATGCAAACTCAATGTTTTTCTGCTTGCATTCATTCCTCATTTATCAATAAGTTTTTTGTTTATGGCTATTATTGATCGCTTTGCTTGTACATGTAAATTTGCATCGCGGATACTTAAAATCAATGAACTTAAAATGGTACCGTGAATGATCATAACAGCAATCATATGAAGTTGTCTTGCCACGAGTTTCCCACTTATAATGTACGATCTTATATATGGACAGTAATAATGTTGATATTTGTTTTGTTGACTTACCGAAATGTGCGTCAGAATCATCGACGAGTTGTAAGTATTTTAAACTGAAAGGTTTTTGCTCCGTATTAGACAAAATAATATTTTCTAGGGCGGGAACCACAGGAACAGGGAGCACGAGGAAATTTGCATATCAGTTCATTGTAATGATTTGTTGTTAAGTGTTAGCCACCGGCTTTTTTCAATACAATGGATTATTATGTACATGTATTCTTCATTTGCTGATCTTACTACGTACAGTGTCTAGCAAGCGACAATCATTTTTTTTTGTATTTTTTCTGGCGAATAATTGCTATGATCTGAACAATGTTAAAGTCATTTTATCTTTCATTGATCACATCTAATTTATTTTGCAAAACACTTATAAAAGGGTTTTGGTCTATTACCTCGATCGATACGTTCAAGATTTCAAGCAATATAAACACCCGTTTCGGTGGCTACTGTCACTAGAATAAGGCAACGTGAAGAAACAATGAAAACTATTTTGTATGTTGTCATTAAGTGTTGTTCGTTTATATGAGTCTCTGTTCGAACATGTCTGATTGTCTTTAGGATTTCAAATAAAGGTTTATTTCTGTTCTTCATTGGCAGTTAAGATCAGGGATATCACCTCTTCCGCTTTTTCACATAAAAAAACCATCTTTATGTAATTGAAAACTTTGGCACACAAGATCCTAGATAACGTCCTGTTAGACGAAAATTTCTTAGAAAATAGTTTTTCAACG